GTGAGGGCTGGCTTGATTCCTAGTTAGTGAAAGGTAAGTATTCTTACACTCAGCAAACCTCAGCAGATTACAGTGTACTACCCTACATCTGGCCTTGGCTGTATGACGAAGTCTGCTATTGGAACTACTTTCAAGTTCCCGGATTGCCCATGACTAGCTTTTGAAGAATGTTTTATCATACAAATATTTCAAAGTCTGAAGCTGTTCTTCTTTCAAGTTTATCCGATTTTCTTCAAACAAGGACAACTTTGCACTGAAAATTCTAAACACGCTTCAAACGACGCAATTTTGATAACTTCTTTTTAAAAGCGGCAAGTTTTGCCTAATAAGTAAACCGGTGTCGCATCGCAATTGCATAGGCGTAGGTACATATCACTTACCGTCATACAGCTGAGACTAGATGTAGATTAACGGAATCTGTCGAGGTTTACTGAGTGAGTATTCTTAGTGAAGGAGGGCTGGTTAGTGAGGGCTGGTTTGATCTCGACACAACACAACCAAATTTATCAGCAATATGAGCTCAATATAGAAGTGTTATCAGATGTTATATAAAGAGGAAGCATATCCTGCCACATACACCAGCGGATGACATCTAGGGAAAATATAACCTAAATAAATAGTAGAACAATTTCTAAATCGGTGTTATTCAATCGATTGCAACGTGTAACTAACTATCTATTTATAGTAAGGGGAAAACCAGTTTTTATACCACCGTTATCAAGTCCTGTATTCATTTTAATGTATATTGCATATAATGAAAGTTAGATTTAAATAATTTAAAGCCACCTGCTGATTTCGTCAAGGTCACGAGATGTAAACAGGGCTAGCGCTAATGCTAACCCTAACAACCCACAATCCTCGGCAACAATTACGTGCCCTAGCCCTGTAAAGTAAAAATAGACTTGTATCTAGTATAAAAATAACAACACCTACTTTCTGATACCCAGTATTGACCTGTGATGGCCAATAATAGGTTATGGGGTGTCTCTTTCTTCAGTCCAGCAAAGTTAATCACATAATAAGTAAATATAACCCAACACCACCTCAATAACACATCAATTACACAATAGGCAGCAACACAACTCTTCATCACCACTAGACACTAGATGTTACTCAATAACACAGTTATTACACAATAGGCAGCAACACAACTCTTCAACACTAGATTCTAAATAAATACTCACATCATCTAAAGTAATAACTATAGCAAGGGGAAATAATAAATACTCCGATCATCTAAAGTAATAACTATAGCAAGGGGAAATAATAAATACTCCGATCATCTAAAGTAATAACTATAGCAAGGGGACAAATAATAAATAATCAGATCATCTAAAGTAATAACTATAGCAAGGGGAAATAATAAATACTCAGATCATCTAAAGTAATAACTATAGCAAGGAGAAATAATAAATACTCAGATCATCTAAAGTAATAACTATAGCAAGGGGGGAAATAATAAATACTCAGATCATCTAAAGTAATAACTATAGCAAGGGGAAATAATAAATACTCAGATCATCTAAAGTAATAACTATAGCGAGGGGAAATAATAAATACTCAGATGATCTAAAGTAATAACTATAGCAAGGGGGGAAATAATAAATACTCCGATCATCTAAAGTAATAACTATAGCAAGGGGGGAAATAATAAATACTCCGATCATCTAAAGTAATAACTATAGCAAGGGGACAAATAATAAATACTCCGATCATCTAAAGTAATAACTATAGCAAGGGGGGAAATAATAAATACTCAGATCATCTAAAGTAATAACTATAGCAAGGGGACAAATAATAAATACTCACATCATCTAAAGTAATAACTATAGCAAGGGGGGAAATAATAAATACTCAGATCATCTAAAGTAATAACTATAGCAAGGGGGGAATAATAAATACTCAGATCATCCAAAGTAATAACTATAGCAAGGGGGGAAATAATAAATACTCAGATCATCTAAAGTAATAACTATAGCAAGGGGGGGAAATAATAAATACTCAGATCATCTAAAGTAATAACTATAGCAAGGGGACAAATAATAAATACTCAGATCATCTAAAGTAATAACTATAGCAAGGGGGGAAATAATAAATACTCAGATCATCTAAAGTAATAACTATAGCAAGGGGGGGGGAAATAATAAATACTCAGATCATCTAAAGTAATAACTATAGCAAGGGGACAAATGATAAATACTTAGATCATCTAAAGTAATAACTATAGCAAGGGGGGGGGGGATAATAAATACTCAGATCATCTAAAGTAATAACTATAGCAAGGGGAAATAATAAATACTCAGATCATCTAAAGTAATAACTATAGCAAGGGGACAAATAATAAGAGAGCAGTGAACATGATTTTTAGCCCAATAGAAACTGGACAATCTTACTACATCTGTTTACATCTTGTGACCTTGACGAAATCTGCAGGCGACCTTAATATTTAGATCTGACCCTATAATCAAGGCTTGTAGAATGTACCCAGCGGAATCTCTCACCTGTATTTCAGCACCTGGATACGAAATAAGTTAGCAAACATATTCCTAGCGCGAATAAAAGCCTACATAAATTTATCACGAAAATAATTGTTACCTTTATTTTAGAAAATAACATTTTAAGATATATTAAAACAAGGTATATATAATAAGACAAAAAATCAAGTTATGTATCTGTCGATTTTATGAAATAAAGATGCTCGAGCCACCAAAGCTAGTTTAGAAGTTATAGCCCTTGATCACTTCAAAAAATATTGTGGACGCTTTAGAGGCTAAAGTTAATATCCGGTTGACTTTGGGGGATTGGATGGCCGAATGGTTAGCACTTACGCGCTGCACTGTATCAGGGCTGGGGTAATGGTAATGGAAGGTAATCATTACATTTTTTAAGTAATGGCCATGTAATGAGTAATGGAAGATTTCTAAAGTAACAAGTAATGGAAATGTAATTAATTACATTCGAAAAATCATGTAATGGTCAATTACATTTCAATTACATTTTATGGCACATATAAATATTTCCAATATAACTAGCCTCAAATTGTATAGCATCAAAGAAATAAATTAAATGTATCTGACACAAATCCAATTCATTATAATTTTTAAAAAAGATTTAGATCAGTTTTTACAAATTATAATAAGAATAAGAAGGCATTAAATATTTTCTTTTATAATTTTATTATGTACAATGTTGATTTCTGAATAGATGTATATTGTAATCAAAGATTAGTGCTAATTTGCAGGCAATCACATAGTCAATCAATCAATTAAAAGACAATAGTCTTACTACACTTTAATCTTAATCTCAAGGTAACAAGTGAAATACCAAACAATGGTCTTCAAGTATCTCATCATTTTATGGTTACATAATATAAAACATATATATTATATTGTTTTAGAGTCATGCTGAATAATTCATCAGCAATACAATTATTATAGAAAAACTATTTGGATTGATTGATAAAGAATTTTATAAAATAACTTTTAAAAAAAATAATGTTAATTAACTATACTTTCAATTCGTACAGTGAAAACATCAGTTGTCACCACTGCCCGTCTCTTGAATGTTATAATATATAGAAATAACAATTCATACACAAATATCTATTATTGTGAATCGAGAATTATTATGGAGTTTGATTTTGTAGGCGCTTCATTGCAGAAAAATTAGGTTTTCTTTTTAATTTCTATGAAAAATGTTTGTTTTATTTATATACTCATAAAGTAATGGGTAATGGCAATTAATTACTTTCAATGTAATGGGTAATGGTAATTAATTACATTGCTAAAATTGAGAAAGTAATTATGATGTAATTAATTACATTGGCAATGTAATGGCCCCAGTCCTGCACTGTATCATACGGTCTGTCATTGAGTCAACTGGCGAGGTTTCGATTCCCTGATTCCCTGGTGGGTCTTCTCCGGGTCCTCCGGTTTCCTCCCACTGCTAAAGACCACTACGCGCAAGCAAATTATTGAAATAAATTGAACCATGTGTTAGTCTCGAAATGACATGGGACGTTAAACTCCCCCTCTCTCTCTCTCTTCTCTCTCTCTCTCTCTCTCTCTCTCTCTCTCTCTCTCTCTCTCTCTCTCTCTGATTGACTTTAAATTTATACACACTGTTGATTTTCAGTGATTTCCGATAAATACTGTCAGAGTTATTGTCCTTGATCACTTCAAAATTCTTGTGGACACTCTAGTGGCCAAAGTTAGTATCCGATTGACTTTAAATTTATACACAGTGTTTAAGGTCATGAGACGAAGAAATTGATTTTCAGCAATTTTGGATAATTACTGCCATAGTTATGGCTTTGTTTGAGGTCATGAGACGAAGAATCCTTGTGATTTTCAACGATTTCCGATAATTACTGCCAAAGTTATGACCCTTGATCACTTTGAAAAATCTAGTGACGCTCTAGAGGCTAAAGTTATCATCGGATTGACTTCAGATTGATATACAGAGTTTAAGGTCTTTGAGACGAACAAGTATATTGATTTTCAATGAATTTTGATAACTTGAACAGCTCATTTCATGATATTAAATGTTTCGTATACTAACCGCTAGCATTTGGCAGAACTTTATAAAAACCAAACAAATTCTAATGATTTCCTGAAAATGAGTTGTTAATCTTAATCAGATTTTAGCGTATTATAAATGTTTCATTACCAACAAAAGTAAAAATATGCGACATCTCATGTTGACTGCTCGGACGATTTAGCTGCTTTGGGCGTATGTTTCGTTGCCTGGCAACCTATCTTTGATTTAATTGAATTATTTGAAAGGAAAAATCAGACAGAATAAGTTTTCTTTTTGTAGACATGGACCAACACTTCAACATATTTCATACAGACAACAGTTAAACAAGATGGTTGATAGGAGAGTGAAAGTTGATGGTTTGTTTTTGATCCCATGTTTAGTTGGTATACTGTAGAATCTGTACACAAGTATGTTATATATATGTACATAACTAATAGTCTATATTTATTTGTGTATTTTAGTGAAGTTGACATAATAACGGCCACTCGATATTAACCAACAGAGAAATAAGATGGATGAATCTGATGAAGAGAGGTTAGTATATTATATATATATATATATAAACACTAACCTATTGTCTATACATCAGGGTTGACTGGGGTAAGATATAGTTAACCATACATATAATTGTAATAACACTCTAACTAAACGGGGGGGTTGGATGGCTGAATGGTTAGCGTGCGCGCGCTGTATCATAAAGTCTGTCATTGAGTCGACTGGCGTGGTTTCGAATCCCCGGTTGTACGTGGCAAGGAGTAGGGTCGCCTGTCCAACCTCGTGGGTTTTCTCCACTGCTAAAGACCCCTACGCGCAAGCGAATTATGTAAATAAAATTAAACCATATGTTAGTCCCGAAATGACCTAGTTTGTGTCGAGTGGACGTTAAACCCCATTTCTCTCTCTCTCTCTCTAACTAAACGGTATAAATAATTCATGTATATTTAGACAATTACATATTTCAAATATAAGAATTGTTTTATAATATAGATGTATTGATTAATTCGTGATTAATAAGACAGAATACGTTGAATTTTTACATTGTTATTGTATTTATATCATCTTTAAAACTAAAACAACATCTTTAATATATTTTAGGTTGCGGTTTAAACTACGTCAAGCTGAAGAGTATGGAAATATACAGGAAGTCGTAGAAAGATTATCATTACAAGATAAGATGAAAGCTTTACCTATAGCTGCTAGTAACAGGTTTTATAAAGTTATGGTTTATCTGTTAGAACATGGAATTGTTGATGTACATTATGTTGATCGCCATCAGAATAACCTGTTAAACATACTTTTAGATAGCTATGACAGTGATGACGAACCAGATAGACGTGATTTGTTGATACAATGTGTAGTTACATTAGTTGATGCTGGTGTAGATGTCAACCAGGAGAATGTATATAAAGATAGACCTATATTTAAAGCTGCTGAACGAGGGTTGTATGAAGTTGTAATGTATCTGTTAAAACACGGGGTAGATGTATATCATGTTGATAGATTTAAGAACAACCTGATACATCAACTTTTAGATAACTATGACAGTGATGACAAACCAGATAGACGTGATTTGTTGATACAATGTGTATTTAAATCAGTTGATGCTGGTGTAGATGTCAACCAGGAGAATGTATATAGACCTATATTTGTAGCTGCTAGAGAATGGTTGTTTGAAGTTGTAATGTATCTCTTAAAACACGGGGTAGATGTATATCATGTTGATATATATGAGAACAACCTGATACATCAACTTTTATATAACTATGATAGCTATGACAGTGATGACGAACCAGATAGATGTGATTTGTTATTACAATGTGTAGAAACATTAGTTGATGCTGGTGTAGATGTCAACCAGGAGAATGTATATAATGATAGACCTATATTTATAGCTGCTAGACGAGGGTTGTATGAAGTTGTAATGTATCTGTTAAAACACGAGGTAGATGTACATGTTGTTTATAGATATAAGAGAAACCTTCTAAATCCACTTTTATATAGCTATGAACGTGTTGATAGATATAAGAACAACCTGATACATCAACTTTTATATAGCTATGACAGTGATGACGAACCAGATAGATGTGATTTGTTTTTACAATGTGTAGTTACATTAGTTGATGCTGGTGTAGATGTCAACCAGGAGGATGATAATAAAGTGACACCTATATTTATAGCTGCTAGGAAAGGGTTGTATGAAGTTGTAATGTATCTGTTAGAACACGGGGTAGATGTACATGGTGTTGATAGATATAAGAGAAACCTGATAAATCAACTTTTATATAACTATGATAGATATCACAAGCCAGATAGACGTGATTTGTTGATACAATGTGTATTTAAATCAGTTGATGCTGGTGTAGATGTCAACCAGGAGGATGATGATAAACACACACCTATATTTATAGCTGCTAGACGAGGGTTGTATGAAGTTGTAATGTATCTGTTAAAACACGGAGTAGATATATATCATGTTGACAGATATAAATCCAACATTCTTCACTATGTTGTGGGTTATATATATTCCTATGTTAAATTTGAAGAGAAATGTTTACAGGTCGTTAATACTTTAATAAAAACAGGATTAGAGATAAACCAACCTGATTATGATGGTAAAACCCCGTTGTTCTGTTTCGGTATGTACGGTATATACGACAATTCTGACGGCGTGCCCGTGATTAATCTGGATAAAGTGACAGAACAGGACCTCTATGTTCCATTAAAATGTAAATTGATTAACATGTTATTAGATGCTGGTTGTAATGTGAACCATCAAAACAAGCTGGGACAAACGGCTTTAATGCACCATATACAATTCCAAACTAATATCAGTATATTAAAACTGTTAATTCCACATTCTGATCTAAGTTTAACTGATAATAAGGGTAAAACAGCAATTAGTTATTGTGTTCAATATCACATGATCAATTCAACATACGTCTTTAAACTTTTAGTAGATTCAGATTCAGATCTGATGTCAGGTAACAACGGAGTTAAGTTATTCCATGATATTTTAAAATGTAAGAGGTCGGGGGTGTTCAGTTATTACATCGGGCGTAAGTTGATTGTTAATGGTCTTACAGATGAAGGAGAAAATATGCTTCATCTTTTAGCTGGTGTTAACTATGATTATTCTATAAACAAGTTTAAATGGTTGTTAAATAACGAGCTAGACATCAACCATCCCTGTTCTAAAACCAACACACCTACTATGATAGCTGCCTTTTTATTAAACAGTAAATATTTAAAACTGTTGACACATCATCCTAGACTAGAGATCAATACACAAAATAACCAGGGTCATACGGCTCTCCATCTGTGTATCATTGGATTTACTATGTTTAAAGATGGTTTGAACAAGAGACAGGTAAATGATGTTGTTAAGAATTATTGTAGACAGATATATCCAATATACATGGCTTGTATTGATATTTTACTTGGTGTTGATGGAATAGATGTAAATATTCCCGATAATGGAGGTAGAACTAGTTTAATGATGGCTGCAATGAAAAACGACAGATTTCTTACAAGGAAACTACTTCAAGCTGGTGCCATAGTTACCATGTTAGACTATTCAGGAAGATCTGCTCTACAATATCTTGATATTTATCAGAGTGTGTTTGATTTGACTTGTTTTAAATTACTTCTATCTAATGGTAATACTGGTCTTCTCAATTTACCCTGTATCGATGGTAACACGATTATCCAAACAGCCCTACGTTTTCCCTTCTTCTGGGAACCACTCCGCGTTGTTCGTTTTATTAGATATTTGGTTGCTGAAAACTGTTGTGTTCAGACTCTCATTACGTCTTCAGGTGAGAGTCGCTATAATCAAATTGATCTTACTGAACTGAGTAGTTCAGATAGAGATAAACTGAGAAAACTGTTATATCTTAGTGGTGCCCAAGAGTGGGGAATTATAACAACTTTGAATTTTGATGGGGAAGATCACACTACCCATTCACAAGGCAGAGAAGAATTCATTAGTTTCTGTAGTAATATATCTCTCAAGTCACTGTGTAGAAGATTCATCAGACAGAATCTTGGATTGGGAATAAAGGAGAAGGTTAGGGATCTAGAATTACCTCGTGAATTAAAGGATTTTCTTCTACTAAAAGATGTTCTTCATCCTAAAGATTACAACATAGATGATATTGATGATGGTTGTAATGATTTTGATGATGATGATTATGATGGTTATGATATAGATAGAGATAGAGATGATGATTATAGTCAATATAACTACCAGTATTTTACTCTCAATACGGATCATGAACTAAGGCAATATTTAAAAAAACCCAGGATATTTCCTAACGGTGATAAACACCCACGATGATGATTATGATGATTATACTGCCTATGACGATCATTATGATTATTATACCAATAGGGATGATGATGATGAATATTAAACCGATAGCGATGTTGATGATTACAATGCTGATAACCCCTCTATGTAACCCCTCGACGACGCATTTGTAATGCTAAGAGCCTTTCTTGATGAGCTAGTGAAAAGAGGAGACAATAAAATTACCACCACAATTTACAGGAAGCCTACCCATACCGATCAGTATATATACCATTCATCTAACCACCCTACTCAAGATAAGAAGGGAGAGGGAATATGGGTTTAACGTCCACTCGACACAAACCAGGTCATTTCGGGACTAATATATCGTTTAATTTTATTTCACAATAATTCGCTTGCGCGTAGGGGTCTTTAGCAGTGGGAGGAAACCGGAGGACCCGGAGAAACCCACGAGGTTGGACATGCGACCGTACTCCTTGTCACGTACAACCGGAGATTCGAAACCACGCCAGTTGAGTCAATGACAGGCCGTGCTAACCATTCGGTCATCCAACCCCACCCAACCCTGACACGTCGCTCCCTTAAAATTTGTGATCCACCGCAACTAGAAGCAGAAATACAGCGACAATACTTTATACCGGAAAACTACCGGAAAACACCATGTTATACTGAATACCGGAAAAACACTAAATACCGGAAAACACCCTAAATAGGTAACCCAGAGCCTGGTCCTCTGTTTGCGGGGGGGGGGGGGGGGTAGGGTTTTCCGGTGTTTTCCAGAGAACCAGGCTCCAAGTTACCTATTTAGGGTGTTTTCCGGTATTTAGTGTGTTTTCCGGGATTTAGTGTTTTTCTGGTGTTTTCCGGTATTCAGTATAACATGGTGTTTTTCGGTATTTTCGGGTATAGCCCGAAATACAGCACTTGAAAGAGGTTTTCACCAAACTCAACCAATACCCAGTCCATCTGACAGAAAATACAATCAACAAGGATCAGAAGACACTTAAACCCCCACCTAAACCAGAGACTGCAGTGAGAATCTCCATCCCATTTATAGGCAAGACATCATATGAAATAAGAAAATTACTAAGTAGAGCAGGGATAGACGCCAGTTTCACCACTGGGCCCACAATAAAACAATTGTTAAAGGCTAACGGGAAGACCCCTCCCCCCCCCCCATTCAAATTCGCCACTACCAACAGGATGCATATATAAACTGACCTGTCCCTGTAAAAACCAGTATATAGGGGAAACTAAAAGGCCGTTAAGCATCAGAATTAAGGAACACCTATCGTTATCCAAAGACAACCAATCTGCAGTCGCCGAACACGTAAGGAACAACAAAAGACACAGAATTCAATGGTCAGAAGTAGAAGTACTGAACACGAACCAACATGTAAAGAAGACAAGGAAAATCATGGAAAGCATTCAGATCAGACGACACAACCCGGCCCTTAACAGAGATGTAGGAGTCTACCTCCCCCATGCATAGGATAGAATCATTTTCTAGTAGTTCATTATGTTAATCAGGATTGTGGTAATTAGATTGAATCATTATTTTATTTAATATAAGAATCATGTATATTATTTATTTATTTACATACACGATATAACGTTTCGTCTATTCATCCTACCATTCGTTATTATATATAATATATATGCAAGATAGTGAAGCTTTACACTGCATACCTCATTGATTGTTTAACACTTGTTCGTTATTATAAGCAATACTGATTATCAATTAACACTTGCTTCCAGTTCTTTAGATATGTAATTAATGATGGCTTCGGTTTACTGTAACCATTTAGGGTTTGTCATCATTGCTTTGACCAGTGCTTGTTATATATACTTTCTATATTTATGGCTTCTTTTTACTATATATAAATACTTGATGTTTTATATATATGTTATCATTTGCTTGATAAAGACGAGGGTATCATCGTCGAAACGTTCAATGTTAATAAATCAGTAATTGTTATCCATAAATAGTGTTTAATGTGTTACAGTGCAATAAATTACTGAATGCCACTTAAAGAAGATAAAGGTTTTTCTTCGAGGGTTTTTTCTGAAATCTTTCTTCGCCAGCATAACCGAAATCGAGGACTTTATCTTGCTAATAAATCAGTAATTGTTATCCATATAGTGTTTAGTGTGTTACAGTGCAATAAATTACTGAATGTCACATAAAGAAGATAACGATGATGATGATTATAATACCGATAACGATGGTGATGATTATAATACCGATAACTATGATGATTATAATAGGCCTACCGATATTTCATATTGATGATGACACGCCCCAAATCCTCAATTACATTATGTCCCTTTATACGTTCTGTCAACTCCCAACAAGGGCGGATCAGTACCGGATTTAGGGAGGGGGGGAGTGGGACAAATGTCCCGGGACCCCCACATTTAGGGGCCCCCACAATTCTGGGTCATACTAATATTTTATCCCGGACGGAGCCAACCAGTACCTGGGCTGAGGGGCAAGGATTTGGGCCCTGGGCAGTAAGGGATATTGGGGGCGCCAGGCACTCAAAGGGGCGGAGTACATACTAGTACGATCCGCGGTCAGTTCGAACAATTTGAACAAACAACAATGGGGCCCCCGCACAGTTGGTATGTCCCGGGCCCCCCACAAGGTTAATCCGGCACTGGGGCGAATAACAGGAATTTTGAAACCCCCATTATTCCCCACAGATAGATATGAGAAAAGAAAGAACCTCAGGCGGACCCAGCCAAATAAATTTTTCTAGCTCCTTGAATCTGTGTAGGATAAAGCACGAGTCCAAGTGAAGGGATTGTCTGAAGGAAACGTCCTCTTCAACAAAATGGGTAAGACGCTGGCTCGCTAACTTGAAGGTCGATCTCTACATTGGCCGAGAAAGTTCATCTAGATTTTCCGGCGTGGTTCTCCCTAGTCTGTGATCCACGACGGAGAGCCTGACAAGGACAGCTGTCTAGTCCTTCTGATGGGAAGAAAAAACGATGTCCCGTGTACATATTGGCTTGCATGTAAATGACAATTGGAATTCGATATAAGAGTAGGTCGTAGTGCCGCTGTCTGGGTAAAATTTCCCTCATATCACACTGTATGATGTATGCCCGTCTTCATTCGCCCAGTTCGGAGCAGAACAGTAGAACATTAAACCCCATTTCATTTCTTCAACAAATTTATGGATCCACAACTTTATTTAGATACTTGTTTTAAAATCAAGGGATTTTATATCTGATGGAAAACGAATTAGCGAGTTGAAATCACCCAACCTCTCCATCGTAGAAAGTAATCAAGGAGTCTACAACGCTGGCCTTAATAAGTCAATGTGTCGTGTATATGGTGGAATTGATTAAAAACTGTGTAACTTTTACAGATTATAAACAAGATAGGGAGATTCTGTGATATAATTCTAAGATATAATCGATATTAGTATTATTGATATCTACTTTAAAAGTGATCGATTGAAATAACGGAACCACGTGGTACCGATATACTTTGTTATGATGGACATTAACATGAGTACGAGACCGGAATAATGAATTAGAACTCTCTCGCGCGCTCTTCATTTCACTTGATGAAAGTAATCACGATGTACAGGGAAAGAAACTGGACTAAAATATAATTTTTGAGAGTGGATTTCTAAGGAATATCTTGTAAGTATTTTGTTTTTCTTTTCGAAAGATAGATCGAGAGAGAAATAAGGTTTAACGCCCACTCGACACAAACTAGGTCATTTGGGGACTAACGTATGGTTTAATATTATTTCTATAATTCGCTTGCTCGTAGGGGTCTTTAGCAGTGGAAGGAAACCAGAGGAACCGGAGAAATCCCATGAGGTTGGACAGGCGATCCTACTTGTCACGTACATGTACAGCCGGGGATTTGAAACCACGCCAGTTGACTCAATAGCAGACAACGCTCCCGTGTGGCTTCCTCTTGTCAGTGGTGCAGGACGGAGGGGCTGACAAAGATGGTACATAAACCCGACGTCCAGTGTACACATCGGCGTGTACGTAAAAGATCCCTTGGCAATTGGAATTCGAAATAAGAGTAGACCGCAGTGCCGCTGTCCGGGCAAACATTTCTCACATAGGACTCTGTAGTATCCCAGTCATTGTACAACAGTAGGACGTTAAACCTCATTTCATGTCATGCGTAAGTATTTTTAATATCCTTGGAGCAAACGGGGCCCACAATCCCACATCAGTGACGGATTAATAGGGGGGCTGTCTGAGCTGAAGCCAGGATAAGGGGCTACAAAATAGCTAACAAAAAATGTTTGTAAAATACGTTCCACACCTAGATAAACCTGACGAGAGAGGGCGGGGGGGGGGGGTAGGATAAACCTGACGAGAGAGGGCGGGGGGGGGGGGATTACGCCCTTGTACTGAGATCTGGCCCCGAGATCACAAAACATTCGCAGACTTAAGTTAAGTATTTACTCAAAATTATTCCCCTCATTTTAACTAAACTATAGCCATTTATAAAACGTTTGTTGTTTTAATGTATCAAATACATCAATAAGAAACTATGTACAAGGCTTAGTGTTTCTGGATTAAAGATATTTCTCATAAACAGTGATTGAAAATTGAGTAAATTTTTAAACTTAAGTCTGATTTGATGATATGCTCGTCTTGTGTATCAAGGTTAGTGAAAATGTGTAGGACGTTAAACCCCATTTTATTTCATATTTTATGTTAGTGTGCAAAAGTTTATCTTCAAATCGACTGGTATAGTTGTTTTTCAAACTATCCTAATGGTCAATGGGGGTTGGATGGCTGAATGGTTAGCGCGCGCTGTATCGTAAAGTCGACTGGCGTGGTTTCGAATCCCCGGTTGTACGTGACAAGGAATAGAGTAGCCTGTCCAACCTCGTGGGTTTTCTCCAGGTCCTCCGGTTTCTTCCCACTACTAAAGACCCCTACGCGCAAACGAATTATGTAAATAAAATTAAAACCATATGTTAGTCCTGAAATGACCTAGTTTGTGTCGAGTGGACGTTAAACATCATTTCTCTCTCTCTCTCTCTCTCTCTCTCTCTCCTAATGGTCAATGATAATGTTAATCATTGTAAAACAAAATGGCTGAAATTAAGAGACAACAGTAATTATTTTAATGGGAAGTCCCCTGTTTCAATTACACCCTATAGGTGTTCCATGCAACCTTCACTTTCCCCGCAATCTACCAATTTTGATTCCGTGAATCTGTACGTGCACTATTACTATGTAATTCTGATTTCGTGATTCTGTACGTGCACTATTACTATGTAATTCTGATTTCGTGATTCTGTACGTGCACTATTACTATGTAATTCTGATTCCGTGATTCTGTACGTGCACTATTACTATGTAATTCTGATTTCGTGATTCTGTACGTGCACTATTACTATGTAATTCTGATTCCGTGATTCTGTACGTGCACTATTACTATGTAATTCTAAGCTGCCTTCAACTTTTATAAACAACTGTTTTGTAACACAATAATCTGATTAAAGTACAGATCTATATTTCGTTTCGTTTTTTTTATACGTTCGGTGACCTACACTACATGAAAATCTGACCGGTTGTAAAGGAATGTCGCGTCAGGGTTATAGAGCGGCTATTGACCCTATGACGTCATACATTGATTAATCAATCAGCGTTGACGTTTCTAGTGATTTATCCACAGTTCCGTGTACCTCACGCCAAAAACTCGCTGTCACAGACCGTTTCATTGGCTAATCCCTTACATTATCCAGAACACGTCAATGATAACAACTCTTCGATATCCTAGTGTAGTAAAAGACAAGTAAAACGAAATTTTGAACTATAAAAAATGAAACGAAATAGAATCTGTGTTTTAATCAGATTGATAACACAGTAGTTAATGGTGAAGTAGTATTTATTTTAAACATACATTATGCAAGAGCTAAATCTGCCTATTGCAGGTCTTTGTATAGGCTCGAAATGTTATATAAATTATTAATTAGACAATAATTAACTTATCCAGGCCTTAATCAACTCTCGATGTCATCGCTAGCCAGCGATGTTTATTGGATTATGTTCAGATTTCCTGTTCAGCTTCCATTCATGATTTAATCATGAAATAGAGGGAGAGAGAGAGAGAGAGAGAGAGTTTAACGCCCACTCGACACATTTTAGGACTAACATATGGTTTAATTTTATTTCAATAATTCGCTTGATAACAAAACGACCCTGTGTTTGGCCGATCTGCTTACGATCTTCCAATCTTATAACAGTCGTTCAGATGGTACGAAAAACCGACAATCTGATTAAAACACTGATTCTATTTCATTTCGTTTTTTATAGTTCAAAATTTCGTTTTACTTGTCTTTACTACACTAGGATTTGGAAGTGTTGTTATATAACCGGCATTTTGATTGAAGTGAGGGATTAGCCAATGAAACAATCTGTTACGGCGACCTCTTGGTTTGTCAAGCACCGAACTGTGGGTAAACCTCTAGAAACGTCAACGCTGTCGCTGATTGACTAATCAATGTGTGACGTCATAGGGTCAAAAGCCGCTCATACGACCCCTGACACGACCTTCGAATACAGTTTGTCAGATGTTCATGTAGTGTAGGCCATCAAAAGTATAAAAAAACGAAACGCAATATAGATCTGTATTTTAATTAGATTGGGAAAACCGAGGTCACGTGTACACATAGGCCTGTACGTTAAATAACCCTTTATAATTGGAAATCGACATAAGAGTAGGCCGTAATGGCGCTGTCCTGGCAAAATGTCCCTCCTATTACACTCCATGGCTAATGCCCGTCTCCAGTAGCTTAGTCGGAGCAGAACAGTAGGACGTTAAACCTCATTCCATTCCATATCATAAAGACCAGATCTCCCTGTTCTACTACTACATTTAAATTTGACATTATTAAAGATACATTATGGGAGATTAGATAACGAGTTGGCACTGAAATAGATAATGTAAAGGAAATTTGCCTAAAATTTCATTCAAATTGATTCACTATGAACCGAGAACCGAGCGATTGAAAGTTCCACCTAGCTTCGATCATCATTACTAGTCTCGATTATCCATTTAATCGTTAAATCATGAAGGAAAGTTATGCAGTAAATCGGCTCATAATCCACTAAAGATCGCAGGCTAGCGATGTCATAGAGAGTTGATTATGGTCTGGATTAATTAATTAATGTCTAATTAATAATTTAGATATCATTTCAGGCCTAAAGAAAGATCTGTAATAAACAGATTTAGCTCTTGCATAATGTATGTTTAACTTTTAATTTTTTTCTTTTTTTAGTTAATCGTAAATACAATGGATACCACGATCGTGACGCCGTCAATATTTTTGACGTCGCTGACGTCACAGGACACCACATCTATCACAACCAATCTACCATTAACCACAGATTACCTCGATCTAAATACTACATCTTCAGCTATCATGACAACAGATGGCATCGTTACCATAACAACAGAGCCGACCTCAACGACAACCATGGCAACTACCACAACTGTGATAACAACACTTCTTATCGCCTGCACTAAACCCCCTGCTGTCAGCAACTCCTTATTTACATTTACCGGATATGACGTCATTTATACCTGTAACAGTGGATTTACTATGCGTGGTGCGTCAAGACTTGACTGTGACGTCACCAAAGGTCAATGGGTTGACAGCCCCCCTTCATGCTCTCCTCTTGACCTTCGACCCCAAGTACACAATACCGTCAATATTCCGGAAACGAAAGGTAGGATAAATTTATTTGAGGATGTCTGGTTACAGAGTAAGGAGGAAATCAAGTTGATTGCGGGAATCTTGCATCTATCGGATATCTTGTGTGTTAGAGTTATGGATAGAGTTAGGAATATCTGCCCCCTGGCCCTACCTCGGAGTGTGGGAACTTCTCATCTCTCAATTCGTACTGAAACCGGATTCTTCCAATCTATTTATCTCTATAATTTGAGCTCGGGATAAAGCAGATTCTCTATATAAAATCATATTCCTGAAGCAATTGCCCGAGAAATCCCTCTTTGGTCATTGCTGGATTGGCTTCTGATACTTGAGCTTTTGAGGGAGTGTGTGTATTCTTCCTGTTCAATCAAATCTATCCCCAAGCACTGAAACATGACAGTCCTTCTTTTAATCAGGGGCCTTTCCTAAAACTTTGGACAGTGATTTAAGGTATTAAAAAACGGTGAAATTGTTGTTCGTCTCAAAACAATATTGTTTACATTTTATCCAAATTGATAGCCTCGTTTGTCAAGCAATTAGTTTTTCTGCAATAGTCTGCTATGACGTAACGTTATGTAAACATATTTGGTCCAATTTGGAGCTCTATTTAAAGCGTAATGCTTTTGTAAAGCAGGCTAGCTTATTGGTTGATATAAAATATGACTAACCGTTTAACAATTTAAAATGACTCGACCTCTTTTAACCATACAGAGGTTGCCTCCATCACAACCTAACATATTACTTCATTTTCACATAAATCAAAGCGGTTTGGTCAGGAACGGACTAGGAACCGGAGGCCTTTGAGTATGGCCCCGTAAGGGGGTGGGGGCTCTCTTCTTCGAGCGCGAGAATTCATCCAAAACGACGTAATTTCAAGACTGAAAAGCTGAAAAGGGCCCCAAACTAAAAAAAAAGGTGGGGGGGGACAAACTACTTGAGAACATTAGTTTCCTTAGTGGCCCCTGAGCATACTCTAGTCCTATTTATAGCCCTTTTTGGATCAGCAACTGGGCCTAGAGTGCTCCTCATCTGGGTTTCAAAAACCGCCGTTTCAAGTACGATCGAAATAAAACTTGCATGCTTGTTCCTTGGACAACTGCGGATCAGTTGACGGGCCTCACAGTTCCACGATGACTCTGATGACGCCAAACTTGAAGTGTAGAATAGTACAATCATTTTGTTTTCTATATTTTTGTATATATTTGTAGAAGCTATAAAAACTGAAGATATCAAACTGATAGTAGCTGTATTGGGTGGTTTATTGGGCTTGATTGCTCTCATTGGTTTACTATTGTTTATAACACATCTCTGTGGGTAAGTTACTCATCACTCGGCAAACCTCGGCAGATTCCGGTAACCTAGATCTAGCCTATTGAGTCCACGATCTGGTACGTGCAGGTTTGTTACAACTGACCTCAATATAGGATAAGACCTAATAGGATCACCACGATTACGGAGAGGGAAATATATGCCAACTTCAGTGAATATAAGCTAAATGCTTAGAGGATGGGAATAGGGTTAGGGTTACCCAGGGCGAAATATCGCGCTAACAACCACTAATAAAGCTGAAAATGTCCAATACCTTCCCTAACCGTATTTCATGAACGTATTGTGGTGATTGGCGGTTCCTGGAGACCCCGTCGACCATACTCTGTTTTTCACATAGTTGTCCAAACCTTCAAAATAACAAACTTCTCATCTTGGCAGGAGTTGTTACTTTACCAAGAATGTACCCTAATATTTCTGGCAATAGGATCTGTGACGTCACCCTCCTTCCACGATCTTATTTGTCAAATCTTCCCAGTATTGGGATTTTAAATACAATTTCCTTAAAATTCTAATTTTCTTGTGTTTTGGTTTTAATAAAAATGACAATTTGATTAAAACACAGATCCTATTTCGTTTCGTTTTCTATAGTTCAAAATTTCGTTTTACACGTCTTTACTTCACTAAGATCTGGAAGAGTTCTAGGTGGTGTGACGGATTAGCCAATGAAACGGTCTGTTACGGCGAGTTTTTAGCGTGAGGCACACGGAACTGTGGGTAACACAATAGAAACATCAACGCTTATTGGTTAATCAAATGTCTGACGTCATAGGGTCAAAATCCGGTCTTATGATCCCTGACGCGACCTTCCACTACAACCGATCAGATCTTCATGTAATAAAGGCGATCGAAAGTAGTGTAGTAAAAATAGAATCTGTGTCAATAAATAGAAGTTTACTTTTTTTATTTGTATAAATATTTTTTGAGACAGATGTGGTACACCTATTTGTGGTGGAAGACGTCGTCCGGTAGAAAAAGAGCAACAGGCTGTCCAAACTGACAGAATGCACAGGAAGATATCCAACGGAGATGTAAGAATATTTCACAGTAACGTAGAACATACGTTTTACGACAGCGGCGACGTTTTAGTTGATCTGGAGAGTGGTCGCTATGTTGTTCCCAGAAAAGCATCTGATATTCCGGTAAGTTAAGACCTTTTATAAATGTACGCATTTACGCAGCGCGTTTTCGACGGCGAAAGAGTCTGTCTAATTCAAATGTAATGGCGCCGTTTCCATGAGACGTCGAAATCGCGCGGGAAAACACCGAGAAAGTACCTCGGGATTTCCCAGTGTGGTTTCCTCTTATCAGTGGTGCATGACAGAATGACTGACAATGAAAAGTGACTAGTCTCTAGGATGGTACAAAAATCACAACCAGCATCAATGTCAGTTTATTAAAAAAAAAACAATTTTCAAAAGACCCTCAATAATTTTATTTTAGTACTCTTAAAGTAGCTATGTCTCTAACTCAATATCATCCAAAGCCTTCGACAATGAAAACACAAATTATTTCTCAAATTAAATCAACATTGATGTTGTGATTTTATCGAGAAAAGATGGGCTTCTGATATCCAATATTAGACAAAGTAAAAATTTTACCAATGGTACACGAATCGTGTACCAGAATGCGTTTCAGGCCCATTCCTAACAAGGAACTTGAAGAACGAGGCTAGATGGTGACGCATATTCTTATCTTGAGAACATAAGCAATAAATACTATGTAGACTGGAATAACCAGACGCTAGAGTTGTCGTTCGATTGAGACTTAAGGCGTATTTCGCTGAACATAACTGATTTGAAATTAAAGTAAAGACAGAAATTGATTTACTTTCATATTACATTATTTTATGTGTTCTGACTCACTTGTGTTTATTTCTAGGTCCCAAATATAAGCGATTTAGCTCTTTGGAACCTTAAAGTAGATGAAAATGGGTCTAAAGCACATATGGGGGGGGGGGGGCGAATGGTTAGCAGTGCGTTCTGTATTATCATAAGGCCTGTCATTGAGTAATCTGGCGTGGTTTCGAATCCCCGGTTGCACGTGACAAGGAGTAGGGTCATCTGTTCAACCTCGTGGGTTTTCTCCGGGTCCTCCGGTTTCCTCCCACTGCTAAAGACCCCTATGTTAGTGAACAGTCCAAATGGAACAGCAGTTGAAATGGACCAGTATTGAATTCTAATTGGTGTTTAAATTTTGATTTAAAATGGATAATATTGAGTTAGAGGTTTAGCTCCTTTAAAGCTGCAATTTCATATTTTTAAGTTATATTTTTAAAATTTATTAAAATAAAGCCTAAAAATAGATGGTATCTATAAACAGTCAGACCTTGTTATAGAATAATCCTATTAATCCTATAATTCACTTTTGCTAGTTGAGAAATTCGCAAAAATATTATTTTCAACTTTAAATTCAAACGTTTGAGGATAGCTATTCCATGGGGGGGGGGGGGGAATAGAAAAGCATGGGAGGTAATTGTGTTATTATTTCCGGGGTCAAAGGATTTTTAAGGGGGAGAATAATACCTATGATCGTATAATAGTGAGTTGACAAACTATTGAGCAGACATATAGAAATAATTATGTTTTGACTTTCTTAGAAAATATGAAATTATCGCTTTAATATATATTGTACAGAACGATGATATGGCTCATCAACCAAATGGCAGCCTCGTTACCAACTATAACGAAGAATTGGTTCATCAACCAAACGTCACTAACTATAATAACTTTACAGCTGCTCAGGTAAGAAAAATCTCAAATCGTTTCTGTATCAGTAGAGGTGGGGTTGGATGGCCGAATGGGTTAACGCGTGCACATTGGATCATAAGGTCTGTCGTGACAAGAAGTAGGTTCGCCTGTCCAACCTCGTGGTTTTCTACGGGTCATCCGATTTCCTACCACTGCTGAAGACTCAACTCGCAAGCGAATAATCGTAATAAAATTAGACCATATTTATGTTAGTCATAAAATGATCGTTTTGGTAGGCCGACGTTTCAGCCACAGAGGCATTTAAGGCTGGTTCTAGATGGAATGGCGGAAGCCCTTTGACCAGTGAGATACGTATGAATGAATGTATTAAATCACCCTCTAACAACTTTTTACTTAGGACCCACCACAGTAAATCCCTTAAAAATGCACCAGTATATGCAATCTGAACGACAGACCCACCCGCAGAGCTAGCTGCCATTTAATTTTCGCACGTTAGTTACGTTCGCGGTATATGCACACTCCATCAGACGTAGACGTTCGTATCTGAAGAAATGGATGTTCCATACTCCGTCCTGGAGCAGCCATATAAATCAGATTAGTGTTTACGTTCAATTTGTGTATTTCATAATATATGAATTATATTTTAATTTTTTACAGATACGGAGCAATACTATGGACTTCGACAAGAAGAGGAAAGGATCCGTGGATGTTAGAAGTTTGAGTCACCATAGCGACAGTCCCCATGGAAACCACAAATTATATCGGGCTCATCGGAAGGTGCAGGCAGTCAACTCATGGATGCCTCATTCTCGTCCAATTAGAAACATTAATACGAGTACTAAATAAAACTGGAAATATATTATAATATATACCGAGACTCAATGAAAACTCATCACTTTTTATAAATGGTTGATTGAAAATCTCGTTTGAGGGAAACACTAACTATCGGGTAATCCTGAATATAGCAACATCAGATCCAATCTGATTAAAACACAGATTCTATTTCGTTTCGTTTATTATAGTTCAAAAATTCGTTTTACTTGCCTTTACTGCATGTAGTAGAGGTCATCGAACGTATAAAAACAAAACGAAATATAGATCTGTATTTTAATAAAATAGATCGCGATCACTTAAACCCGCCCACGGAACAATTGTCTCAAACAAAAAATAGGAAAGTTGAAATTCACGATATAAGCTGCAGACATTGGGTATAAAATGTGGCTCTAAGACGCTATGGCCAGAACAAGTCCTACAATACTGTTGAAGCAGTGAAAGACACACCCATACTGTGGAAGCAGTGGAAGACACACCCATACTCTGAAAGCAGTAGAAGACACACCCATATGCCAGAGTTGACAACTGAACAGCTAGATAGAATCATTATATTGTAAAAATGGTTTCTGTTGGTTGGTTTATTATCTTGAATATAAGAGAAATCCAATATTGTCGTTTCTTAGTAATTTATTCAGTGAAGATAATGGTGAATTAACAAAATTATTTATATCTTCCAAAAGTACCTGCAACTCTTAAGATGCCACGTGTAGGATTGAACTCATTTTTTGATTGGTGGAAGACCAATTACGAAAGACGCCAAATTTCTAGAGACTGCACTGTTACAATATCCTCCGTCAGAAGATCTGGAAGCCATCTTGAGACGGCAGGATGATCGTTTCCAGGAGACAGAGTCCAATTGAGATGAAACAAGCCCGGGCTCGACAAGACCAGCACCAGCGCAAGGATGGTACTGTTGATACTGTGAGTCCACAAGGCGCAAGGATGGTACTGTTGATACCTTTTAGTCCACAAGCTGTGAGTCCACAAGGCGCAAGGATGGTACTGTTGATACTGTGAGTCCACAAGCTGTGAGTCCACAAGGCGCAAGGGTGGTACTGTTGATACTGTGAGTCCACAAGCTGTGAGTCCACAAGCTGTGAGTCCACAAGGGTTCATCAATCATCTGTGTTCACTTCAATCTCATTAAAATACAGATCTATATTTCGTTTCGTTTTTTTATACTTTCGATGGTCTCTACTACACGAAGATCTGGCCGGTTGTTGTGAAAGGTTGCGTCAGAGGTCATACGAGTAGTTTTTGACCCAATGACGTCAGACAACTGATTAACCAATTCAATTCCCGTTGATGTTTCTAGTGGGTTACACACAGTTCTGTGCACCTGACGCCAAAAAGTGGTAACAGACCGCTCCATTGGCAAATCCCTCACATCATCCAGAACGCGGGTTATATAACAACTCTTCCAGATACTAGTGTTGTGAAGACAAGTAAAACAAAATTTTAAACTATAAAAAACGAAACGAAATAGAATCTGTGTTTTAATCAGATTGTGTTAACTGTCGTACTGTTGGATCTAGCGCGGCTACTGACATTTGATGTTTGTACCTTTTGTTGTGGCCCCTGTGGATTGTTGTTGATTTTCTTGTGTGGATAACTTTATCCAGCCAACAATCATACCAACAATAACATTTCAGATGTATTATGTCTCGCCAGCCCTTCCTGTCAAATCAGTGGTATGTTTTCATTACGTCTCAGTATACGTTTTTCTATCAATTATACACGTAGACGTCATTATTAAAGTTTCTCCCAAATATAAATAGAAAGGCAATATTTGTTTTACTTGGCTTGTCTCAGTATATTTTTTACCGTTTAACGAATTGAAGTTTTAAACGAATGATGTCGGGATAACATACTGGAAATGACGTCAGGCTATTTTGACGTCAGTATGAAAATTGAAAAAAGGGAAACGAGCAATAGGGGTGAAGTAGGAACGAGTCCGAGAGATTGTTTCTGTGTGGCGTCGACCCGGATAGCGTCGTTGTCGTTTGCTTGAATTTTTGATTTCCAAATGCACACCAGTGTCGAGTGTGGACCTTGGTTATAGTACGGTTAGTACCACCCTACCGACTAGGGGGAGAGAGAGAGGGAGATTTAACGTCCACTCGACACAGTAAATGGACTGTGGTTTAATGTTCAAACAGTGTGCTATGAGGGAAATTTTGCATGGGCAGCGACACTATGGTATTATATCGAATTTCAACGGTTAAAAATGTATATTAATGAAATAATATCTTCCTACTGTTCTGTACGAACCGGACTAATGAAGACGGACATGCGCCATACATTGTGCTATGAGGGAAATTTTTGCCCGGGCAGCGGCACTATGGCCTACACCATACAGTGATTGATAAGAGAAAGTGGTGTATGTCCGGGTAGTAATTGAATTCTTACTGCCAACGGGTCTTTTCCGTGCACGCTAACGTTTATACTGGATAAAAAACTAGGTCATATTCTGACTAACATGTGGTTTAATGTGATTTCAATAATTCAGCTGCATGTAGGGATCTTTAATTAGCAGCGGCATGAAAACGGCGGCCCGAAGAAAACCCACGAGGTTAGACAGGCGACCCTAGTCCTTGTCACGTACAAGAGGGGAATCGCAACCACGTTACTTGACTCAATGAATAGGGCGTGTGATATATATATATATAGACGGGGAGGTTTAACTTCCACACGACACAAACTAGGTCATTTCAATCTTATTTCAATAATACGCTTGCTCGTTTGGGTCTTAAGCTGTTGGGGGAAAACCGGGAGACCCACAGAAAACCCACAAGGTTGGACAGACAAACTTACTCCCTGTCACATAAAAACGGGGAATGGAAACCACGACAGAAATTATTAGTATTTCGGGAAAACGGACAAACTTGCCATTTGTGGAGACAGTAATGTCTATCCCTAGAGATTTATGACAGTTTGTCGTCATCTCGCCATCTTTATTCTGATCACTGGAAACAGTAATGATTTCTACCCGATTGATTTGTGCCAACCTCTATCTTGATGGCCATTCTGGTAGACGAATGAGTGCTGGAATGATTCAAATAGGCTATAAAATACTGGAATAGGTTGGGAGTCATCTCATCAAACGATTGAACACTGTAAGAGAATTATTGACTTCTAGGTAGTGTTATTGGCAATAATATCGACTCGTGTAATATTGGATTACAAAAGCATCCATGAAGAGAGGGAGAGAGAGATGGGTTTAACGTCCACTCGACATAAACTAGGTCATTGTGGGACTAACACATGGTTCATTTTTTTTTCAATAATTCGCTTGCGCGTAGGGGTCTTTAGCAGTGGGAGGAAACCGGAGGACCCGGAGAAAACCCACGAGGTTGGACAGGCGACCCTACTCCTCGTCGCGTACAACCTGGGAATCGAAACCTCGCCAGTTGACTCAATAACAGACCGTATGATTCGGCCACCCCCCCCCCCCCTCCATGGAGAGAGAGAGAGAGAGTTTAACGTCCACTCGACACAAACTAGGACATTATTTCAAGAATTCGTTTGCGCGTAGGGGTCATTAGCCGTGGCAGGCAACCGGGGGACTCTGAGGAAACTCACGAGGTTGGACAAGTGGTTCTACACCTTGTCACGTTCAAGCTAGGAATCGAAACCACGCCACTTGAATCAACGAAATCACCGTGATTAAAAAAACAAAATTACGTCATACAGTGTACTGTGAGGTAAATTCTGTCCGCCTTGGTCCATCGAATTCCAACTGACAAGGATTCTTGTACGTGCACGTCAACGTCCCATCCTAACGACTTGCTGCACCACTGACTGACAAGGGTGACCACGCTGACAAAACAAACACCAAATTGAAACGAGATCTACATGTGAAAGAATGAGCCTGCGCTTTACTCACTGCGATAAATACAGTTTTACTCCAATTCTTCTGACTAATTTAATGCTTCATGTATTGCTACTGACGAGTTTGTTTAAATCCAAGATAAAAAACTATGAAGTACCCATCACATCTGAGCGGATTCCGGCCCATGCGCATGCAATGCTTCGCACGTTATACCCCCGTCAGACCGGGGTGGCGCACGGGCTCGATGACAGTTAGGGGGGGGGGGGGGGCAGAATGGGCCGGTGTACCCCCCCCCCTCCCACAAGTAATAATTTTGGAAAATTTGACGGCCGAAACAATTTCCTGTTATTCATCCTGTGAATACAGCAACTTCAAATTGGTCTAATATAGCCTAATTAAGATGGCTGACTCGACTTTCAATCAATCGTTTACAGTCCACGGAGACGGGGCCGCCAGCAGAAAAGTTTGAAAATTTAACTGCTGTAAACGCGTTTTCCTGCTGTTTCGGTCTGTTAATAAAGTAAAGTCAATATGGTTCAATATAGCCCACCTTTGGGTGGCTGGCCTGAATCCCCAACAACCAATCAATCGTCTCGGGGTATGGGGGCCTCACCCTCCAGGAGAAAATTTTGAAACTAACTACCGCAAATGCGTTTTTCTGCTTCTCTAGCCCGTGAGTTATCTAATGGTTTTGTAACCGAAATCCCACTATATGTCGACCTGAATTCCAACCATCCAATCAGACTGTTGCAGCTGCATTCACTTATAATAATCGAAGCCCGATAAATGTCGCACAAAGTAGAGTGATTCCAGACAAAATGTTTTAATCCATAATTAATTCAGTACAATTTCGTGGTATTCAATTAAAAGAAAAGTAAAATTACCGTTTTATTACACTTCGGGCACTTTATTTTGCCAACTAGATGAAATATTTTTTTTTTTACTTTACCCGTTTCCCCGAAATGTCCGATCGGTGGCGGCGCCAAGAGTTGGGGGGGGGGGGAGTCAAGTGGTGACCTCTCTCATACGCCTAGTGACAAGTGGTGACCTCTCTTATACATCCAGTGACAAGTTATGGGACCTCTCTCATACACCCATTGACTAGTGGGAACTCCCTCATACACCCAGTGATACGTGATGACCTCTCATAAGCCCATTGACAAGTGGGGACCTCCCTCATACACCCAGTGACAAGTTATGGGACCTCTCTCATACACCCAGTGACAAGTGGTGGCTTCCTCCATACACCTGATGACCAATCTCACACACCTGGTGATAAGTGAATAATGGGGACCTCAATCATACACCCATTGACAAGGGGGGACCTCTCTCATACACCCAGTGATACGTGATGACCTCTCTCATACACCCAGTGGCAAGTGGTGACCTCCCTCATACACCCAGCGATAAGTGGTGACCTCTCTCATAAGCCCAGTGAAATAGTTAATTAAAACACAGCCGTTACAATCATTGCCATCTGATCTATTTTTAAACTCAATCAAGTCTCGTGTCTAGCTTTCTGAACAGCCGCCATCTGGATATATCAGAGTCATGATAAGATGAAACGAGATACTTTTATTAGATTGTTGAAAAGTTCACCTTTAGTTTTATATTCATATATCACATGATCTATGTTACCAAGGTAACGAAATATATTCACTAACTGCTGTATAAATCTAACAAAAATGGCACTCACTTTTAAACTTTGGTCTCAGAAAAAAGCAAAAAATAAATACTGATAGTAAGTAAAAGTTTGCAAATTTAACAAATTACTAAAGATAAACACAAATTGGGTACTTACAAATTATGTATTTCATATAAAAAACGAAAATATGACTATTTTGTTACATTTGGCTTTTGGTTTGAACTGTCAATTTAAACTTTGAGTATCTGGAATGTGGTTCCTTGGGGTGGAAGGGGGGGGGGGGGGTGGTGGTGGTTTAAGGTCAACTCGATAAAACTAGGTTATTTCGGGACTAACATATGGTTCAATTTTATTTGGTGTGGGGGTCTTTAGCAGTGGGGGGGGGGGGGAACCAAGGGAGGACAAGCAAGGTAGGACAAGCAAGGTTGGACAGGCGATCCTACTCCTTGTCACGTATAACCAGGGAATCAAAACCACGCCAGATGACTCAATGACAGACCTTATGATACAGCGGGTATGCGCTCAGCCATCCAATCCCCTGGTTCCTTTAGTTGATAGATAACAAAGATAAATGGCCTTCCTATGTCTAAGGTGCTTGTCATATGGGTATACAATAATAACAAATAAAATAATAAAAATTGGCCACACAGAAAACCAAATAATTAAATAGGTACAGGTAATGATATGCATTAAAACCGATTGTTACATGGACAGGAAATCTTCCTTTGTTCTTTTCGTTGAACAAGCAGATTGTTTTCCCTCTAGTAGATTGGGTGGGGCTTAACCGAGCAATAACTAGACATGTTCAATGTTATTGCACTCTTTTGCTGGTTTACACTAGTTTTAGTAGAAATCATATAGAGAAGTGGGGTGGGTTTTCTGTGCAATAACAACACGCATGTTGAGTAGGTGTCAATGTTACAAGTCATTTATACGGCCTCGATGTTTAAACCTGTTAACTCATGAAAGCCGTGCTATAAATATAACTTATAAACTAAATGTAAATATTCTGTTTGGTAAATTAGAAATTAAACAATAACAATATGATGTAAAATTGTCAGACCCAAGGATGAATACAAATAATCTAATCTGTATTTATTTACAATTGTGTGTATTATTATAGGCCTATTAAATTAATCAATAATATATATAATTTATATTTGATAAATATAATCCATACAATTATAATTTATATTTGTTATATAATTTATATTTGATAAATATTATATATAGAATTATAATTTATATTTGATATATAATTTATATTTAATATATAATTTAGATTTGATAAATATTATCCATATTTAATATATTATCTACAGAATTATAATCTATATTTGTTATATAATTTATATTTGATATATAATTTATATTTAATATATAATTTAGATTTGATAAATATTATCCATATTTAATATATTATCTACAGAATTATAATCTATATTTGTTATATAATTTATATTTGATATATAATTTACATTTGATAAATAGTATCCTTATTTAATATAGTATCTATAGAATTATAATCTATATTTGTTATATAATTTACATTTGATAAATATTATCCATATGAATATAGTCTATATTTATATTTTGATAACTATTATCAATATGAATATAGTCTAAATTTATATTTTGATAAATATTATCAATATAAATATAATCTATATTTATATTTTGATAAATATTATCAATATGAATATAATCTATATTTAATATATAATTTTTGTTTAAGCCAAATGGTAATATAGATTCTATATTTTCAATTCAATCTATATTTAATGCAAAATCTATATTTAATATTACTTTGTTAATTTTCATATTTGTGGTATATACAATTTACATACTTTTAGAATATATAATTCCCCTAGTTTTGGAATATGCAATATTCATTTTTTTTGATAATACAATTACCATAATTTTGAAATATACAATGTGTATACAATTATTGATATATTGCGTATAACTATCCATATTTGTGTATAATTATCCATATTTTGTGTATAATTATCCATACTGTAAAATTATCTATATTTTGTGTATAATTATACATATTTGGTGTATAATTATCCATATTTTGTGTATAATTATCCATGTATAATTATCCATGTATAATTATCCATATTTTGTGTATAATTATCCATACAGTAAAATTATCTATATTTTGTGTATAATTATCCATACTTTGTGTAAAATTATCCATATTTTGTGTATAATTATCCATATTTTGTGTATAATTATCCATAGTTTCTGTATAATTATCTATACTTTTGTTCAGGTTAAGATTTCTTTTGATATTCTCCTCTAAATGTAAGAATAGATTTGACAAGGCTTCCAGGTCTGTCCAGTGTAATAGAATGACCACATTTTTCTATAATATCAATTTGTTGACAATTTGGTAATAATTCCTTTAAAACATCAACACCACTGATATCTATGATCTGAAATAAAAACAAGACAAGATATCAGTAATGGGGTTTAACCACCACTCAACATACAACCAGGTCTTTATAGGGACTAACGCATGGCTCAGATTTCAACAATTAGTGCGAGGACCTGGAGAAAACCTACGAGGTTAGGCAGGTGTATAAAGTTACACAAAAAACTGTTGGACTCTTTATAGGCAGCTGTATATTGGGGATCTAAGATTTAAAGAGCTCAGGAGAAATGAGAGTTTATCAGGGTTTACATCTTTATTGGAGACTTGGATGGTCATGCTTGGATTATAACTCCTAGCGGTGTCCATATATTTATACACATTATTATTATGACCTACCTCATCGTGTTTACCCCACATTATCTGTGTATGACCTACCTCATCGTGTTTACCCCACACTATCTGTGTATGACCTAACCCACACCTCATCGTGTTTACCCCACACTATCTGTGTATGACCTACCTCATCGTGTTTACCTCACATTATCTGTGTATGACCTACCTCATCGTGTTTACCCCACACCATCTGTGTATGACCTACCTCATCGTGCTTGCCCCACACTATCTGTGTTGGTACTGTAATTTTTCTGGATTTCTCCTCCAATAACGTTGTTGAATGTTCTGAAGCAAGAGCTTTGAATACTGGTGTAATAAAAAATCAAGTGATAATCAGAGCCAAGAAAGGGTAATTTTGAGACTAACATATGGTATATTTCTTAATTCATAAATTCATTTATGTAAAGCAGTCAAATTTACATATCTTAAAAGTCAAAGTTGGTCAAATTTACATATTTAATGGTGAATTTACATATTGGAATGATCAAATTCATAAAAATTTGAAAGTCGAAAAATCCCAAAACCCATGTGTTAAATATAGTTCATGTCTACCATGTTCCACTATACCCTGTTTTTAAATATAGATGGTGTCTACCATGTCCCACCATACCCTGTCTATAAATATATTTCATGTCTACCATGTCCCACTATGCCCTGTCTACCATGTCCCACTATACCCTGTCTATAAATATAGTTCATGTCTACCATGTCCCACTATACCCTGTTTTTAAATATAGATGGTGTCTACCATGTCCCACTATGCCCTGTCTATAAATATAGTTCATGTCTACCATGCCCCACTATACCCTGTCTATAAATATAGATGGTGTCTACCATGTCCCACCATACCCTGTCCACCATGGCCCACTATACCCAAGTTGGTAATTCTATTAATCCCACAACAATCCATCAACAATACAGAGTTTTTTTGTACTTACATTGAAGAAAAAAAGGGTTTTTAGGTTTTCTCAAATCAACCAATCCTTGCAGAATCTAAAAACATGTACAAAACAAAACAAATCAAAACAAAAATTTTATTGATGTGAATCAAATACAGACAATATTCCTACTCATTTAGGTACGTACATGTTTAGGATTACCGTGGAGTAATTCAAAACGACGTTACTCCTATGTAAGCAGGAGAGAAAAATGGGCAGAAGCACCTCCTCTAATGCTAGGTTCCAACTATCACGATTCGTTCTGCGACTGAAATCGTCGTTTTTTTCATTGTGGTGATCCTATCAGGTCTTATCATTATATTGAGTTCAGTCGTAGAAATCGTGTTGATCGTATAGTATCAAACGAATCTGCATGTACCAGATCGTGGACCAATCAGGGACAATCCTATCGCATCGCATCGCACAACAGTGCAAACCTAGTAAAAGTAAAATTGCTCGTATGGTTTTGATCTTCTTCATCAGCCCAGTAGATCACGCTAAAATCACTGGAAGACAATAGAACTATGTCTGTAATTAGCATGGCGTATGGATATAAATACTCATTGTCCAACCAGCTTTTGATGATAAATTATCTCTATGAATACGCTCAAAACAGTCTGAACCAAATTAGTTTAACGACAAACATGATGTACGCTAAGTGGTTGTCTCTATGACTACGCTCAAAACAATCTGAACCAAATTAGCCTAGTAACACAGCCATTGTGATTCATTACACAAACTATATAGAGAGAAAGACAGAAATCCTCCTTTATGTCCACTCGACACAAACTTGGTAATATGAGTTGTGATTGGTTACATGTCAGCTACGCACATACTATATGTACGATCTAAAAGACGTTAAAAATAGGGGGGTTGGGATGGCCAAGTGGTCTAGAGTGACACGCTTCAACCTCTAGCTGGCTGGTCACCTCTGGCTTGCAGTTGTGGTTGCGGTCCCTGGTGTGAGCGTATGTGGCTTGGAGATAGGGGCGCCTTCTCAACCTCGTGTGTTTACTCCGGGTACTCGGGTTTCATTCCACAGGGAAGACCCCTGCGTGTGCGTTCAGATAATAAAGATAGGTTGCCAGGCAACAAAACACACGCCCACAGCAGCTAAATCGTCCGAGCGGTCGTCAAGGGTTGTCGCATATTTATTCCTTTGTAGGTAATTGGGAGCCTATATAAGACAGTTCCATACAGATCAGATTATAAATTTTGTCGTTTGAGGGTTTACAAGGTTCTACAAACTGAAGCAAGGGTCTTAACTCTGGAAGTAATCTACAGAAATTATTGATATTTGACAGGCTTTTTCGTTTTATTAATTTATGCATATAAATTTCATACAGATCACATTTGTCATTCAAACGTTCACAATCGCCATAACTCTAGAAATTATTGACGGAAATTGCTGAAATTCAATAGACCTGTTTCACAAATTTAAATGATGCATATAAATTTCATACATATCGGATGATAACTATTATCAATCGAGCATAAACAAGGTTTAACAAAGTGAAACAAGAGCAATAACTCTAGAAGTAATTATTGTAAATTGCTGAAATTCAATAGGCTTTTTCGTTTCACTAATTTAATTCATGCATATAAATTTCACAATGATCGGGTGATAACTTTTGTTGTTGGAGCATTCACAAGGTACAACAAAGTGAAACAAGGGCCATAACTCTAGACGTAATAAACGGAAATTGCTGAAATTCAATAGGCTTCTCCGTTTTACTAATCTAAATAATGCATATAAATTTCACAAAGATTGAATAATAACTTTTGGCGTTGAAGCTTTCACAAGGATCAATAAAGTGAAACAAGGGCCAAAACTCTAGACGTAACAAACGGAAATTGCTGCAATTCAATAGGCTTCTTCGTTTCAGTAACCTAAATAATACATATAAATTTCAGAAAGATAGGATGATAACTTTTGACGTGAGAGCGTTCACAAGGATCAATAAAGTGAAACAAGGGCCATAACTCTAGACGTAATAAACGGGAATTGCTGAAATTCAATAGGCTTCTTCGATTCAGCAATCTAAATAATGCATATAAATTTCAGAAAGATCGGATGATAACTTTTGACGTGAGAGCGTTCACAAGGATCAATAAAGTGAAACAAGGGCCATAACTCTAGACGTAATAAACGGGAATTGCTGAAATTCAATAGGCTTCTTCGTTTCAGCAATCTAAATAATGCATATAAATTTCAGAAAGATTGGATGATACCTTTTGACGTGAGAGCGTTCACAAGGATCAATAAAGTGAAACAAGGGCCATAACTCTAGACGTAATAAACGAAAACTGCCGAAATTCACTAGGCTTCTTTGTTTCAGTAACCTAAATAATGCATATAATTTTCAGAAAGATCGGATGATAACTTTTGACGTTAGAGCGTTCACAAGGATCAATAAAGTGAAACAAGGGCCATAACTCTAGACGTAATAAATGGAAATTGCTGAAATTCAATAAGCTTCTTCGTTTCACTAATTTAAATAATGCATGTAAATTTCAGAAAGATCGGATGATAACTTTTGGCGTTAGAGCGTTCACAAGAAATTGTGGACGATGGACAGACGGACCGACGGACGGACAGACAGACCGACAGACGGACCGACGTGGGCGATGGCAATATACGTCCACATTTCAACTTGTCTGCGTTATCACCTTCGGTGGAAGCAGATGTTAAACACTATGAACAACAACTGCCCATTTTGAAAGACAGGATCGGAAGCTGTAGAGTTAAGCACATACCTGTGTATTGATGTTTTTTTTATGATAAAGACAAATATCTAACATATTCTGTGCAGCGGCTGGAGTCTCAGGTATTAACGGACAATCTTTCATTTCAGTTTTTTCAATTCCATTTAAAATACATTCTTCTATAGTTTTAGTAAATAGACTGTGTTGTGGAGTCTTCACTGTAATAAAATATATTATTTTTAATAGAGAGATAGAAATGGGGTTTAAAGTCCTCTCGACACAAGATAGGTCATTTTGGGACTAACATATGGTTCAATTCCATTTCAATCAATCGCTTGCGCGTAGGGGTCTTTAGCAGTGGGAGGAAACCAGAGGACCTGGCGGAAACCCACGAGGGTGGATAGGCGATGATCCTACTCCTTGTCACGTACAAGCAGAGAATTGAAGCCATGCCACTTGACTCAATGACAGACCTTATGATGCAACGTGCATGCTTTAACCGTCCTCATTTTTAATTAAAACACACCTGGCTAATTAAAATACACTTAACTAATTAAAGATACATTATGGGAGATTAGATAAAGAGCTGACAATTCTCACTATAATAGTTAAAAACTAGATAACGTAAAAGGAATTTGATGAAAATTTTAGTCAAATTGATCCACTCTGAACCAAGAATTTAGCGATTGAATTTTAGGCCTAGTCTCGATCATCATTGATCATCATTAATAAAGTCAGTCGATAAAAAAACATAGTCTCGATTATCCATTTCTTGATTTAACCATGAATGAGCATTGAGCAACAGATCAGATCCTAATCCAGTAAATATCGCAGGTTAGTGATGACTTCGAGAGTTGATTATGGTTTGGATAAGTTAATTAATGTCTAATTAATAATTTAGATAACATTTCAGGCCTAAAGAAAGACTTGCAATAGACAGATTTAGCTCTTGCATAATGTATGTTTAAATGAGTATTTATTGGGAAGTTATTTCCAATAAAGTATGGCTAGTTGGGTATATATTGAAAGTAGAGACACTAAATCTTACAAGAGAAATACTGGATTCCTTGAAAAAAATGATAATTTAAAATCTGATTTAAATATATGAATCTAAATGAAATATATTAAGATACACTTTTCAATGAAAAGACAGAGATGTAATTAAAATCTTTAATCAGTTCAGGGGGTTTGGGTGTGTTGTATCATACGGCCTGTCATTGAGTCAACTGGCGTGGTTTCGATTCCCTGGTTGTACATGTCAAGGAGTAGAGTCGCCTGTCCAACCTCGTGGGTTTTCTCCGGGTCCTCCGGTTTCCTCCCACTGCTAAAGACCCCTACGCGCAAGCGAATTATTGAAATAAAATCAAACCATATGTTAGTCCCGAAATGACCTAGTTTGTGTCGAGTGGACGTTAAACCCCATATCTCTCTCTTTAATCAGTTCAACTTGTAGGCCTAGGTTTGCATGTAGATACCATGTAAATAAATGGATGACTTACTTGCAGGACATATTAAAGACAACGATGCCACAGTTTCAGGATATTCTGCTGTATACAAACCCACTGTAGTGCCACCCAATGATGCTCCCACTAAATGAAACGGTTCTTTATCTAACTTCATTAATTTAACAAACTGAAACAACAATTTTTACTAATTCTGACCTAAACATATAAAAACAAAACTTTTCTTCCATGAAGGGAGGGAGCCACGGTGGCTAGTTGGTTATGGTGCTGGCTCGTTAGCCTGGAGGTCACGTGTTCGATCCATGCATTGGCCGAGAAAGTTCATCGGGATTTTCCGACGTGGTTTCCCCTTGTCAGTGGTGCAGAGCAGAGGGCCTGACAAGTAAAGCTGTCTAGTCCTTCGGATGAGACGAAAAACCGAGGTCCCGTGTATACATTGGAATGCACGTAAGAGATCCCTTGGCAGTTGGAATTCGATATAAGAGTAGGCGATAGTGCCGCTGCCCGGGCAAAATTTCCCTTATAGCACACTGTATGGCGTTAGCCCAGTTCGGAGCAGAACAGTAGGACGTTAAACCCCATTTCATTTCATTTCCATGAAGGGAGCTGAGCCGGCTTAGTGTGTTAGATGCTGGTCGCTAGCCTGGAGGTCTCTGGTTTGTTACTGATGTTGGCCTAGAAACTTCCATGGATTTTTACGAGGTGGTTTCCCAACGTCAGTGGTGCAGGACGGGGGGGCCTGCCTGACAAGAACAGCTGTCTAGTTGGTTGGATCAACGAAAAACTGAGGTCCTATGCACGTAAAAAGAACCCTTGACAGTTGGAATTTCGATAAATAAGAGTAGGCCATATGACCGATATCTGGGCTAAATCTTCTACCAAATATTATTCTATATTACCTTGTGAACATGTTCTACGAGATATTGTATTCCCAGTTTCTCTCCTTCTCTTGGACTAGATGTCAGACCGTGACCAGGTAGATCAACGGCTATTAGATGAACATCTGATGGAAGTTTCTGTCAAATAAAAACAAACATTATTACGATTACATACGGCCATACAAGGGTAATTCTTACCAAAAATCTGATGAGGGACAGAGGTTTTTTGGTTTTGTGATTTTATTTTGTCAAAGGATAGGAGTTTTTAAATAGCAGTGGGAGGAAACCGGAAGACCAGGAAAAAACACACAAGGCTGTACAGGCAACCCTACTCCTTGTCACGTACAATCGGGGATTCGAAACCACGCCAGTTGACTCAATGACAGGCTTTATGATACAGCGCGCACATGCTAACCATTCGACCATCCAACCCCCGTACCTATCTGTGGTTATTGTAAATTTTATATGACCACAGAAATAAATGACTGATATTTTAATGAAAGTGAAAAAAGGTAAAGACTAACCTTAAAGAACTGTAAATATTGTTCTTTAGATCCAGTGAAACCATGTACAGCTAATATCGTTAGTTTATTTTTCTGTTTTTTTCCTCGTTCAGCATAACAATATATAAAATCTTCATTTTTAATATATTTTACATTCATACCACTTCTCTTGGCATCTAATCTACAAAAAACCCCACAAATCTTTCAATAAATCAAGGGATGTGGACCCAAATAGAAAACTTAAAATATCCTTTTGTTTATTAGGGATTGTGGACCCAACCATAAAACACAAAATGGGATGTGGACCCAACCATAAAACACAAAATGGGATGTGGACCCATCTATAAAACACAAAATGGGATGTGGACCCAACCATAAAACACCTAATGGGATGTGGACCCATCTATAAAACAAAAAATGGGATGTGGACCAAAAACCAATTAAAAGGTTTGGATTCCTAGAAGAACATTTTGAGATATTGTGGTGCAAACATAGCAAGTCATCAAATGAAATGAAATGGGGTTTAACGTCCTACAGTTCTACACCAACAGGGCTAATGAAGAAGGGCATACAACCATACAATGTGTTTTAAGGGAAATTTTGTTTTTTGGTACATCCAAACAACTAGATCTTTTTTCGTGCCAAACCCATGACTTGGGGAAACCAGACTGGAAAACCCCTAGGAACTTTCTTGGCCAGCTTTATACTCACTGGGGCACCATGGTCCAAAAAAGAAAGTATTCTGTTAGTTTTTTTCAAAGAAGAGTTGGGATGGCGGGTTTGGTTGGTGGGTCTCTGTGTGTGGGGAGGGGGGGGCTCCGCTATCAGTCATTATATTTGACTCCAGTTTCTGAGCTAGATATTATCATACTGATTTTCGTAACGCCCATAGTAACAAGTTCTTATAATATATGCTCCATTCTTTAAGATAAATCAAAGACAGTCTACAAACCTCATGAACCAGTAGACGAGATGTTTCGGACTGATAAAAAACAGGGCAACAGCTCCTGTTACCATGGATACCAGAACAGCTGATGATGAATATATTATATACTGCCACATTTTAATCTGAAAACAAAAAATGAACACAATTTACAGTGGTCGAACACTATCCTCTTGACTATAATGCCCACGATCCGGGTGGCGTGAGAAGCACCTTCACATTTTTCTAAGAGAGAGAAATTGGGGTTAACGTCCACTCGACACAAACTAGGTCATTTCGGGACTAACATATGGTTCAATTTTATTTCAATTTTTTGTCTGTGCATAGGGGTCTTTAGCATGTAATTTGGCTTCAAATGTTATTTATTCACATGCCAAGCCATTAATTAACTCTCTAGTCCATCAAATGGCCAAGATTTACAAGGATTAGACAAATGAAACTTAGCCTCGATTGTCAAGTATCACTGCTTCAATAATAAACAATCTATACTACATCTTAACTTCACTCATAACTTTGCTCAGAATAAAGTTATTTAAATGAAATTTTCAATATATTAATTTTTGATGATCTATTTTTGAGCTATTATACATGTAACAAGAAAGACTAGCTCTTTATCTAAATCTTATATAATACATCTTTAATCATTCTCTTTTTTTTAAATGAAATGAAATGGGGTTTAACGTCGTACTGTTCTGCTCCTAAACTGGGCTAATGAAGACGGGCATATGCTATGAAGGAAATTTTGCCCTGACAGCGGCACTACGGCCTACTCTTATATCGAATTCCAACTATCAAGGGATCTTTTACGTGCACTACACGGGACCTCGTTTTTTTGTTCCATCCGCAGGACTAGACAGCTTTCCTTGTCAGGCCCTCCGTCCTGCATCACTTCTTTTTTTTGAACTATTATAGCAAGAACGACCAATTAACTCTTTATCAAAATCTTATATAATGTATCTTTAAGTCTTTCACACTTGTGTTAATTTAATTACCTGTCCTTACAGTTAGCCTCACCTTTTACCTGAAGGATAATGTAGACAATGATTGTATCATGGCCCCTACCCTACATACCACTGCTACCATAACAGATAAGATATAGGTCACCAATGGCCAATATATCGAGGTCTAATAAATATTTTTTGCTGTGTCATCAGTCCTCCCACTGATAATACGGTAATATTTTTAAAACATACTTAAATTTAAAGTCTCTATGTGTCACAAATATCTCATGTTGTAAAATAAAATATTAATACAGCAAGATTATTTACCCTATACTGCCCAATACCACCCAATAATAACCAAATACTACCCACCACATACAACCAAATACCACTCAATACTAACCCAATACCTACCCAATACTAACCCAATACCTACCCCAATACCACCCAATACTCATCCAATACTGCCCAATACTCATCCAATACTACCCAATACGAACCAAATACTACCAAATACTACCCGATACCTACCCGATACCTACCCAATACTGCCCAATACTGCCCAATACTACCCGATACCTACCCAATACTGCCCAATACTAACAAATACTACTCAATACCACCCAATGCTACCCAACAATACCCAGACAGAGATAGAAAAATGGATCTTAATGTCCATGCAACCCAACTCTTTGTCACGTACAAGCGGGGAATGGAAAGCACGCCACTTGACTCAATGACAGATATTATGATCAGCCACCCAATCCTCCAAATTTGTTAGGAGGCAGGATTTAATTTCATCCACAGGGCCACACAATCCACAGCATCCTAGTTCAATGGATATTGAAATTAACACAATCTGCTGCAGCCTACCCAGTTGATTTCTAAACTGCTCACTGATTGGTTCCTTATCAAGTTTACGAAGTACAACATCAATTATCAGGTACAGGTAATTATTAGGTACAGGTAATTATAAGGTACTACAGGTAATTACATCATTATTAATGTTAACAACATTGATTAGCTTGTCATCTTTTTTCACTGGTTTGTTTGACACTACTTCTGAAACAACCTTTTAGTACTTGGTACAAGATAAGATAAGATAAGATTTTATTGTATCGAAACATCCATTTAGGACAGCATACAATATAAACATGTACATATATTTATAACAATATGACAAATAATATTTACAAATAAGACAACGGTAATTATAATCTAGCTTATGATATAGATTTACTAACAGGACAACAGTATGTAATGTACACATTTACCTCAAACAGGTTTGATAATGGCACAGCATTCAATACAATTATAATGCATGGGTATAAATATTATAAATACATAAATAACAAGCAAACAGTGAGGCTGATGTCCCCCGCCGAAATCCCCAAATAAATAGATGACACATATTAATTAATCGCACATCTATTTTTTTTCCAAAGTATCAAGCAATCAAACTGATTATCAACTATACACTAAGTTTCATCACTCTCTATCAGATAGAATCAAAGTTATCTTGTCCCAAAGCAAGAAATTGCTTATCTCTGCTTAGCTTTAGCTCGATATGTTAATCATTGAACTCAGTCAAGACGAACATCTACATCAAGTTTAAACATTCTACCTCAATTAGAAGAAGAGTTGTTATGTTCCAAAGTCTTGACCAATCAAACTACTTATTAAGAAGAAAATTCTCATCATCAAACTTAGTCAAGGTATTGATGTAATGAAACTATAAACCCAGTTTCATCAATCACACTTAATTAGAACCAAATTTATCGTGTTCCAAAGCATCAACCAGTCAAATTGCTTATCTCTGCTTACCCTAAGCCGAAAATGCCGATCTTCGCACTCCCTCAAGGCATTGACCTAATAAACACCTACACCAAGTTTGAACATTCTAGCTCAATTAGAAGGAGGGTTATTGTGTTCCAAAGTCTTGGCCAATCAAATTGCTTATCGCTCTGCTTACCCTGAGCAGAAAATGCTCATCATCGAACTTAGTCAAGGTATTGATGTAATGAAACTATACACCAAGTTTCATCACTCTCACTTAATTGGAACCAAAGGTATCGTGTCCTAAAGCATCAACCAATCAAATTGCTTATCTTTGCTTACCCTAAGCAGAAAATGCTTATCTTCACACTCCATCAAGGCATTGACCTAATAAACACCTACACCCAGTTTGAACATTCTAGCTCAATTAGAAGGAGGGTTATTGTGTTCCAAAGTCTCGGCCAATCAAATTGCTTATCGCTCTGCTTACCCTGAGCAGAAAATGCTCATTATCAAATTTAGTCAAGGTATTGATGTAATGAAACTTTACACCAAGTTTCATCTTTCTCACTTAATTAGAACTAAAGTTATCGTGTCCCAAAGCATCAACCAATCAAATTGCTTATCTCTGCTTACCCTAAGCCGAAAATGCTCATCTTCGAACTCCATCAAGGCATTGACCTAATAAACACCAACACCAAATTTGAACATTCTAGGTCAATTAGGAGGAGAGTTATTGTGTCCCAAAAAGTGTGACGGACAGTCAGACAGACAGACAGACGGACGGACGGACAGACAGACAGACAGACGGACGAACCCATTTTAATAGTTCCCTGCTTTCTTCGAAAGGCGGGGGACAACAAGAAGACTTAGTATATGTAGAGAAGTAGGGTTTAACGTATACAGGACACAAGCTAAGTTATCACGGGACTAACATATGGTTCAAGTTCATAGGGGTCTATAGCTGTGGAAGGAAACCTCTAGTCTACTCCTTGTCATGTACAAAAGTGCATGGGATTGAACCTTATGATTTGAAGTGCACATGTTCGACCATTCGGCTGTCCGACCCCCCCCCCACCACCCACCACCCACCCCCAAATGAAAATTGATGTAGTCTAAATTTCCTGTTTGTTCGTTAACCAATTAAACAGCGCAGATGGTCTAATCCAAGCAATATCAAAGCCATCTGATGATCTACAGAGTTGTTTAGGCATTGTTGGCTGATCTGACTACTCTTCTAGACGGCCCCATGTTCAGGTCTGAAATAGGGGAAGTGCTCATTTTTCCAATCCCAAGTTAATGGGCACTAACCCTAACCCTAATCCATAATCCACATGAAAAGGGCTTAAAAGAGAAAGATTAAAAGAGAAGAAAAACAGAAATCAAAAGATGAATGAAAAAAAAGTCAGATCAAAACACAGCACAGTTGTTAAATGGGCTTGTCATGTTAATAATTGTCAAAATAAAAATTAAAATATCATCTGAAGCTTGAAAAAAAATCTTCAAGAGACAAATTTAGTTCTCTCTTATATAAGGTATCTTTTATAGGCAACTACCAGCACCGGTACCGTAACAATAATAATATTATAATAGCTTTAAATTCATAAATCTACTCTTGTAGACCTATTATTGACTTGGACTAATACTGATATCACATTCCTAGTAATCTAATATGTTTATGTATTCTATATATTAACTTACACAATTCACAGATTATCAAGCAGTCGCTATTGACGCAATCTTCTTGGGTCTATTTATATTATTAGACATTGAACTTTGCCTGTCTTTTGGAGACTAAAGGGGCATAACTCCTAGTAAATCTTTTAAATTATAAATTTATCGAAATCTAGTTCAAATATAAACACAATTTGAAAATATTCAGCGCATAACTTGAAACAGTTAGCTTTAGTTAATATTTATTAACATCCGCAGCGACTTCTTTCCCTACTTTATGAAAGAAAGAAATTTGAAATACAGTTCGTCTCGGTTTATCCATTCCGCAATTTATATGTTTCCAGCATTTTGTAAACTTCCGGTATTAAATATTCATTTCTAAAATCGGTTGTGATGAAGTTTGTTACAGCCTTTGTCAGACACAAATTATAACATTAGGCCTACGTATATATTATGACATAGGCACTACGGGCGAACAACATTTTGTGCCTGACAGTGTTTGTGACAAGTGCCTTATGAAGTAATGTTAAAGGGACAATAACACTCTTGCTGGTTTGACAGCTCCAGAAAATAAATAATAATAGCCTTATTCTACGTATTAGATGTTTAAGTGTCCTACCTGTTGTTGTGTAAATTATCCATTACATCCTATTTTACTTCTCAAGATGGTTCGAAATATTTTTAAAACCAAGTCACATTTGAAAAGGTTTACGTTAGGCTTTTCAAATCATTTAGTTGAATTTTTCCAATTTTTTAAATTAGGTGTGTTCATTTAAGATGAAATTTGTAGCATCAATTAAAAGAGCTAAGTCGCTAATATTTGGGACCTAGAAATTGACACAAATGGGTCGCAACACATACAATAATGTAATATGAATATATATAAATTGATTTACATTCAATCGTTTCTGTTTTTACTGTAATTTCTAATCAGTTAGGTTCGGCGACATACGCCAGTATTCTCAATCGAATTTCAATCTCTAGCTTCTGGTCATTCCAATCTACGCCGATAGTATTTATTGGGCATGCTCTCCAGCTAAGAATATAGCGTCACCGTTTGACATGACTTGTGGAATACACCTAGCCTCGTTTTTCGAGTCCCTTATTATAAATAGCGCTGAAACGCATCGTGTACCAATTGTAAAATGTTTATTTTGTCTTAAATACTGGATATCAGAGGGCCATTTTTTCCCGGTAAGATCACAACATCAATGTTGATTTAAAGCGACAAATAAATCGTGTTTTCAATGTTGAAGATTTTGGATGATATTGAGTTAGAGACTTAGCTATTTTAATTGGAATATTGTAAAATAGTACAATTTATGGACTAGAATAAAGATTGGGACATATTATTCAGTTACAACAAGAGTGGTATTGAGCCTTTAATATGTAACAGGCATTGCCCGAGTAGAGCGAAGTTGATGTGATAAAATTGTTATTGTTGTTAAATATAAATCCATCATAATTAATTTTCTCAAGTGATACTACTAGTAATTTTAAATAATCTCGTTTTTCCAAATTGATTTTAATTTAGATCTAGGCTAAATTGTATGATTAATTTTGTTTTAAAAAAAAAAGAACAAAAAAGTGTTAGCTCAAGAATTATTTTCATTGATATTGATGTTAAAAATATGTGACGTCATAGAAATATTTCTATGAGACGCGGGGGGTTAGATGGCTGGATGGTTAGCGTGCGCGCGCTGTATCATAAAGTCTGTCATTGAGTCGACTGGCGTGGTTTCAAATCCCAGGTTGTACGTGACAAGGAGTAGGGTCGCCTGTCCAACCTCGTGGGTTTTCTCCGGGTCCTCCGGTTTCCTCCCACTGCTAAAGACCCCTACGCGCAAGCGAATTATGGAAATAAAATTAAACCATATGTAAGTCCCGAAATGACCTAGTTTGTGTCGGGTGGACGTTAAACCCCATTTCTCTCTCTCTCTCTCTATGAGACGCGTAATTTTGCTTGGGCGAGATTTGGTAAGTTGACATGCACATTGCCAGTTTTGCCCAGTGGTTCCTGTCTGAATTTTTTTTTAATCAAATGTCTGTGGGTGACAGTTTTATTTACCGGAAAAGAGCTTTGCTCAAGCAACGCTCTATATAATTATTGTATTTTAATTTTACGAATAGGTGTGCCGGGGCTTCGGTTAATAAACGCTCACACCACCCGTGTTTTATCATTAGCATAATTAGGGATTTACCGCTCTACACATAGTCATACTGTCAGAAATGAAATGGGATTTAACGTTCTACTTTTCTGCACCGACTGGGCTAATGAAAATGAAGACAGGCATACATCATGCTGTGTGATATGAAGGAAATCGAACTGCCAAGTGCACACCAATGTGTTCACAGTACTTTGTTTATTGGCCCCATCCCTACGACTAGACACTGTCCTTGCCAGGCCCTCCATCCTGCACCTTTTACAAGGGGGGAAACTATGCCGTAAAATCCTGAGGAACTTTCGTGGCCAACACCGGCAGAGAATCGGAGACCTCCAGTGTTAGGCTTACTGAGCCACCCGTCAGAGCCAAAGAGTACTTTTTAAATCACGGAATTCGATTTACTCTGAAACCGAGCAATAAAATATTCAAAAAATCCTTACCACTAAATGGCACAAAATCTAGAATGCATCACAAAAGATTCAACTGTCAAACAGGAAGTTGAGCTGTCAGTGATTCACTCTATAAAAATTCGGTACTATTTCAGTAACGTACCTCTACCAGTTCCTGTGATCGTAGAGACTTGAAATTTTCAGGGGGTGTTCACGGGGACTAGCCATGACCTCACACGAAATTTCAGCCGAATCGGTCAATAACTTTTTATTTTACCGTAGTTTAGCTTCTATAAGAGATAAATTTATCCGATTTTGACGCCATTTTGTTTGTTGACTATTTAGGCTTGGCTAATCGAAACCACGCTAGTTGACTCAATGACAGACTTTATGATACAGCGTGCATACGCTAACCATTCAACCCCGCGTTACAGGCAGGGCAAGGGAGGCTACTCCTTGTACATGTCAGTCTCAAAATGACCAGCAGTCGTACAGAAAATCAAAACAATCAAGATTAAACAAAATAATATTTATTTGATTTTGATTGTTGAAAACGTGGCACAACTAAACCTCCAAGATCTAAGTTATTTGAGGTAATAAAATTAAGTAAATATCAGCGGTATAAAAGTCTATAAAATGGCATCCCCTGTAGCCTTGGTAACAAAAATAGCAAATAAATAAGTGTAGATGGCAAGTACAAGTTTTAAAAAGTAAAAAATTCTAAATATAATGTTCAATCACAAAATAACGTATTATATATTTTATAAAGATTACAAACAAATTATTAAGCCATATATTATTATTATATTTTTAGATATAGCGTCATTTTCATATAGAGTGCTCAAAAGTGTTTGACAGTAAACAAATGGCAAAAAACATGAATGCATTGAAAGTAAAATAAAAATGTTGCACATGTTCAAAGTAAAATATAAATTGACACTGATAAAGGTTGTTAAACAATAGGATTCAATTTTAAAATCATATTGATAATTAACGAATATAAGACAGAGTATAAATTATAAAATGTGATATATTACAATAACAAATTGTAAAGTAATCTTATGTGATAAATAAGAGTAACAGATTATAAAATGTGATACCGGTATACAAATAACCAATGATAAAGTAATTTATGTGATAAATTAGACAGAGTAACAGATTATAAAATGTGATATCGATATACAAATAACCAATGATAAAGTAATTTATGTGATAAATTAGACAGAGTAACAGATTATAAAATGTGATACGAATAACAAATGATAAAGTAATCTACGTGATAGATTAGAAACAATAATAAAGTAATAATATACCAATAAGTACAAGACTACGGTTAGCTTAGAGTAATATATTTCTATGTTCTAGTTGGTAAATTAGAAATAGTAACAAATTATGTTATATATTTATTTAGTATGGAGGCTCAGCGCGTGTGGGGGGGGGGGGGGCATCAAATGGGCACAAAACCAGGCCCAACTTTTCTAGAATAAAATTTTGCATAGAATATGATGCCGAGTGGTAATCAGTCCGCCGTTTGGGGTGTTTTAGATATATTTGGGGTCAAAGATCAAATGGGTTCTTTTGCACTGAAAGTGAATGCGCGGCCATTCTTGTATCATGAAAATAAGCTGAAAATGATCGAAAGTAATCACACTTTCAATAAAAAAAAATGTAAACTTGCTAATTTCACCTTTGTTCTTTGTGACCCCAAAGATCAAAAGGTCACATTTTCCGTTTTAGCACTAGGAATTTGTAGACAATTTGGTAATAATTCCTTCAAAACATCAACACCACTTACATCTATGATCTAAAATAAAAAACCCAAACCCCAGATCAAGAAATAAGTACCGGTACCAAGGAGATGTATATCAGAATATATGTATTACCTTCAAAACCTCATATAAGTTGATGGTGTCAGGTATATTCATGCCTGGAAATTAGGCACCGGTCACAGACAGTTTCAGGCACTGATATGTCTTACATCTGTGTACCGGTATGACCAACCTCCTGGTATTTACCCCACACAATCTGTGTATGACCTACCTCCATATGCTGGCCCCACACTGTGTATGACCTACCTCATTGTGTTTACCCCACACTATCTGTGTATGACCTACCTCATTATGTTTACCCCACACTATGTGTGTATGACCTACCTCATCGTGTTTACCCCACACTATCTGTGTATAACCTACCTCATCGTGTTTACCCCACACTCTCTGTGTATGACCTACCTCATTGTGATTGCCCCACACTGTCTGTGTATGACCTACCTCATCGTGATTGCCCCACACTATCTGTGTATGACCTACCTCATTATGTTTACCCCACACTATCTGTGTATGACCTACCTCATCATGTTTCCCCCACACTATCTGTGTATGACCTACCTCATCGTGTTTACCCCAGACTGTCTGTGTATGACCTACCTCATTGTGTTTACCCCACACTATCTGTGTATGACCTACCTCATTATGTTTACCCCACACTATCTGTGTATGACCTACCTCATCGTGTTTACCCCACATTATCTGTGTATGACCTACCTCATCGTGCTTGCCCCACACTATCTGTGTTGGTACTGTTATTTTTCTGGCTTTCTCCTCCAGTAAAGTTGTTGAATGTTCTGAAGCCAGAGCTTTGAATACTGGTGTAATAAAAAAACAAAATGATAATAAGAGCCAAGGGAAAGATGATGGGGTTTAAATTCTGGGACTAACATATGATAGATTCTGAAATTAGAAATGTGAATAGAGGGCAGCCACAGTGGCTCAGTGCGCAAGACGTTGGCTCGCTAACCTGGAGGTCCCGTGTTTGATCCCTGTGTTGGTCGAGAAAGTTCATCAGGAATTTCCGTCGTGGTACCCTTGTCAGTGGTGTAGGACCCAGGGCCTGGCAATTGATAATGTATAATTGTTTGGATGGGACAAAAAAAAAAAACAGGTCCCATGTACATTGGCGTGCACGTAAAAGATCCCTTGACAGTTGGAATTTAATAGCACTCATAGCACACTGCATAACATTAGCTCGTCTTCATTAGTCCAGTAGAAGCATTTAAATACTGATGTAATAAAAAGAGAGTGAGAAATGGGGTTTAACGTCAACTCGACACAAACTAGGTCATTTCGGGACTAACATATGGTTTAATTTTATTTCAATAATTCACTTGCACGTAGAGGTCTTTAGCAGTGGGAGGAAACCGGAGGACCCGGAGAAAACCCACAAGGTTAGACAGGCGAGTAATAAAAAGAAACAAAGATTATTATTATAAGAGATAAGAAATGGGTGATTAGGTTTAATGCCCATCAACACAACCAGGTCATTTTGGGACTAACAAAATGTATATTCCTTATTTCATAATTTTATTGATGTACAAGGGTTTGTAGCTCATATCAAAAGTACTTATATTAATAGTAAAATTTACAAAAAGGTTTTTTTGTATGGTACTTACATTGAAGAAAAAAAGGGTTTTTAGGTTTTCTCAAATCAACCACTCCTTTAAGAATCTAAAAACATACACACAGTAAAAAAAATGATTCATTACAAACAAAATCTCTATTTATGAAAGTGAAATGAAATGGGGTTTTACGTCCTGCTGTTCTGCTCCTAAACTGGGCTAATGAAGACGGGCATACACCATGCAGTGCACTATGGCCTACTCTTATATCGAATCCCAACTGCCAAGGGATCTTTTACATGCATGCCAATGTGTACACGGGACCTCGGTTTTTTGTCCCATCCGAACAACTAGACAGATGTCCTTGTCAGGCCTCCGTCCTGCCCCACTGACAAGGGAAAACCATGACGGAAAATCCTGATGAACTTTCTAGGCCAATTCAGGGATCGAACACGCGACAACCAGGCTAGAGAGCCAGCGTCTTACCCACTTAGCCACCGACAACCCATCAATATTGTTTAGTTAATGGAATGGTGGAATGCTGAAACCTACCATACCTGTGTATTGATATTTTGTTTATTATAAAGACAAATATCTAACATATTCTGTGCAGCGGCTGGAGTCTCAGGTATTAACGGACAATCTTTCATTTCAGTTTTTTCAATTCCATTTAAAATACATTTTTCTATAGTTTTAGTAAATACACTGTGTTGTGGGGTCTTCACTGTAATAAAATAGATTATTTTTTAATTAAAATACACTAATCTAACTTAAAATCTAATTAACATACACTTAGCTAATTAAAATACACTTAGCTAATTATAATACACATAGCTAATGAAAATACACATAGCTAATGAAAAATTTATTGGGAAGTTATTTCCAATAAAAGTATGGCTAGTTGGGTATATATTGAAAGTAGAGACACTGAATCTTACAAGATCAATACTGGATTCACTGAAAAAACACCATAATTTAAAATCTAATCTAATTATATGAATGTAATTCTTCAGTAATAATACATTAATATAGTTAAACTATTCCAATCTCAGTAAAATAATAATGTTCAGGGATGAAACTACCGCAAAAAAAATTGTTTTTAATTTTAAAACAAATGAATTGAAATCAAATTTTAAAAATTTAATCAAGATCCACATAGTAAAATAAGTAAATCTAATTAAAGAACACTACTGAAATGGGTATCAAGTTCGACCGGGCCAATGAAGACAGCCATATGGCATGCTGCTTTACTATATGAGGGAAATTCTTGCTCGGACGGCATTGTGTGGAGTTTTCGTCTACTCTTAACAAAGCCCAGCTTAGGCATGGCCCAGGCCCAGGGCCCCGCTGTTTAGGGGACCCCGCTGTTCATAGCAAAAAGAGAAAAAAAATCTAATTCCAAATGAAAGTTTCACAGTAATCAATCTAGCGGCACGAGGGTGGAGACTGAGCTATCGCTCAATTTTCTCTGTGAAGTTCCACTCAATCCAGTGATTTCACTTGTTATAACAGTTCCCACCGTTATATGTCAATTCCACGCATTGTATGCCATTCGGAACTATATAGATTTCTTATGTAATTAGATATTATGTAATTATTCGTGTATTACAGACCGTTTAAATGTGTGTTACGCATGTGTGCCATTGAAATGGATATGAAATAATCTTTTCGTCGCGTTAGGGGCCAGGCGATTCTAGTCAGGCCCCGGGCCCCACTCCAGTTAAGCTAGGCTTTCATTGAATTTCAACAAACATGACCTTGATTTCTTGTCCAATCTGAATATTGAGGAATTGTCTCAGCCAACACTGGCATCTAACCCGACATTCTCTTGGTTAGTGAACCAGCGTCTTCCTGACACAGTCACCATGGCTCCCAGTCTAATTAAGTTAAGCTAATTTAATTACAAAATTTAATTAATTTGTATATGGAAATATATACTTGACTTACTTGCAGGACATATTAAAGACAACGATGCCACAGTTTCAGGATATTCTGCTGTATATAAACCAACTATAGCACCACCCAATGATGCTCCCACTAAATGAAACGGTTCTTTATCTAACTTCATTAATTTAACAAACTGAAACAACAATTTTTACTGATTCTGACCTAAATATCTAAAAACAGAACTTTTCTTTCATGAGAGAGAGAAAGAGTGGGTAGAGGTTTAACATCCACTCAACACAAACCAGCTCATTATGGGACTAACACACGGTACAATCTTTAGCAGTAGGAGGAAACCAGAGGACCCAGAGAAAATACACCAGGTTGGACAGGCAACCCTAATTCCTTGTCATGTAGGCCCACAACAGTGAATCGTAGCCACACCTCTTGACTCAATGACAAAATCAAATACCCAACACAGGAGAAAAGATTTTCGGCCTTCTCTTCATTGATTTCGAGTGGTCAATAGTTGGGTTTTTTTTACCTCTACACCTATGTGCATACAGGTGAATCTCAATGTTTTTACCTGTACACCAATGTACATACAGGTGAATTTTACCTGTACACCAATGTACATACAGGTGAATCTCAATGTTTTTACCTGTGAATCTCAGCAGAATTCATCCCCGAACATTTCAATTTTAGCTTCCAATGCCCTTCAAAATAGACAGATACTTTCAATCGGTTGTCTCTTGTTTTTCAAATCAAGGAATCCAACTATATTACAGCCTACCTTGTGAACATGCTGTACCAGATATTCTATTCCCAGTTTCTCTCCTTCTCTTGGAGTAGATGTCAGACCGTGACCAGGTAAATCAACGGCTATTAGATGAACATCTGATGGAAGTTTCTGTCAAATAAAAACAAACATTATTAGTAATTATAAAAACAAACATTAGTAATTATAAATCCAACAACATTACTATTACATGGATTATGAATCCAACAACAATACTATTATACTCATTATATAAACAAACAACATTACTATTATACTAATTATAAAAGTCAACAACAATACTATTATACTAATTATAAACAAACAACATTACTATTATACTAATTATAAAAGTCAACAACAATACTATTATACTAATTATAAACAAACAACATTACTATTATACTAATTATAATACTAATTATAAAAACAAACATTACTATTATATTTTTGTTGATTGTTTGATCTATAATCGAAAATGAATGTTTATTAGAAGTGAAAAAAGACTGTATAAAGTTAATACTAACCTTAAAGAACTGTAAATATTGATCTTTTGATCCAGTGAAACCATGTACAGCTAATATTGTTAATTTATTTTTCTGTTTTATTCCTCGTTCAGCATAACAATATGTAAAATCTTTATTTTTAATATATTTCACATTCATACCACTTCTCTTGGCATCTAATCTACAAAAAAAACCCACAAATCTTTCAATAAATCAAGGGATGTGGACCCAACTAGAAATCAAAGGAAACGGGTTTTGACTTAACTGTTCTGCTCTGAATGGGCTAATGAAGACAGGCCTACAGTGTGCTATGAGGGGGAATTTGCCCGGACAGCGGCAATATGGCCTACTCATATATTGAATTCTAACTGCAAAAGAAACTTTTACGTGCACGCCAATGTGTACACGGGCAGTGCCCCCCCCCCATTAATCTGGTCTGCCCTCTGTTTGCCCCCCCCCCCCAATAATTTTAGAAAATAAAAAAAAGTATTTGTGATACAATTTGGTAATCAATACCTTCTACGGTGAATAAATCCCACATCCCCACTCAGTCATAAACTTGCATGTTGTAGAGCATTTCCGACAGATTATTTTTCAAAATTTTTTTGGCGAGGTCCCCAATGGACTTGCTACTTTGGCGCTCACAAGGGGAATTCGTTGAGGTTCGCAAGTCCGTTCGTTTGACATTTTGTTCTCTAGTCGGATAAACTAGTGATCAGGCGACGGACGGTATCTGGTAAGATCTATTTATCTCGATGATCGGTGCCTGACAGAATACTGTAAGACAGCATTTCCGGCAGTCTATTTTTCAAAATTTTCTGGGGGAGGACTCCCTACTTTGACGCTCTTGAGTGGGCTTCGTCATGAATCTCAAGTCCGTTCAATTGACACTTTACCTCATCGATCAGTGCCTGAAATACTGCCAGGCTGCATTTCCGGCATCCTGTTTTTCAAAATCTTCAGGGGGGGGCCCCATACCCCTAGTTAAAACTCGTGCCTTTGCCCCCTTAACCTTGGACTTTGCCCCAGCTTTGCCCCTCCAATCACCGGCGGCTGGCGCCGCCACTATACACAGGACCTCAGTTTCCGTCTCACCTGAACAACTAGATGTTTTCTCATGCCAGGTTCTTCATCCTGCGTGAATGACATGGGAAAACCAGACAGAATAATCCCAAGGAACTTTCTCGACCAACTCAGATATCAAACCCAGGACCTCGTTGTTTTATACTCGCTGAGCTACCATGGTTCGCTAGAAATTATTATACTGGTTACCATGGTGACCAAGATTACATAGTAACAAGTTCTTAAATTCTGTTCCATTCTTTAAAATAAATGGAAGAAAGGCTACAAACCTCATGAACCAGTAGAGGAGATGTTTCGGGCTGATAAAAAACAGGGCAACAGCTCCTGTTACCATGGATACCAGAACAGCTGAGGATGAATATATTATATACTGCCACATTTTAATCTGAAACAACAAGAAAGACAAACAAAATTCATCTTGTATTAAAACCATGTTTATAATAAAAAAAAGAACCAGGATTGTTGAGTGATATTGGACTGGCATAAAATATGCACCGTTCGGATGAAGGTGATTCTACTCCACTATTACCATTCTGATAACATGTACACACCTGTTTCTAAGAACACCTTAATTAAGTATTCTTAATTTACCTATATAAAATTCTTTAGCTGTCCTTACAGTATGTCTCAATTTTACCTTTCCTAACAGTATATCTCACCTTTTAAACATGGATTATGCAATGTTATCTAAATTATTAATTAGACATTAATTAACTTATCCAGACCATAATCAACTCCAGATGGCATCGCTAGCCTGCGATCTTAAGTGGATTGTGATCCAATTTACTGCATAACTTTCCTTCTCGATTAAACGATTAAATGGATAATTGAGACTATGCTGTTTAACGTACTGACTTTCGTAATGATGACCGAGGCTAGGCAAAAATTTCATTCACTTAGTTTTCGGTTCATAGTGGATCAATTGGAATGAAATTTTCAGCAAATTGCCTTTACGTTATCTAGTTTTTAATTATTATACTGAGAACTGCCAACTCGTTATCGAATCTCCCATAATGTATCTTTAAATGAAATGGTGTTTAATGTCCTACTGGTCTGGGTAAATAAAGACGGATATACGTCATACAGTATGCTATGAGAGAAGTTTCGCCTAGACAGTGGCGCTATGGTCTACTATAATTTATATTGAATTCCAACTACCAAGGACTCTTTTACGTGCACATCAATTTTTACACAGGACCTCTTTTTTTATTCATTCCATCCAAACAACTATACATTCTCCCTTACAAGACCATCTGTCCTGCAACTGACAAGGGGGAACCACGTCAGAAAATCCAGATGAACTTTCTCGGGCCAACGAAGGAATCGAACATGGAACTGCCATGTTAACTTCACCTGACCTTATAGTAAGACCCAACTTTACCTGTCCTTACTGTATGTCTCACCTTTACCTGTGTAAATTTCTTTTCTTGTCCTTACAATATGTCTCACCTTTACCTGTCCTTACAGTAAGTCTCACCTTTACCTGTCCTTACAGTATGTGTCTCCTATACCTGTCCTTTACTTGTTCTTACAGTAAGTCTTGCCTTTTACCTGTCCTTTATTTGTAAATGTGGGTTTATGTTTATATCAGAAGATAATATAATCAGACACTATATCTTGGCCTACATACCATTGCTACCATAACAGATAAGATATAGGTCACCACTGGTCAATATATCAAGTCTAATAGATATTTACACTGTGTCATCGGTCAAACCCATTGATTAAAATGTGTCAAAAATTATCTTGTTTTAGTCAACATATCTACAAACAATCTGTAACAAATGCAGTGTGAACAAATTCAACCAAATTCGAAACGATGACAGCGAGTCCACTCCTGATGAGAAAAATCTCATAATGGACCAGTAATAGGTAGAACACCTACATAATTTACTTAATCTTTGAGTGATATTAGACTGCTATCTGTTTGACATATTTCATAACTAATGTCCTGGCAAAAAACAACTACTGAGGTCACATCGTGACATGTAGCTTACTGTCTAGGCCTTCATGGTGCGTATGGCCATACCATAAAGAACCCTCAACAGTTGCACTTTAGCCCACTACATTGCGTATGTTCGCCTTTGTCAGTCCAAATAATGTTAAACCCATTTCACTTTATTTCTCTGGCTGGCATTAAATTGGCTAGGCTATATTAATTTGATCACATCATGACATAGATATAGAGAAAGAGAGAGAAATGGAGTTTAACGTCCACTCGACACAAACTAGGTCATTTTGGGACTAACGTATGGTTCAATTTTATTTCTATAATTTACTTGCGTGTAGGGGTCTTTAGCACTGGGGAGGAAACCGGAAAACCCAGAGAAAACCCACGAGGGTAGACAGGCAACCCTAGCCTTATATTAATAAATCTCCTCTGGTAGACATATCATGTGAGTTTACACCTTCGGCTATATAATAGGCCTACTGATATCACAATATATGAATTAACTTATAATTGATGCACAGATTATAATCCGGCCCAACTGATGAAATCTTGGCTCTATTTTGGTATTTATATTATTAGATATTGAACTTTGCCTGTCTGTTGGAGACTAAAGGGACATAACTCCTAGTAAATCTTTTAAATTATAAATTTCAAGAAAATTGGTTTAAGGTTAAACATAATTCGTCCATATTCAGTGGATAAATGGAAACAATTAGCTTAAGGAGATTTTTATTAACAAACGCAGTGAGTTCTTTCTCCACTTTCTAAACATAATAAATATGGAATATATTTCGTCTCGGTTTATGCATTCCGCAATTTACATATTCCAAGCATTTTGTAAACTTCCGGTAATGGTCGCTGAAGAAAGAAAATATTAAGATATTTTTTAAAATCGGTTAAAATTATTGTATATTGCTACATCTTCATGTGTATATGAGTCTAGATTTGGTAATTAAAGTGCATATTACCTACTTTATTCGGTACTATTGGTGTGGTTCGGTTAATAAAAATCGACTCCGTCGTTTTTGATCACTAGGAGTGAGCTGTTTTTCATATCAAAATTACATGGGACCGGGTTGTTGATTTGTTGTGATTTATTCCAAATATAACGTCCAATACATAATAATATGTAGCAGGCATTGCCTGAGTAGAGCGAAGCTGATAAAAGTTTCTCAAGTGATAGGCCTACAAGTAATGTTAAAGTAGCTAAGTCTCTAACTCAATATCATCCAAAATCTTCAACATTGAAAACCCAAATTATTTGTCAGTTTAAATCAACATTGATGTTGTGATCTTACCGGAAAAAGATGGGCTTCTGATATCCAATGTTTAAGACAAAATAAATATTTTACAATTGGTACACGAATCGTGTACCATAATGTGTTTCAGTGCTATTTGTAATAAGGGACTCGAAAAACGAGGCTCATTACAGAATTATATCAAGGACTGTTGATTGAAATTTTCACATGAATATCAATAATATGACAGTAAACATCAGATGGGTGAACAAATGGAAATTCCTCATTTCTTTTACATGTAGTTTTAAATATGTCTATTCTTATATATGTATTTCAGATTTAGCCTAAAACAGATGGTTTATTGTGGGTTTGGAACTAAAGAAGATATTTAACAGTAATGTTTATAGTATAAGATATCATTAGAATATACAAACAGCAGGTAAAATTATCAATAACTTTATTATTTTAAAAACTATGAATACTGCTTTTACTACAACTGATAAAATTAATCCGATGTTATTTTAAGATGAGTTATATACACAGATACATCTGAAGTCATATGCCACAGACATTGTCAGATACATTTTTATATGCCCACATTTTCATGTGGACGTATATTGTCGTCGCCCCTGTTCGTCCGGACGTCCGTCCACAATTGTTTGTGAACTGTCTACAGGTCACAATTTTTATCCGATTTCAATGAAACTTGAAATATAGGTTTATCACCCTAAGATCTCGGTTCCTTTCGATATTGGCATGTATCGGACTGTAACTTCATGGATTATGGCCCCTGATTGTATGAAAAATCACGTTTTTAGCTTGTGAACACTGTAGAGGCCACAATTTTTATCCAATTTGGTTCAAACTTGAAATGTATGCTTATAACCCAAAGATCTCGGTTCCTTTTGATATTCGCGCATATCGGAACGTAACTTCCTGAATTATGGCCCCTGATTGTACGAAAAATCGCGTTTTTAGCTTGTGGACCCCGTAAAGGTCATAATTTTTATCCGATTAAAAAAACCTTTCAATTATTTCACCGTTACACCCTAAGGATGGCTAAGTTCGAATTTCGTGAAAATCGGCCCGAAATTGAGAGACAAAATGGCCGCCGTTCGTTCTCAAATAGCGTAAAAATATGGTATATAGAGGTCACAATTTTTATCCGATTTTGTTGAAACTTGATATCTAAGTTGATAATCCAAAGATCTCGGTTCCTTTTGATATTCGCGTATATCGGACTGTAACTTCCTGAATTATGGCCCCTGATTGTACCAAAAATCGCGTTTTTAGCTTGTGGACCCTATAGAGGTCATAATTTTTATCCGATTTAAAAAAACGTATTATTATATCACCGTTACACCCTAAGGATGGCTGAGTTCGAATTTCGTGAAAATCGGCCCAAAATTGACAGACAAAATATCCGCCGTTCGTTCTCAAATAGCGTAAAAGTATGGTATATCAAGGTTGTGGACACTATAGAGGTCACAATTTTTATAATATTTTGTTGAAACTTGAAATGTAAGTTTATAACCAAAAGATCTTGGTTCCTTTCGATATTCGCACATATCGGACCGTAACTTCCTGAATTATGGGCCCTGATTGTACCAAAAATCGCGTTTTTAGCTTGTGGACCCTATAGAGGTCATAATTTTTATCCGATTTAAAAAAATAACCTATTATTATATCACCGTTACACCCTAAGGACGGCTGAGTTCGAATTTCGTGAAAATCGGCTTAAAATTGACAGACAAAATGGCCGCCGTTCGTTCTCATAGCGTAAAAATATGGTATATCAAGGTTGTGGACACTATAGAGGTCACAATTTTTATCCGATTTTGTTGAAACTTGAAATGTAAGTTTATAACCCAAAGATTTCGGTTCCTTTCGATATTCGCGCATACCGGACCGTAACTTCCTGAATAATGGCCCCTGATTGTACGAAAAATCGCGTTTTTAGCTTTTGGACCCTATAGAGGTTATAATTTTTATTATATCACCGTTACACCCTAAGGACGATTGAGTTGGAATTTGGTGAAAATCGGCCCAAAATTGACAGACAAAATGGCTGCCATTCTTTCTCAAATAGCGTAAAATATGGTATATCAAGGTTGTGGACCCTATAGAGGTCACAATTTTTATCCAATTTTGTTGAAACTTGAAATGTAAGTTTATAACCCAAAGATCTCGGTTCCTTTCGATATTCACGCATATCGAATTGTAATTTCCTGAATTATGGCCCTTGATTGTAGGAAAAATCACTTTCTTGTTAGCTTGTTCTCTATCCATCTCTCGAAAATGTGGGCGTATCCTGCCTGGCAGCCGCTGGTTTTTTTTTGGGGGGGGGGGATGTCTCTGGTTTGTTTATATTTTTTAGAATGTCTCTGATTTGTTTATATTTTTTAGAATGTCTCTGATTCGTTTATATTTTTAGAATGTCTCTGTATGATGATCTGGATATGGAATCTGGAGGAACCAAACCAGTTGCTGGTAAGATTTTACTTTTAATTCAGAAGAGGCCCCGGATTCGATCCCTGCGTCAGCCACCATAGTTCTTTTTGATTGTACAGCATGGGTTCCCCATGTCAGTGATGCAGGACGGATGGACTGACAAGGGCAGCACCTAATCGTTTAGATGGGACAAAAGAATGAGGTCCCATGTTTCCATAACAAGAGTCTGACCATCTGCGGGCATGGTCACCATTTTTTACCCAATCTGTTAAATAGATCAACATTGGAACAAAACAAATATAAAATAATGAGTGTCCATAAAAACTGTTTACGAATCAGTGATTGCATACATGTAGCACTGAGATTAGACGCTAGTTACCCAATCATAATTCAGACAATAATTCAGAGAAGGGGAGACAGACAGTGAAGGACACAGAGAGGAGGGAGAAGAGAAGGGGAGACAGACAGTGAGAGACACAGAGAGGAGGGAGAAGAGAAGGGGAGACAGACAGTGAGAGACACAGAGAGGAGGGAGAAGAGAAGGGGAGACAGACAGTGAGAGACACAGAGAGGAGGGAGAAGAGAAGGGGAGACAGACAGTGAGAGACACAGAGAGGAGGGAGAAGAGAAGGGGAGACAGACAGTGAGAGACACAGAGAGGAGGGAGAAGAGAAGGGGAGACAGACAGTGAGAGACACAGAGAGGAGGGAGAAGAGAAGGGGAGACAGACAGTGAGAGACACAGAGAGGAGGGAGAAGAGAAGGGGAGACAGACAGTGAGAGACACAGAGAGGAGGGAGAAGAGAAGGGGAGACAGACAGTGAGAGACACAGAGAGGAGGGAGAAGAGAAGGGGAGACAGACAGTGAGAGACACAGAGAGGAGGGAGAAGAGAAGGGGAGACAGACAGTGAGAGACACAGAGAGGAGGGAGAAGAGAAGGAGAGACAGACAGTGAGAGACACAGAGAGGAGGGAGAAGAGAAGGGGAGACAGACAGTGAGAGACACAGAGAGGAGGGAGAAGAGAAGGGGAGACAGACAGTGAGAGACACAGAGAGGAGGGAGAAGAGAAGGGGAGACAGACAGTGAGAGACACAGAGAGGAGGGAGAAGAGAAGGGGAGACAGACAGTGAGAGACACAGAGAGGAGGGAGAAGAGAAGGGGAGACAGACAGTGAGAGACACAGAGAGGAGGGAGAAGAGAAGGGGAGACAGACAGTGAGAGACACAGAGAGGAGGGAGAAGAGAAGGGGAGACAGACAGTGAGAGACACAGAGAGGAGGGAGAAGAGAAGAGAGAGTATTTAACGTCCACTCAACACAAACTAGGTCATTTTCAGACTAACATACAGTTCAATTTTAATTCAATAATTCACTTGTGTGTAGGGGTCTTTAGCTGTGGGAGGAAACCGGAGAACCCATAGAAAACCCACAAAGTTGGACAGGCGACCCTAGTCCTTGTCACGTACAACCGGGGAATCAAAACCACACCAATTGACTCAATGACAGACCTAGTGATATCAATCAACACATTAAACCACTAGACTCCCTACCCCCTATATATTGTCCTAACAGATATTAAATTAAAAACACTTATATGGATATACTACTTCTGAATTTATTAACATGCTACGTTTCGATACACATACAGGTATCGTTATCAAGCAAATAATAAGTAGTATATCCATATAAGTGTTTTTAATTTGTGAAATCTACCTCTATATGTCTTACAAGGATTATGTCTAACAGATATTAGTAAAAAGAGATATAATATTATTATTTGAATATCTTATAGCTGGATGGTCCTCCAGTATTATTTATTGTAAACATTTGTTATTATTGTATATTTATAGCTGGATGGTCCTCCAGTATTATTTATTGTAAACATTTGTTATTATTGTATATTTATAGCTGGATGGTCCTCCAGTATTATTTATTGTAAACATTTGTTATTATTGTATATTTATAGCTGGATGGTCCTCCAGTATTATTTATTGTAAACATTTGTTATTATTGTATATTTATAGCTGGATGGTCCTCCAGTATTATTTATTGTAAACATTTGTTATTATTGTATATTTATAGCTGGATGGTCCTCCAGTATTATTTATTGTAAACATTTGTTATTATTGTATATTTATAGCTGGATGGTCCTCCGGTTTTAAGTTAATGCAGTCACAACTACATGTACAGGCCAAGAAAGCTAATGTACAGTCTGGTAATAAGGTCAGTAGCCTATATACAACTACTGTCATTCCCGTTGGCCAATCACCAAATAATGGTCTTATAATAAAACGACAGTCGATATCGAGGCTGAAATAAACTTAGTGTAAGTTCGAATCATATGTTTCAGTATCAAAACCTCCTTGATGCCGAATATTGGTAGGCTTCATTTCTGTCCCTCCAACTACACGATTGATTCTGGATAGGGGCTTGGTTGCCCGAATAGATCATAAGGTCTGTCATTGAATCAACAACCCTTTTGTATTAGGACACTAGATGGTCGCCTCTTGGACCTAACACTCACCGACATCTTTCTCCCCCATTCCCTCTCTACCCCGCTCTCTAGTTTCTCCCTCCAGTCTTATTCTCTCCCTTTGGGCGTTGGATGGCCGAATGGTTAGCACGTGCACGCTGTATCATAAGGCCTGTCATTGAGTCAAATAATGTGGTTTTAATTTCCCGGTTGTACATGGCAAGGAATAGGGTCACATGACCAACCTCATGGGTTTTCTCCGGGTCCTCCGGTTTCCTCCCACTGCCAAAGACCCATACGAGCATTTGAATTATAGAAATAAAATTGAACCATGTGCTAGTCCCGAAATGACCTAGTTTGTGTCGAGTGGACGTTAAACGCCATATCTCCCTTTCTCTCTGTTTCTCTCTTTAAACTTTAATTATCTTGAATGTGGTTCCTAAAGTGATAGGTAACCTAGTGGGTTTTCTTCGGGTCCTCCGGATTCCTCCCACTGCTAAAGACCCGTACGCGCAAGCAACTTATAGAAATAAAATGTGATTTAGAATCATTGTTATTTCTTATAAAATGTTTATATTATGGATGTTTGTTTATATTTGTTTATGTTTATAGAAGGGACGACAGAGTAACACGTTAGCACCAGTTGTTGATCTCAAGAAGAGCATGGATACGGATGATGGTCTTCATTTTAATTTACTCACAGGAAGGGTACGTCATTTAACCCAGTATTTAGGATTAAATTAGGGTGAGGGGGGGCCAAATGGTTAAATCTTAGATATAATCCCAAGTTAAGCCGGGGGGATTATTTACCCAATACTACTGATGTGCTGTTATTTGACGATATTAGGTTTCTATTTAATAATATTGGGTAGTATTTGTGTATTGTTTGGTTGTATTGGGTTATAATTTGCTTGGTTTAGGTAATATAGTAAGGCAAATGGAACAGCCAGGCATCGGTAATCACATTTGAAGTACATTTCCAGCGATATAGCTCGTTTTTTTTGAAAACATTCAAGTAATATGCACATTTTGTATCATTATGTTGTAGTATTGGGTAGTATGTTGTGATATTGGGTAGTGATGTGGTGATATTGGGGTAGTATTGGGTAATTCGTTCCACTAAGTTGCGCTACCTATAGAGCCCAGTAGTACATTGTGTAACTTTATTCACCATCTTAAGGGTCACTTGCTCAACCTCATGGACCTGGAGGTGGTTGGTGACCGTATGGTTAAACATGCAGGCGTCGGATCATAACGTCTGTCATGGAGTCAAGTGGCGTGTTTTCGATTCTCTGCTTCTATGTGACAATGAGTAGGTTCGTTTATCCAACTTAGTGGGTTTTTCAAGGTCCTCCGGCTTCCTCCCACTGCTATAACACCCTTAAGTGAATGGCAAATTATTGGATTAAAATTGAACCATATGTATATCCCAAAATGACCTAGTTTTTGTCGATTGGACGTTAACGTTACGGCTGTTGGAAATCAAATTAAGAATAGGCCATGGAGTCAATGTCCTGGGCAAAATTAGTAATTGTTATTCCATTATAAACTAGTAATTGTTATTCCATAATAAACTAGTAATTGTTATTCCATAATAAACTAGTAATTGTTATTCCATGGTAAATTAGTAATTGTTATTCTATGATAAACTAGTAATTGTTATTTCTTAATAAACTAGTAATTGTTATTCCATGGTAAACTAGTAATTATTTCTTAATAAACTAGTAATTGTTATTCCATGATAAATTAGTAATTGTTATTCCATGATAAATTAGTGATTGTTATTCCATGATAAATTAGTAATTGTTATTCCATGATAAACTAGTAATTGTTATTCCATGATAAACTAGTAATTGTTATTCCATAAACAGTAATTAATGAGTTACCTTTCAATTACTAAATACCACTCAAAGAAATATATATTATTTGTTTTAATTATTAGCTTGAAAGAATGGCTGGTCCGACAGTGGCTAGTTTGCCCTTTATTCCCAACGAACCAGTCCCATCACTAACAGGTGTTGCTGACGAATATAATCCACTTCGACCAAACGATTATGAAGATGTTGTCAAAAAGAAGAGAGATCAGAAAAATAAAGAACGAGCTGCTGAAAGGAAGAACGAGTCCAAGTAATTATCAATATTATTATCTATCGTGATTTTATATCTTGTTGGGGTCATTCTGGGTGACGTAGTCCAGGTCACCAAGACGTTTAATTGTAAATTACACGGTAGTATATTGTGGACTGAGAACCTGCAGTGACGCTTGTACATGACAAGGAGTAGGGTTGCCTGTCCATCCTCCTGGGATTTCTCCTGAACCAAGGGATGTGGTAGTCAAGAGAGTGAACTCTAATTGCATGTTATTTCAAGTTTATTGAGGAGGCTCATGCCATCTGGACTAAGGAGAAATAGTCCCGAAATGACCTTTGTTGAGTGGATGTTAAACTCAATATTTCTCTCTGTCTCTCTAACAAGAAAGGTCATTTGGAATTGAGTAAGAGTAAAGGGAAAAAAAAGTAATGTACTTTTAGCGTCTTTTATCTGACTTCTGGAATAGCTGGATAACTTGTATTCTGTATGCTTCCTAGGCAGCAACATGCGGCAAATATGACCTTGAACAAAAATAACCATTAGGCTATATTATTTCCAATTATAAAGCGCTTTGTTTGATAATTTGTTGAATTTCAATAATTTTTATATTTTATACATTTAGGCGTCGACATTCCGAGCGAGACAGAGATCGTGATCGAGATAAAGACAAGGGCAGAGATCGTGATCAGGACCGAAGGGAGAGAGATCGAGAGAGGGATCGAGAAAGAGAGCGGGATCGGGAGCGTGACAGGAGTAATCGAGATGATAACCGAGAGAATGAGTCCGAGATGGATCGATCTCGAAGGAGACGAGAAGAGAACGAGGATGATTATGAAAAACCTAAACGAGGTAAATCATTTATTTGGATAAATATTTCACAGTGATTACGTTCATATTTACTTAGGAAGCCACGGTGGCTAAGTGAGTAAGATGCTGGAGATCACGAGTTTGATTCTGGTGTTGGCCCAGAAAGTTTTTCCAGCGTATTTTTCCCTTGTCAGGAGGGCCACCATGGCTCTTGTATCAGGAATAGCGATGGCGACCCCAAGAGAAGTAGTGTATAGTCCTACAATACGGGACTCATCCAGTTAAAGTTTGTCGTTGTTCACATATTGGGCGGGGGGGGGGGGGGAGAGGAACTCATGCGCTTTAGATCATATGATCTGTCATTGAGTCAAGTGACGTGGTTTTGATTCCCTGGTTGTACGTGACAAGGAGTAGGGTCGTCTGTCCAAACTTGTGAGTTTTCTCTGTGTCCTCCAGGTTTCTTCCTACTGCGAAAAACCCCTACACGACTCAAGTGAATTATTGAATGGAATCTAAAAGCTTAAAAATACAACATCGCAAGATTTTTTGCCATTTGAAGTCGTCACATGTATCAGTATCATATTAAGATATATTAAAGATACATAATGTAAGATTTAGATAAAGGACTGGTCGTTCTTGCTATATAATAGTTATATTAAAGATACATAATGTAAGATTTAGATAAAGAGCTGGTCGTTCTTGCTATAATAGTTATATTTAAGATACATTATGTTAGATAAAGGACTGGTCGTTCTTGTTATAATAGTTTTATTAAAGATACATTATGTCAGATTTAGATAAAGAGCTGGTCGTTCTTGCTATAATAGTTATATTTAAGATACATTATGTTAGATAAAGGACTGGTCGTTCTTGTTATAATAGTTTTATTAAAGATACATTATGTCAGATTTAGATAAAGAGCTGGTCGTTCTTGCTATAATAGTTCAAAAATAGATAATGAAAAATGAATTTATTGAAAATTTTATTCTGAGTGAAGATATGAGTCTTGGAAGCAAGATGTAGCGTAGATATTTTATTATCGTATCCATGTTATCGTTAAATTTCAAATCTCGTGACCATTCAAATCCATTTGAATCATTGCCATCCGATGCTCTAGAGAGTTGATGATAGGCTTGTCATGTTAATAAATGTCGAAATAATTTATATAACATTTGAAGCCAATATAAAAAATAAAAACCTGCAATAGGCAGATTTAGCTCTTATGTAATGAATCTTTAACATATCAAGCATGTAATGTTCTCTTTCACAGCTTCCGCATCCGGAGCAGCCATTGCACCTCCACCATCGTTAGTTCAAGAGGAACCAGAACCAGAAGCAGGTACAAATAAAACAATAGCTTGTTTCTCATTGGTCATAATAAACTAAGTGGCTGTTAACATGTCTCTGATTGGTCATCATTAACTAAGTGACTGTTAACATGACTCTGATTGGTCATAATAAACTAAGTGACTGGTAACATGTCTCTGATTGGTCATCATTAACTAAGTGGCTGTTAACATGTCTCTGATTGGTCATCATTAACTAAGTGACTGTTAACATGTCTCTGATTGGTCATCATTAACTAAGTGACTGTTAACATGTCTCTGGTCATCATTAACTAAGTGACTGTTAACATGTCTCTGGTCATCATTAACTAAGTGACTGTTAACATGTCTCTGATTGGTCATCATTAACTAAGTTGATTTACAGAAGATCATTTTCACTGTCCGTGACAGCTCTAGATCTGTTACATGTATATAGTGACTCACTTATCAAGAGGAGGGTAGTCTTAGACCGGCAGCTCAGACCTTCGAACTCCAACGAAGGAGATACCAATGTTCAGCTTTATAGCAAGTTGCGGGTATTTCCTTGAATAATAAAAGTGGACGTCTGTCAGCATATATCAGGGGCTTGACCGCAGTAGCCCCATTAAACTGGCCCCTAAAAATATGTCTGGATCCAACATTAGAGGTACTGAGTGAAACCAATTTATAAATGATGAATGAGGTGTTTTAATTATGGAAACAGTTATGACAGACAATATTGGAGGTAACACCCCCCTGACAGACATGCCCTAAAGAGGGGTCTCTATGGGTCTAGATCCAAGATTGGAGATACCAACTAAAAATTTGTCAGATTAAGGGCCATTTGATGGTAAATCATCTACTATGAACGACAGACATTTTAAACAGTGCTTGCCCCCTGACAGACGCCCTCTAGTAAGGAATATTTATGTTGGTGCCAGACTCAAATCAATATAAATATTCAAAATTAGCAAAATCAATGGTGTCTGTCCATTAGCTGGTTGGCGTAGAAAAATAGTAGTTTGATTTCGTTGAGATCTGTAACTTCTCTATGTTTTCAGATCGCAGTGCATCACCACCAGTCAACATGGCCGCTTCCATGGGAATAAGGTATGTATATTAACTAGTAAATGTTATAACTAGCACTCTGACTCCCTGTTTCTACTTGAATACATGGGTAAATTTCACCGCTCTTAAACTTGTTCAATCTTACAGTCCATCAAAAAATCAGCTGACAACTTTTGGTTGTCGTTTGTTTGAAGTGTCTATTAGTAGAAGGTGGGACTCGTTGTCTATGTTAGTTTACCGCCTTATCATCTTTCAAGAAACTTTTAAAAAATTATTTGTTTCAAACAAGTTATAACTGAGAGCTAAGGACTTTACGTATCTCCAGTGATCTCATTCCGCTCTATTCCACTATACCATGGGTTCATCCTTGGGGTATTCAAATTATCTGCCCTTGATTATAGCTTGATTCTACAAACCAATAAAAAAACAGTTTACTAACCAGTCTTAGCCTCATTTTTTTTGTTCACAACAATATGGCGACTTGTTCGCTCGATTATGAGAAAGTTTGCAAGAGCTTCTAATATAAAAGAAGTTACATGCACACAAACAGATGTCCTAAAATATCTTTTGATGGGAAAGATGTTTTTATGTCAGTCAAAACAGGCAGTGAGAAGTCGTTACGCTATCAAATGTATTGGTAGATAAAAATAGCACAATCATCAAGGGCGGATAATTTGAATACGTGTCTCCCCCATGGATGAACCCCAGGGGTTAGTGGAATACCGAGGATGTTAAGAGCTATGATCACATTTGTGTTTGAGTTTTGCCGCTATATAAATAGAATGCTAAAATCCCCTAGGTGCTAGCAAATTATTGAAATACAAATGTACCATATGTTAGTCCCAAAATGAACTAGTTTAATCAGCATTGAAAATAAATATGGGCTACGATTTAATTAAATGCTTGTAAATTGGACACTTGTTATCGAAATAAAATAACCAGCTTTAAACTACATAAATTAGGTAATTTTAACGAATTTTCAAACAAAGATTTGATATTGAATGAACATGAAAGAAATTAGAGCTAAAAATACAAGATTAAATACTACCAGGGTTACAGTAACACCAGATGCCAATCTTCATTAGCCCAGTTTTCCAGCGTGGTTGCCCCTTGTCAGTGATGCAGGACGGAGGGCCTGGCAAGGACAGCTGTCTAGTCGTTCGGATGGGACGATAAACCGAGGTCCCGTGTACACATTGGCGTGCACGTAAAAGATCCCTTGACAGTTGGAATTCGAGGGCAAAATTTCCCTCATAGCACACTGTATGGCGTATGCCCGTCTTCATTAGCCCAGGTTAGGAGCAGAACAGTAGGACGTTAAACCCCATTTCATTTTATTTTCATTTCATTTACCTCCCCTGGTGCAGAAAAATAGGGTATTCCCATGCTCCACTGCTAAAGACCTAGTTTGTGTTGATTAGATGTTTTAACAACTCCATTGTATTTCCGTTGTTTTGAACAATGTTTCTCTATCATTTCAGCAACTCTGTGGCCTCTCGAATCATGGCTAAATATGGTTATAAGGAAGGTCAAGGTCTCGGAAAGAAGGAACAAGGAATGAGTACGGCTCTTTACGTCGAGAAGACGAGTAAACGTGGTGGAAAAATTATACATGAAAAAGATATTCCGAAAGGTAGGTTGTAATCCAGGTGTATAAGTAGTGGTAGGTGTTAAGCACAAAGCAGGATATGCTAACTCTTTCTAGAACAGCTGATACCACCTAGTCTAGATATATAGTATTGATAAATGTTGTACATGAGACAGGGTATGTTTACTCTATCTAGAACATCTGATACCACCTAGTCTAGATATATAGTATTGATAGGTGTTGTACATGTGACAGGGTATGTTTACTCTATCTAGAACATCTGATACCACCTAGTCTAGATATATAGTATTGATAAATGTTGTACATGAGACAGGGTATGTTTACTCTATCTAGAACATCTGATACCACCTAGTCTAGATATATAGTATTGATAGGTGTTGTACATGTGACAGGGTATGTTTACTCTATCTAGAACATCTGATACCACCTAGTTTAGATATATAGTATTGATAGATGTTGTACATTAGACAGGGTATGCTTACTCTATCTAGAACATCTGATACCACCTAATCTAGATATATAGTATTGATAGATGTTGTATATAAGACAGGGTATGTTTACTCTATCTAGAACACCTGATACCACCTAGTGTTGATATATAGTATTGATAGATGTTGTACATGATACAGGGTATGCTAACTCTATCTAGAACACCTGATACCACCTAGTGTTGATATATAGTATTGATAGATGTTGTACATGATACAGGGTATGCTAACTCTATCTAGAACACCTGATACCACCTAGTGTTGATATATAGTATTGATAGATGTTGTACATGAGACAGGGTATGCTAACTCTATCTAGAACACCTGATACCACCTAGTGTTGATATATAGTATTGATAGATGTTGTACATGATACAGGGTATGCTAACTCTATCTAGAACACCTGATACCACCTAGTGTTGATATATAGTATTGATAGATGTTGTACATGATACAGGGTATGCTAACTCTATCTACAACAGCTGATACCACCTAGTTTAGATATATAGTATTGATAGATGTTGTACATGATACAGGGTATGCTAACTCTATCTACAACAGCTGATACCACCTAGTTTAGATATATGGTACTGGTAGATGTTGTACATGAGACAGCGTATGCTTACTCTTTCTAGAACATCTCATACCACTTCCCAGTTGAGAACTTGGCTTAGCGAACCAATATTCAACATGTGAGTAGGCTGTAGTGCCGCTGACCGGGCAAAATTTCCCTCATAGCACACTGTATGGCGTATGCCCGTCTTCATTAGCCCATTTCGGAGCAGAACAGTAGGACGTTGAACCCCATTTCATTTCTATTATTCTTATTTGTGTACGATAAACCATGGCAGCTGTTCCTATCACACCAAGGTAATGTCATCTGATCTATCAGCTGTTCCTATCACCCCAAGGTAACGTCAACTGATCTATGTCAATGTAACATAATAAATTGAAACATATTTATAATGAAGTAATCCTGTCAGATACTAACTTTCCTTGTTTTGTCACATTCAAACTTATCGACTTTAATTGACAGGGACATTTTACTTTTTTTAAGGCAGGACACTACCTTATAAAACACTCTGTATAGATTGATCTGTCAAATTTTGATATCAGCTAAAATTGCCCAAAATAGTCAAAATTTGTTGATTTTTCAAGTCAAGTCCAGCCTTTATATAATATCAGCTAAAATTGCCCAAAATAGTCAAAATTTGTTGATTTTTCAAGTCGTGTCCAGCCTTTATATTATATAGGTAAAAAAAATTTTAACTTTAAACTTGCTTTTTTCCGTACTCAATTTTTGACCCATATCAGGTCATAGACAATCAAATTCTCAAAATCTATGATAGATAATGGTCTCATCTTTGGAATACGATTAGTGCTATAGCTACTGTGTGCAATAAGATGATTTTCAAAGTGTATGTTATACATTTGGACATTTTATTGTACAAAATCTTTTTAGTGGTGTGTTCGACCACACCCACTTGTTTTATGTGGGATGCATAATGTTCTTTATTAACATTCAAATAGTAAAATTTATGCCTTATTGCACCCTTTAATGCCTATATATGTTATTCCAAATCACAAATAGTTTGTTTCAATAAAATTGTTGAAGATTTTGATTTCCTAACATAGCCACCGTGAATATATAAAAAAATCCAATATGGCCACCATTTCCATGGCAACAAATAAACATTTTGCGCTCAAAATATCAAATCTGATTTGTGACATCATATACTAATATTACACTAAATGGCAAGTTTCTGTTATCAATGTGAAATTCTTGGTAGTGTCCTGCCTTAAGACAAATATTTTGCAGGAATTCTGTTAAATAATGTCAACTTTTAGTTTCACTGTGTTCTTTCTGTAGCAAGAACAGATATCGCAGGTCTTCGGCTACAATTTGCTGGAAAATTTATAATTAATTATGTTTAATTATTACTTTTATTAGATGCACCGAAAGATTTGGCACCTAACACTAATTTATTACGGAATCCATCTAAGGTGATTTTATTGAGGGTGAGTTTTTAATAGAAATTATTTGGCATGTTTCAGTGTGGGACATGTTTATTTAACGCCTGTTTCAACCGAAGTCATATCTTCCACAACGCATGTTTCAGCTAAAATTATACAATTTATAGGACCTGTAAGATGTCGACTGAAACCGATTTCTGGCACAATTGTTGGCAAATGACTCTAACCTTGATTGGGGGGGGGGGTGTATGGCCGAATGGTTAGCACGTTGTGCGCTCTATCATAAGGCCTGTCATTGAGTCAACTGGCGTGGTTTCGAATCCCCGGTTGTACGTGACAAGGAGTAGGGTCGCCTGTCCAACTTCCTGGGTTTTCTCCGGGTCCTCCGGTTTCCTCCCACTGCTAAAGACCCCTACGCGCAAGCAAATTATTGAAATAAAATTAAACCATATGTTAGTCCCGATATGACCTAGTTTTTGTCGAGTGGACGTTAAACCCCATTTCTCTCTCTCTCTAACCTTGATTGGACTGGTCTTTTGACAGACAAGATTTACGAGAGCCGAAACTTGCTTCTGTATATTAGAACAGGATTTTGCAATCTTGCCGACTGCGGCCTAAGGATTGGCTTAGTTGGAAGCTCTTCCCTTTGTTAATGAAAAAAACATAGCGTTTAGATTCTAACTGACAAATATGATCAAGAAAAGGGCTGAGGCGGTGTGTTGATTAATAACGACCCCATCCTAATCAGTGGCCCTGGTGAATATTTGCCAAGTTATTGCTCGGTCATAGGAAAACCAGTAAACACCCACGCGCACAACTCTGCTGGTTAAGAAAATGTTTTTGCCCGTAACCATGTTATAGTTATATCCTGTCATGCTGTATAGAACATCTTTTATAGAATAGGGTTGCCTGGAAACTCAGTTTCAATTGTACATGTACCATCATGTTTTATAGAATTTGGTTGCCTGGCAACTCTATTATAATTATCCTATCATGTTTCATAGAATAGGGTTGCCTGGCAACTCTGTTTTAATTCTACTATTATGTTTTGTAGAGTATCATGGCCAGTAAACTCTGTTAAAATTAATGTATTGTGTTTTAAAGAATATGGTTGCCAGGCAACTGTTATATAATAATCGTATCATGTTTTAGAGAATATAGTTGCCTGGCAACTCTGTTATATAATAATCGTATCATGCTTTATAGAATATGGTTGCCAGGCAACTTTTATATAATAATCGTATCATGTTTTATAGAATATGGTTGGACCAGGAGAAGTAGATGAAGATTTAGAACCAGAAACAGCAGAAGAATGTACCAAATATGGAAAAGTTGTCAAATGTGTAATATACGAGGTAGGCTATAACAGACAACATTCTGACTTACTTTATACGACTTATATGGTGGTTGGGTGAGCGAATGGTTTAACTTGTGCGCATTGTATCATAAGGTCTTATATTGAGTCAACTGGCATGGTTTTCAATTTCCCTGTTGTACGTGACAAGGAGTAGGGTCGCCTGTCCAACCTTATGGGTTTTCTCCGGGTCCCCCATTTTCCTTCCACTGCTGAAGATCCCTACGCACAAGCGAATTATTGAAATAAAATTGAATCATGTGTTAGTCCCAAAATGACCTGGTTTGTCTTCACTCCCATATGTATGCATATGTAAATGTATCTCTCAAAAATGCATTATGGTAGTCGATGGGTCTGTGCACGGGTTTTCTGTGGGTACTCCGGTCTTATCCTACTGCTAAAGACCCCTATGCGCAAGCGAATTATTGAAATAAAATTGAATATGTTAGTCCCAAAATGACCTTGTTTGTGTCGAGTGATTTCTCTCTCTCTTCTAGTACAAAAGTATGCTGTTAAACCCCATTTAATTTCATTTATTGTCATTTCATTGTTTGATTTCACCTCGACCTGTTATTGAATAAATGAATGTTATATTTATAGATGCAAGGAGCAGAAGATGATGAGGCTGTAAGAATTTTTGTAGAATTTGAAAGAATGGAATCTGCTATAAAGGGTAGGTTCTTCATTAGATAATATAAATGAGTTTTTCCCTCATTTTGTAATTTATTATTCATTACGTGATAGGATGTACACGTCTCCTTAGGGCCATGGTGGTCGTGTGGTTTGACTGTGAGGTTATTGTCCTGGTTCACCCTGTGAGGTTATTGTCCAGGTCTCTCTTGTGAGGTTATTGCCCTGGTCCGAGGTTATTGCCCTGGTCCGAGGTTATTGTCCTGGTCCACCCTGTGAGGTTATTGTCCAGGTCTCTCTTGTGAGGTTATTGCCCTGGTCCGAGGTTATTGCCCTGGTCCGAGGTTATTGTCCTGGTCCACCCTGTGAGGTTATTGTCCTGGTCTCCCTTGTGAGGTTATTTTCCTGGTCCACCTTTTGAGGTTATTGTCCTGGTCCGAGGTTATTGCCCTGGTCCACCCTGTGAGGTTATTGTCCTGGTCTCCCTTGTGAGGTTATTTTCCTGGTCCACCTTTTGAGGTTATTGTCCTGGTCCGAGGTTATTGCCCTGCTCCAACCTGTGAGGTAATTGCCCTGGTCCACCCTGTGAGGTTATTGCCCTGGTCCAAGGTTATTGCCCGGGGGTCCACCCTGTGAGGTTATTGTTGGAATATGTTGATAAATCCAAAAGTAATCAACAACCTGAAATTGAACACAACAATATTCCCATAACTTAATTAGTTTATCAGGGTTTAGTGAATAGCAAAAAATCTAGAATAGATAATCTAGAATATTCAAATTCCATATTCAATTGCCGATTTTTGTAAATTTTTCGTTTCAGCCATTGTTGATTTAAACGGGCGTTTTTTTGGAGGAAGAACAGTGAAAGGAGGTTTTTATAATTTGGATAAGTTTCGAAGATTTGATTTAGCGGATCTGACTGATTGATAAACTGACAACATTTTATAAAATTATTACAAAGTATTGACTCGTAGCTTTTATTGCTGATATTAAGATTAAAATATGATCGTTCAAGCTCATGTCTCGTGGTTAAGATAATGTAATGTGAATGGAGCAGGGTTTTTTTCTTATGGAACTAGAAGATATTTTTATGTTTGGAACTGGAAGATATTTCTACAATCAAAACTGGATGTTATTTCTATTATAAGAAGAATGCGAAGATATTTAAACAATTAAAAGAACTGGATGTTATTTCTACAGTTAAAACTGGAAGATATTTCTACAGCTAAAACTGGAAGATATTTCTACTTAATGATCTTGTCATGTTAAGAAAAAAAAGGAAAGAAAGAAATTTAAAATAGTTTTTGTTAAGTTATTGTAAATTTCGGGGTGTTGGATGGCTGAATTTACGACACATGTCAAGGAGTAGGGTCGCCTGTCTAACCTTGTGGGTTTTCTCCGGGTCCCCCAGTTTCCTTCCACTGCTGAAGATCCCTACGCACAAGCGAATTATTGAAATAAAATTGAATCATGTGTTAGTCCCAAAATGACCCGGTTTGTCTTCACTCCCATATGTATGCATATGTAAATGTATCTCTCAAAAATGCATTATGGTAGTCGATGGGTCTGTGCACGGGATTTAGACTAGAATGTCAAGGGTTCAGGATAAGACGAAGCTTCAGGAATTTTCAAGCTTTGGGAGGTTGACAGGAAAAGCCAACACAATTTGGTGATGTAACAAACACAATTTAATTCTAAAAGCTACAAACATAAACAAAGTGAACATTTTGAGACAAATTTAGAAGCAACAATAAAAAATTTTAAGACAGGAATGTTTAAATTTTGGGGGATGAGCCTAGAACTTGGTCATATCTAGTGAATGACCTATTTGAATTCACAAGGGGAGTGGAGGGAAGAGGGGCAGGTTTTGATACTCGTACATAAATCATATGTATTTAGCATTGATTGCTAGTCTACGATATTACCCTAAGTGGAAGGAGTGGAAGTTAAACCCCATTTCTCTCTCTCTTCATTGAGTCGACTGGCGTGGTTTCTAATCCCCGGTTGTACGTTTACAAGGAGTCGGGTCCTCCTGTTTCCTCCCACTGCTAAAAAAACCTACGCGCAAGCGAATTATTGAAATAAAATTAAAACCATATGTTAGTCCCGAAATGACCTAGTTTGTGTCAAGTGGACGTTTAACCCCATTTCTCTCTCTCTCCTAAGTGGAAGTATAAAACTCACACAAACGAACACTGGTTATACGGTGTCTACATTTTCTATCTTGCCTGGGACTATTACCACCATCACAAGGGGCTTCGATAAGGGGTTGTTAATGGTGCTGGCTGACAAAAGTTCCTCATATTTTTTTTAAACCACCCTGATAGAAGTCAGTCAGTATATGCATCTTGTATCCATATCTCACAATTTTGTAAATCAACTTGGGTTCATTTTATTACAATTAATATCATATTTTGTGCCTTAGTTGTTTAATGTCAGTTGGTTTAGTAAATTATAAAATATTTACAACATATTTACAAATATCATCTATAAAAATATATAATTTCACAAGAAAACAATGTCAGTTGAAAAGGACATTTTGGAGTTAACTGTTTTAGTTTGCTTCATCACATGATCTCAACATGATGTCTCATGATCTCAACATGGTTTCACATGATCTCAACATAGTGTCACATGATCCAAACATGGTGTCACATGATATCAATATGGTGTCACATGATCGATCTCAACATGATGTGACACAATATTGTTTGAAGTGTATTTAGTAAATTGAGACATAAATAAATAACACACTATTTTTGGAATAACAATTACTATAATTTATGACACTGCCACGTTTTCATCAAGATTTCACATTGTGTTTATATGGTTGAAAAAGCTTTGTGAAATCTTGTTGAAAACGTCACAAATATTAAGCAGCTAAATAATTAAAAATCTGATTTCTGCACCGTTGATTTTAAACAATTGGGAACGACTGAACAGCCATACTTTCAATAGCTAATTCGTCAGTTCCACGTCGAATTCTAAAATAGCCCTGTTCACCCCAATCTTCCCCCCAGCTATTTTTAACAATCCAAAACTTTTCTCCGTCATCCTCCCCATATCCAACAACCAAGACAGCGTGATTGGTTACTTCGAATGGATTGTATCTGTCCTCCAAACCAGTGTGGTGGAATATACCAGACTTGTAGTGGAAGAAATCTTCGGTCACGTTAAAACCAACGACCACGGGTCCATTTTTAAATACAGCCATTCTCATTAGAGCCTCGTTACAGCTGGAAAATATAAAATCATTCAGAATATACATTGTTGTTTAGTTTTAACAGGAGGACCACACCACACATAAACACAACCACAGGAGGACCACACCACATCACACCTAAACAAACAGAACCACTGGAGGACCACATCACACATAAACAAACACAACCACAGGAGGACCACACCACGCATATAAACAAACACAACCACAGGAGGACCACACCACACATAAACACAACCACAGGAGGACCACACCACACATAAACAAACACAAGCTCAGACGACAAATATGCCAACAAGACACCAATCTCAGACCCAGAGGTAACTTTACCCTTTGTTTATCTCTGATAAAACTCGCAAGCCATTAATCAGTGTGAAATCGGTTCCTAAGCTCCGCCCCCTGTGATTCCTGATTGGCAGGATTTGTTACAATGAAATGCTACTGATTTTTCGACAATTAGGCATTGATTCATTGCATCAGTTACATATTAATGATCCTTGGAGCATTTTCCACATCTTGACGTCAAAAGTTCATTCAAAAACAACCGATTTGATGATTTACCGGGAACTATTTTTAACACACAATGTGAGTGACTTCTGCTAGATAGGTGAAATTTCTGGATCTTTGTGAAGCGACTGACAGAAGGATACATCACCTGACGTATGGCCAGCGAGTTTTACCAGCGATAAACAAAGGGTAACCGAGATTGGACAAGACAAATTGTAAGTTACATTGCTACCAAAACAAACAGAAGACAAACCTGCTAATAAGACATTGTAAAAGTAAAATCAAATCTAATAAAAGTGTCCATGAGAGAATCAGAGAACCGCCTCAATGTTATCACGGTCAGTAACTAGATGTATGTATTCCAAGAATGGTTAGTTGAGACATAGTCTAGCACATCCTTCCCAACACTCCTACTGTCCTCATAACACCTGTCCTCACAACACCCCTTCTGTCCTCACAACACATCTCCTGTCCTCACAACACCCATCCCTCCTTCCGGCAGGCCACAACACTCAGATTTTATTCAAATTTTACCCAAATAATACAATACTTGTGTAAATATTTAAATATTTGTAATTACCCCCTCTGTCCCTCCAATCAATCCCACAGGCCTTAATGCTCAGATTTTTTTAAAATTACAACCAAATAAAATAGTTTTTATGTAAATATTCGTAATTGTCCAATCCTCCCTCATCAAGCCGAAATTTACACCCAAATAATACAGTTGAGGTGTAGATATTTGTAATTACTCCTCCCTCATTCTTTTCCTCCCTCATTCCTTCCCACCCTCATTCCTTCCTTCCCTCATCTCCTTCATTCTTTTCCTCCCTGTTCCTTTCCTCCCTCATTCCTTCCTTCCCTCATCTCCTTCATTCTTTTCCTCCCTGTTCCTTTCATCCCTCATTCCTTCCCACCCTCATCTCCGTCATTCTTTTCCTCCCATCTTTCTACCCACCTTCCCACCCGCAGGCTGCAACACCAAGAGAGATTTTGTATAAATATTTATAACTACTTACGCTCCGTAGAAACCTCCGACGTATTCATACTCGGTAGCATAATGTCTGGTACAACCTGGTTTAGTTGAACATTCGCCATCTTTACCTGTATACGGATTACACGATTCTTCAACTAATCCAAAATCTTCCGCATATTTACCCGCAATTAAATACGGAAAACCACCATCACAACCTACACGTAAAAAAAATTATAGCCAATCAAATCACAGACAATTGAGGAGGCAGTCAATCAAACACAGTACATTTCGGTCGAATTTTTATTTTCTTAACTCGTGTGCAGATGGATCTTCAACTGTAGGGAAATAGGATGAAAAATCCACAAGGTGCGACAGTTGATGCCTCTAAAAGTCTTAATCCGAATCTGGACAATGCTCTCCAGCGTAATATTTTAGAGAATACTTTTGTTGTTATTTTGTGAAATATGAAATAACGTAATTACCGCTCGGTAGACTGGAACAATGGGATCAAAATTTTATTAAACGGACACCCAATCTGATTAAACCCATATCCGATTTCATTTTGCTTTTTTTAAAGTTCAAAATGTCATTTTACTTGTCTTTACTATACTAGGATCTGGAAGAGTTGTTATATAACCCGCGTTCTGCTTGTGAGGGAATAGCCAATGAAACGGTCAGTTGCAGCGAGTTCTTGGCCTGCGATGCACGGAACTGTTCGTATAATACTAGAAACATTAACGCAGACTGGTTAATCAAATGTCTAACGTCATAGGTCAAAAGCCGCTTGTGTGACCCCTGACATGAGCTTCCACTATAACTGGTCATATCTTCATGTAGTGCAGGCCATCGAAAGTATAAAAAAAATGAAACGAAATACAGACAGGTTTGTGCAGAAATATAGGAGAGAGAGAGAGAGAGAGAGAGAGAAATGGGGTTTAACGTCCACTCGACACAAACTAGGTCATTTCGGGACTAACATATGGTTTAATTTTTTATTTCAATAATTCCCTTGTGCATAGGGGTCTTTAGCAGTGGGAGGAAACTGGAGGACCCGGCAAAAACCCACGAGGTTGAACAGGCGACCCTACTCCTTGTCACGTACAACCAGGTAATCGAAACCCCACCAGTTGACTCGATGACAAACCGTAGGATACAGCGCGTGTGCTAACCATTCTGCCATCCAACCTCCACCCCAGATTGAAGGACACACAGCTAATTAGGATACTTGTTTACTCATTGTATAAACAGCTAACAGGTTTAACTATTCATAATATACAAACCTTGTGAGTATTCACTACACTCAACGATATCTTGTGGTGAGAAGACAAATTGTTGAGAATTATTGGTCATTATTCTTACTCTAGCTTCATTCATAGCCATTGAAGCAAACGCGAAACAACTACCACAACTTTCTGTAATAAAGCAGAAAATAATTTTATTTGGTGCTTCTTATTTAAAGATCTCTATCAAGAAAAACGTAAACATAATTAACTGTGAATGGAGTAATCTGGCTGAATAGTCCTTCCTCCGATCACACAGAAAAGAAAAACAAATTGTTGAGGTCAACTTACCTTGATTCCTGACAGGTGAAACATAATTACTGCCTTCAACGTTCCTCCAATCAAATTGATCAGGTAGAGTATTGGCAGATCTTTGTTCTTCCCAGGTAACAGGTGCAGCTTTTATTGATCTAAACAAACGACAAGACGTACTCATCAATACCCCCAAAAAATATGTTAAATTGGTTTCATGGAACCACAATAATTATTAAATCCATGAAATTTCTAACCAGACACAACTACTATAATGAGTTATGTGTGTACAAGATTGATTTACACAGGACCTTGTGTTCCATCTGAACAACAAAACACTAATCCCTAATCCAGTAATTCTCACCTAGTGTGCCGTGGCAAAGATCTTTCTAAGTGTGTCACGAAAATGCAAAAAACCATGTGATCCTAATTGAATAATTCACTGGTGTCTACTGGTAAGTTCTGTGTTTTTCTTTATTTAGTTTGAGTCATTCAATGTGTCTATGACTAGTCTGTGTCTACAGTTGTATGCTGTCTATGACTTGCCATGTTTTTATTTTGCACAAATCAAATATTTTTCATATATATTTAGCCATGTGTGCTGCTACTTTTTCATGTGTTCCGAGGTGTGCTATTGGCAACAAAAAGGTTGAGAACCACTGCCCTAATCTTTAAGTGGCATTTACAGATTGAGGAACACATTATACAGAACACTAATCCAGTCCCTCCATCCCCGCACCACTGACAGGGGGTAAACTTGGCCCACACTGGGATCGAACGCAAGCCCTGATTAATGAGGCAGCGCGTAACTCGCCGGGCCACCAATTAAACATGAAAACGATAAACAACTTACCCATGTATTTGAGAAGCGGGACCACCAGCTCTGTTTAACATTTCTTTCATTGGTTTTCCCTCGTAATCAGGATAAACTGTGGCTGTCCACGATTTCTGGTTTTTGTTGATGGCGTTGATAAAATCATAGTTTGATTTAAATAATCTGAAAAATAGAAACCATGAAATAAAACACAGATTGACAGGATTGCACCCCAAAAAATCCAAAGCAGATGTGTTTCATCAATCCTTTGATTGATTAAGGGCAGACCAACCCCTCACAAGGGCAATGTGAAACATTTTTCAAGTGACTATCTGAAGATTATGCCATCACCATCAAGAAACACCATTCAGGAGACGACCACCGTCAAAACAGGTAGCATTATTTCTACTGCGTCTTCCTTTTAAATCGAATCCCCAGATGTACGTGACAAGGAGTAGGGTTGCCTGTCCAACCTCTTGGGTTTTCTCCAGGTCCTCCGGTTTCCTCCCACTGCTAAACCCCCTTACGCGCAAGCGAATTAATGAAATAAAATCAAACCATATGTTAGTCCCGAAATGACCTAGTTTGTGTCGAGTGGACGTTAAACCCCATTCCTCTCTCTCTCTCTCTCTCCTATATTTCTGCACAAACCTGTCTAAAGAAGACAGCATAGGTCATACAGTGTGCTATGTAACCAATTTTATCTTGACAGCAAAGCTACAGTCAACAGTTCTTTAATATGCACTGCAATCAGTGGCATCGTGCCCATTGGGGCCCAGGGGGGCCTGGGCCCCCCCAAATTCTCAGGGAAATAAAAATATTTTTATTGATATTATTAAGACAGAAGACCTGTCCGTCTGTTTTAGTCATCACATGGTCTGTGTTTAGTTCATTGCACTTTAGTTTAGATATCATTTGTTAAGGCCTACAGCAGCCTCGCCTCGTACACTCTATCATTTAGCCCCGATCTAAAATTTCCAGGAGTATGACAATAACATAACGTTTAATCTCCGCTCACGGCGCCATTTAAAAATTTAATCAATCAATGAAATCCTGTTTAAATCCAAGCCATCCGTGGGTCTACAGTGTTGATTTTGTGCTTGTTGTGTAAATCCCTATTTATGATTGTATGTTGTATTTGATAAAATATCCATATACGGGTGTCAAAAATAAAGACTGAAAGTAATTTTTATTAAAATACAATGTATTTGACCATGCATGAAGTTGTTTGAAATGTCCATTCAATAATTAAATCGAAGTTGAGATGAATAAAATATAATTCAGTTTTTGAGTGATAAATTACAATTATCACTAAAAATTCAGAAAAAAAACCCGGCCATTTTTCAATCATAACTTTATTGTCTCTAATCCATGGAAATGGCGTTTCCCGGCTTCTAATGTCTGCGGCATTCGATGTGGGCGGCGCTGCCGCCAACACTCTCCGCAGCCAGTAAATTTAATTTACCATGAACACACTTGCAGAAAGTTGGGCCCCCCTAAAAAAATTTTTTGCACGACGCCCCTGACTGCAATTAGATATGCCATACAGTGTGCTATGAGGGAAATTTTGCCCGGACAAAATATTAAATTTCCACTGCCAAAGGATCTTTTACGTGCTCCCCAATGAATACACTGGACTACATGTTGTCCCTTGCTAGACCCTCAGTCCTACACAACTGACAAGGAGCAACCACATTGGAAAATCACGACAACCAACACCGGGATCGAACACGTGACCTCCAGGTTAGAAAGCCAACATCTTACTCACTGAGCCACTGTGGTACAGAGAGAGAGAGAGAGAGAGAGAGAGAGAGAGAGAGACAAATGGGGATTAACATCCACTCAACACAAACTAGGTCATTTCGGGACTAACATATGGTTTGATTTTATTTCCATAATTCGCTTGCGCGTAGGGGTCTTTAGCAGTGGGAGGAAACCGGAGGACCTGGAGAAAACCCACAAGGTTGAACAGGCGACCCTACTCCTTGTCACGTACAACCGGGGATTCGAAACCACGCCAGTCGACTCAATGACAGACTTCGGCCATCCAACTCCCGCCTCACAGTGGTACACTACTGGAGAGACACTACAGTCTTCTCTCAAGGGATCTATTTTTAACATGCTGTCAATATTTTTTAAACCCATCTGAATAACTAGACATGAAAATTTGAAGGGGCAGCATAAAAAAAAAAAAATTATCCAACCTTTCTGATTTTACTTTCTGATAGGTTTTTGGTGGAACCGCTGTGGCCTTTTTGCCGTAATAACAAGCCCAATCTCGATCAAACACATCATGTGACCAACCGTTCATGGTCTGATCACACATACTTGTGACAGTCATACCAGATTGTTTATACAAAGAAAACGCAAAATATTTTCTTCCTGCTACGACTACTTCAAATCCCTAAAAAATAGAAATGAAAGTAGTGGAATTAGGAAATGAAATGAAATGGGGTTTTAAACAGACTGTTCTGCTCCGACTGGGTCAATGAAGATGTACATATGCCACACAGTGTGCTATGAGGGCAATGTATATCCAATTCCAACTGCAACAGGTTCTTTTACATGCATGCCAATTGTGTGACACAAGACCTTGATTTATCGTCCCATCCGAATAAGTAGATGTTGTCCCTTGCTAAGCCGTCTGTTTTGCACCACTGACAAGGGGGAACCTCGTTGGAAAATCCTTATGAACTTTCTTGGCCAATGCAGGGATCGAGCCATGCTACTTGAGTCAATGACAGACTCGCTGAACTAACGTGCATGTGCAAGGACAGACCCCATCCCATCACAACAACTAGACACTGTCCTTGACAACCTTTCAGGTGCTCACCATGACAACCTTTCAGGTGCTCACCCTGACAAGGAGGAAATGGGCTTGAAAACCCCACATGCTAGGATTCCAACCCGAGACATTCTAGTTGAGAATCCACTGGCCTGACCGATCGACGACCGTGGCCCCGTTTAACATATAAAACATTACCTGGTTGTAAATTAATCAACTGTTGCCCCCTTCAACATATTACCTCATTGTAACTTAATCAATCATGGCCCTCTTACCTGGTTATAAATTATAGTCCAGAATCCTTTGTTACCAAACTCATCAACAACAACATCAGGAAAATATAAGTTCATACTGATCTGACTCACTGTGGCACCTGAAAAATATCTCATTTAGTTAGGAGTACATCACATCATAGATGGAGCGAGAGAGGGAATGAGAAAGAGAGGTGAGTGGGAGAGAGTTAGAGAGAAAGATGGGGAGAAAGAGAGAGGGAATGAGAAAGAGAGGTGAGTGGGAGAGAGTTAGAGAGAAAGATGGGGAGAAAGAGAGAGGGAATGAGAACGAGAGGTGAGTGGGAGAGAGTTAGAGAGAAGGAGAGATGGGGGAAAGAGAGAAAGAGAGAGGGAATGAGAGAGAGAGAGAGGGAATGAGAGAGAGAGAGAGAGAGAGCTAGAGGAGGAAAATGAGAGGGGAATGCAGTTTAACATCCACTTGACACAAACCAGGTCATTTGGGGATTAACATATGATTCAATTATATTTCAACGATTCGCTTTCATGCACAGGTCTTTAGATGTTGGTGGACTATGAGAAACCCCATGAGGTTGGTCAGGCGACCCTATATTCCAACTTAATGGAATTCGCATTTTGCGGGCAATTTTGACACAAAAAAGCTGATTTTAAACTAAAAATGACAATTTGGCATAAAAAAACAGTATATATATATATATATTATCAAACATTGGTAGTAATTATTGAGATATGAGATGATGGATTTGAGTAGACTTAAGTGGATTTGGGTAATTTGTGCTACCCGTTTTATTTTGTGCTTTTTTCCACTTCCAGTTATTCAAATGCCTCTTAAAAGTTCAAATTAACAGAACAAGGAATAAGGGGGCGTATTACGGTGGCCTTCTGTGACCACGATTATAATATATAAAACATATTGTTCATTAAAAATGTTTTTATATTTTTTATTTTTTTTTAAGTGACTATCGATGACAAAATTTCTATACTATGAAAAGACAAAAATTAATGAAATATCTCTTGTCATATGCCATGCAGCCATGGTGCAGATGTATAATAGTACACATATACTCACTGTTTTTGGAACAATTTAAAGTTTTGTCGTGGCCACGACTTGACACAAAAAATGTCCATTTTCCACTTATATCTTCATAAGTACAGTTTGCAGGCGTGTCACCAAAAACCGCTGTCAATGACAGTAAAGTAATTATAGCCACTGTCAACATTGTGTCTGTCTTTTCCTAATCAACTGTGCAGCTGACTGATTGCGGTTCACCCCTTTATTATGAAAAATCATGTGACTCAATTTCGACCTTGAACTTCCACTTTATCATGTGACACATGTCTGTGTGTCTTTCCGGAAGAAGGCTGAAGAAGGCGTTTTGTAGTGTATTTTTTTTGACAGAAATCGACATTTAATCGTCAAACATGTTTTCTTTTTTCCAAAGGATCTTAGATTGGTTCAAGAGCCTTTTCTGGAAAGAGGAAATGGAACTCACATTAGTAGGACTTCAATATTCGGGGAAAACGACGTTTGTTAATGTCATTGCAGTGAGTATAAAATTGTCCGAAAAAAATGGTACAATTTAATTGAATTGCTCGGAAATCATTGCTCTCCGACAAAGAAACGTAAATAAATGGCGACATCGTCATAAATTAACAACTGTGTGAAACACATAGTTGAAAGCACAATTGGATTTGTGGGGTTTTCTTTCTAAATGCATGAAGATTATTTTGAAGATGTGTCCAATATAAATGAATATTATATTTAGGCCTGACATAATTATTTTGGTCATATGACTTGAATGATGCCTGATTTAAAGATGATAGCCATATGACTCACTAGGTAGCCCCACACAGTGGGCCACACATGATATTATTTACCCTAGGGAACTATATGTTTTAATCCAATTTATATCTCAGAATTAATTGATTAAACATTAGAGATATTAAAAATAACAAAATCATTATTATTAAGCTTGTTTTGACACCGATTGGGGTGAAATTAATTAATACATGTACAATAGATCAATATTATTTCAGATCTAAATATAGCTTTATTGCTATGACAGAATATTTCTGATGTTGCCTTATTTACATGTACAGCCTTGCTGCTGTTGTGATTTTGACCTGTATAATACAGGTGTCCCACGAAGTCCCGTACTACTAGGTTACTACGAGATTAGATATATAGTGCTGTTTTTTAGTGGCATGCTCAGATTATTCTTCAGAAAGACTTGCAGTAATTGACATGTTTATTGATGCGGACAACTTGATATTCACCAAGTATGAAATGAAATGGGGTTTAACGTCCTACTGTTTTGCTCCGAACAGGGCTAATGAAGACGGGCATATGCCATACAGTGTGCTATGAGGGAAATTTTGCCCGGACAGTGGCCACTACGGCCTACTCTTATATCAAATTCCAACTGTCAATGGATCTTTTACGTGCACGCCAATGTATACACAGGCTCTCGGTTTTTCGTCTCATCAAAATGACTAGACAGCTGTCCTTGTCAGGCCCTCCATCCTGCATAACTGACAAGTGGGAACCACGCCAGAAAATCTGGATGAACTTTCTCAGCCAATGCAGGGATCGAACACCCGACCTCCAGGCTTGCTGACAAGGGGGAACCACCACGGAAAATGTGGATGAACTTTCTCGGCCAATGCAGGGATCGAACACCCGACCTCCAGGCTAGCGAGCCAGTGTCTTACCCACTTAGCCACCATGACCCCCCTCACCAAGTGGGACTAGGTCTTTATAAATATACTTAAAAGCAACACTGCATTACAACATGATCTACATGTAATGTCTTCCACAAAATTGCTGCACAATAAATTGTTTCATTTTACCTTACAGATTCAATCGATGTGTTATTTATATAAAATCCTTTATTAGAATTCTTTAAAGGGTGCATGTTAGCATGTCAGATCATAAGGTCTGTCATTGAGTCAAGTGGCGTGTTTTCGACTTCCCGCTTGTATGTGACAAAGAGCAGGGTTGCCTGTCCAACCTCTTTGGTTTGCTCCAGGTACTCCGTTTTCCTCCCATGTCTAAATACATGTACCTACATGTACCTGCAAGCAAATTAGTGAAATAAAATTGAATCATAGATTAGACCCAAAATGACCCAGTGTGTGTCGAGTAGACGTTAAACACCATTTCTCCCCCTCTACCTCTCTTTGCTGTACAGTCATTTAAGAGTTTCGTCTCAACAAATATGATTGCTTGTGTTTTCCATCTACTTTTGAATGTCTGATGAGAAGTTCCCACAAACTTTAAAAGCAGTAGGGCACTAGGCTAACTTGATGCACAAACAAAAAACATTGTCCCTGATAATACAGTTTTCTGAAGTTGGTGAAATTACACTAATTAAAAAAACCCATTATCTCTGGTCTTTGACTTTGGCCAAATACTGTTTGATATTTGGAATTAATCTGCTGTCTTCAGGTAGACTATATTAAGTGTTAAGTTTAACTGTCAACCAGCACCTATATGTACATTGTACATGTGTGTATTTGTCCTTTGGACTGTTACTATTTACTTTCCGAGTTAATATTATTCAATTGATTATGGTTGAGCTGGAAGGCATAACATAATATTGATATCTTCATAATTTGTCTGTGTTGTTAGTCACTAATGCATTGAAGAAACTGTTTTAGATTTATTCAATTTGTAGAGATGATACTATCCATTAACACAAAGCTCGGAGTAAGGGAAGTGGATTGAAACTTATGGGTCATACATGTAGGTAGGAACTTAGGGTCACAGCGGCTGTAAAACTTTTTAATCTCTCGCGTCCAACCTCATGGGTTTTCTCAGGTTGCCTCCTACTGCTAAAGACCCCTACGGCTATGAACAAGCAAATTATTGAAATAAAATCAAACAATATGTTAGTCCAAAAATGAGCATGTTTGTGTCAAGTGGACTTTAAAACTCCGTCTCTCAGTCTGTGTATTTCCCTTTTTTATCCCTCACCAAAGTTACAGGATGGATGTTGAAATGGGCTCTGTCCATCCTTTGTTCCGGTTTTATTTCCAGACTATATCTCATAAAACAATTACTTAGAAATTTCATGGTTTTTAATGAATTTTTGTTACCATAGAAACAAATTTCACTTATTCTGTGATATAGAAGAAATATTGATGATTGAGTCGTATATTTTTATTTTATTTCTGTGATTACTAATTCATTATCTGTACTTATTTTTCAGTCTGGTCAGTTCAGTGAAGACATGATTCCAACTGTAGGCTTTAATATGAGGAAAATTACAAAAGGAAATGTCACCATAAAGGTAAACTATATGCTACATGTATATTGTGTCACCATAAAGATACAGTGAGGTTGGATGGCTAAATGGTTAGCACGTGCGCGCTGTATCATAAGGTGACAAGGAGAAGGGTCGCCTGTCCAACCTTGTGGGTTTTCTCACAGTCTCTAGTTTCCTCACACTGATAAAGATTCCAACGAGCGGGTGAATTATTGAAATAAAATTGAGCCATGTGTTAGTCCCAAAATGACCTAGTTTGTGTCAAGTGGGGTTAAGCCAAATTCTCTCTCTCTCTCTCTCTCTCTCTTAAAGATACAATACACTACAATGATATATTAACACATAAATTAGTTTTGATTGTACTGTACCTTAACTAAAATTAGATGAAATATGTATTTTTATACGTCTATAGAAAGATATGCAACAACCCTTGTTGACTGCTCCGACGGCTTAGCTGCTGTAGACATGTTTCATTGCCTGGCAACCTATTTTTGTTATTGTAGTTGTGGGATATTGGTGGACAGCCGAGGTTTCGAAGTATGTGGGAAAGATATTGTCGAGGAGTCAATGCTATTGTGTAAGTACTAATGAAGCCAGTCGAGACATTTATTGGGCAGGTTTTTCATTTTGAGCAGAGCTATAAATTAAAGAAGCTATAAGCCTATTGTTTATTATTATTATTATTATTATTTATAAGCGTTTATATAGCGCCATTTCCACAAAAGTGCTCTATCACGCTTTACTATATAGATAATATGATTGACAAAACAAACATAAGATTAAATCATAAAAAAGTGAATAATATACATAAAAGTTGAGTAAAAGGAAGTATTGCATAAAATATAGATATAGTTATCACAGAGATGATTAATTAAAAGCCCTATTAAACAAGTGCGTTTTTAGAGAAATCTTAAATGATGACAGAGAAGTACATGACCGAATGGAATGAGGAAGTTTATTCCATAGTTTGGGGGCAGCTACCTCAAAAGCCTTCTCGCCGAAACTGACGAGATTAGCTTTTTTCTCAATAAGTAGCAGATTGTCACCGGAAGACCGTAATTGTCGACGAGGTTCATAAAAACATAAAAGATTACTAAGATAAATAGGTGCCATGTTATTTATACATTTAAAAACTAATAATAAAATCTTATATTCAATTCTAAAAATAATAGGAAACCGGTGTAGTTTATATAGAATAGGTGATATGATCCCTATATTCTGCTCCAGAAATAAGGCGGGCAGCTGAGTTTTGTAAATTTTGCAGTTTTTCAAGATGCTTGATTGGTGCACCGTACAGGACAGAATTAAAAGAATCAATACGCGAAGTAACTAATGAATTTATTAGTGTTTTTGTGGCATCCACTGACAGATATTTACGTATTTTAGCTATGTTTCTTAAATTAAAATAACATATTTTACATATATTGTTTATTTGATTTTCCAAAGAAAAATTTGAGTTAAAAATTACACCAATATTTCGGGCTGATTGAGAAGGGGCAATGCAGCTATCTCCTGCTTGTATTGACAGATCGTAGTTCAACTTTTCCCTGTTTAAAGACGACCCAATAACGAAATACTCAGTCTTATCTGCATTAAGTTTCTATATCACCCTGGATGGGACAAACAGACACAGACTCTGCAAACCAGAATAACTAATAATGTTAATTGTTGAATAAGCAGATTAATATTGAAATTCTAACATTTAAAGTCGTTTATTGTGTTATCTATAATGTCGCTTACAGTAAAATATGGAAACCTGTTTTGCAGCCTTTTTCAAATCTCGACCTCTCTCTCCTTCATCTTCAACTTCTCATTTTCTTGTTTTCTTGGGTTTGAAAACCCTTGAGTTATGAAATGGCTGCAGTAGGCTTCCATAGTACCACAGAAAACCTTATTTTGATAGCCTATCTTTTCTCTCTCTCTCTAGATGTATATGTTAGTGACCTAGGTGTGTCCAGTGGCTAATAAACCACTTTTCTACCTCTCTCTTACTCTAAATACAAATGTTAGTCCCAAGAAAATCTGGTTTATGTTGAGGGGTGGCAGGGCTGCCGACAGCCAGTATCGCAGCGCAATTTACGATACATATTTTGTCCGTTGCTAATCAAAAATTAAAATCTAATGTTTTTGATTCGCAATAACTGCAAATCACTAATATGTCTGTCATTTTGGATATTGACACGAAGATTTATCCACATTTCTCAACACTTTCAACATGTATAAAATATCAAATAAATTTGATAAGCAAAACTGAATTCTCCGTGTGACATTTTCTTCTCGAACTACCCAGACACAATTCATTAAACGGTACTATATAATACAGGGACATAACTCTATGAATAGGGACTATTAAACTGGAAATAGGGAATCAAGTAGTACCACTCATGTTGCAAGACATGTCAATTTCGAGTAATTATATCAGTATTCAATTTGAAAAAAATAAATCCAGTGTATCCCCCATGTATTGTAAATAAAGAATATGAAAATAAATATATGTAAACGTATTGTAAAATGAGAAATCAAAGTAAGAATTCACGTAAAATATTATTGTTTATATCACATGCGTCTAGTTAATCGAGATTATTCGTTAAAAACTGTGCGCATCCGAATGAAAAAAAATGATAACACACAATAAAAAGCAGATAATTTTTTTTTTTCAACGAAGAAATAAGAAATAAAATGAGTGGGAATTCGGAAGCCACTGCCAAGAATTGGCTTTAGACATAACCAAAAGTCTACATTCAGAAATGTTCACAGCTACATGTACCTGTAGCAGTGCTAAAATTCTAAATAATTCTTAAGAATGAAATCTAATCATTTGTTATAAATTAAAATAATCTTGTTATTTAGGTGTTTTATGTTGAAACCAAAAAACTGCTAATCACTTTTTAAATTTTCTAATCAAATTTGGCAAAATTGGATGTTTTGATTATCAATGCTGCTAATCATCTATGAAAAATTACAGACAGGCCTGAAGGGTGGTTAATCTCTCCCTCTCTTTCTCTCTCTCAAATTTCTCTCTCTCTCTCTCACACATTCTCTCTCTCCCTCATACATCTCCAGTCATCCATTATGTTCCTCCCTCTCTCCCTCTCAGATGTGAAGAATTTATTTAATATTTCAGATTTATGGTTGATGCTGCGGATCATGATAAGTTAGACGCGTCAAGAAATGAACTCCACAATTTGTTGGATAAACCACAGTTACAAGGTATTCCGGTCTTAGTTCTAGGAAATAAACGCGATCTTCAAGGAGCATTAGATGAGAAGGAACTGATCGAAAAGTTGTAAGTAAATCTTTGATTGATTGAAATCTGTCTCTATGTATTTCTGGCCCGATTAAAATGAAACATAACATGTTAAAGATTAGTAAATCTTAAAGAAGTTCAATTTTGATCAGCAGAATTTCTTGTCGTTGCTGTTTAAGCCAAAAAAGGAATTGTACAAATTTTATGGAAATTTTTGTCTGATCAGATGTTAAGGATCAATACAATAGGACAATTTGCTGTGATTTTATCACAAGAAATGATATTTTGTTGCCCGAAGGTTGACCATCTTAAAATGGCTGCCATGTTGTATTTTCGAATGGCCTATGGGTTATTTGAAACGAGTATTTGTGCCAGTTTTGATACATGTACCTACATTTGAAAGATTTCCCACATATTATGCAGGTATTCTCCCAAATCATAATTACGATTATTTTACAAATGATCATGATATATCGTAATACAGTGATTATTGAGAAAGGAAGTGATTATTGACCCAATGATCATGATATATCGTGATACAGTGATTATTAAGAAAGGAAGTGATTTTTTAATTGTATTATTATTTAGGCTAATATGCTTGTTATTTCTCTAACACTTTGCCCATTTGGCTAGGAATTTTGCTAATGAATCCTATTTCCCAGAGCAGGCCTGATAGTGCAAAAATAGATAATGAAACATATGAATATATTGAAAATTTCAGTCAAATTACCTTACTCTGAGCGCAGATATCAGACTTTGTTGTTTTCACAATATAGTCTTGATTGTTAAGTACCATTGTTATGATAATAAACAAAGTCTTGATTATCATGTTTAATCATGTTTGTTACCATTCAGGGTCATATTATAAACAAATAACACATTAGGTCATCATCAACTATGTGCATCTGGTTAGCACGTGCCCGTTGTATCATACGGTCTGTCATTGAGTCAACTGGTGTGGTTTCGATTCCCTGGTTGTACGTGACAAGGAGTAGGGTCGCCTGTCCAACCTCGTGGGTTTTCTCCGGGTCCTCTGGTTTCCCCCAACTGCTAAATACCCATACGCGCAAGCGAATTATTGAAATAAAATTGAACCATATGTTAGTCCCTAAATGACTTAGTTTGTGTCGAGTGGACGTTAAACCCCATTTCTGTCTCTCTCTGTATATAGTAATTACTAGAAGTAGGATCGCATTCCTAACCTTGTGGGTTTCTCTGGGTCCTCTTGTTCCTTCCTAGTGCTAAAGATCCCTACTTGAGAAATAACATTGTACCATAATTATGTTGTTCCCACATGGTGCTGCCTTGCCATGGCAAGGGAAAATGTATAGCCATTCGAATTGGATTAAAAACTAAGGTTCCTGTGTACACATTGGCGTGCACATAAAAGAACCCTTTAGAATTTGATACAAGAGTAGACAGTAGCGCTAGCGCCATTGTCTTGTCAAAATTTCCCTCATAGCACACTGCATGGTGTATATGTCCATCTTCATTAGTCCAGTCGGTATTTGGATTGGATTAAAAACCAAGGTTCTATAGAATTTGATATATGAGTAGGCAGCAGCGCTAGCTCCACTATTCTGTCAAAATTTCCCTCATAGCACACTGCATGGTGTATGTCCATTAGACCAGCCTGTGTACGACGTTAAACCCCATTTTATTTCTCTCTTTCTCTCATGATAAACTGTGTATATTTTTATAGTAATATCAGTTGATATTCATTTTATATATAAAACCATTTATTAAACTTATTCTTTAAACTTAACTGAATCAATGATTATCTTTTTATCAATAAATAACTCATGCATTTTAACAGATATATTATAGATATTAAAATATTGATTAACAGATATACTATAGATATTAAAATATTGATTAACAGATATATTATAGATATTCAAATATTGATTAACAGATATATTTTAGATATATTGAAATATTGATTAACAGATATATTATAGTTATTCAAATATTGATTAACAGATATATTATAGATATTCAAATATTGATTAACAGATATACTATAGATATTCAAATATTGATTAACAGATATATTATAGATATTCAAATATTGATTAACAGATATACTATAGATATTCAATTATTGATTAACAGATATATTATAGATATTCAAATATTGATTAACAGATATATTATAGATATTCAAATATTGATTAACAGATATATTATAGATATTCAAATATTGATTAACAGATATATTATAGATATTCAAATATTGATTAACAGATATATTATAGATATTCAAATATTGATTAACAGATATATTATAGATATTCAAATAACTCATGCATTTTAACAGATATACTATAGATATTCAAATATTGGATAGGTAGAATTCATTTGTATCTGGTAAATAGGTAGAGTCCATTTGTATCTGGTAAATAGGTAGAATTCATTTGTATCTGGTAAATATGTAGAGTTCATTTGTATCTGGTAAATAGGTAGAATTCATTTGTATATGGTTAATATGTAGAGTTCATTTGTATCTGGTAAATAGGTAGAATTCATTTGTATCTGGTAAATAGGTAGAGTTCATTTGTATCTGGTAAATAGGTAGAGTTCATTTGTATATGGTTAATAGAAAAAGGAGAGAGAAACATCCACACATCCATCATATACTTGATTATTTTGGGACTAACATATGGTACATCTTTATTTTAATAACGCGCTTGCCCATGAGTGTGAGAGAGATGAAATGGGGTTTAATGTCCACTCGACACAAACTAGGTCATTTAAGGACTAACATATGGTTCAATATTATTTCTATAATTCGCTTGCGCTTATGTACATGTTTCATATAAAGTGCTCTCGTTCTACCACTCAGCCACCTGGTCTGCATCACCTTATATTGGGATTTGAGTTTGCTTCCATTCAGAGTTTGTCATGTTGCTACATAGTTTTAAGATATTGTTTAATTTTATTACAGGAACTTATCTGCTATACAAGATCGGGAAATATGCTGTTATTCTATATCATGTAAAGAAAAGGAAAATATAGGTCAGTATAAATATAAATACGATTGGATGTTTAACGCAAACCGTTGCTATTGGCAACCATGTTTAACCCATAGTAACCGGTTGATTATTACGTATGATGGGGAACTGTCATCCACTGTTAACAAGCAAGAAGACATGCATACTAGTATCAGCACATGTATGTTATAATATTCATCAATCCAAAGGGCTTGGTTAGTTTATTCCCATGTGGCACACTGTATGGCGTATGCCCGTTTTCATTAGCCCAGTTGGAGCAGAACAATAGGACGTTAAACCTCATATCATTTCATTTCGTAGCATGATGTTTGGCCATTTTCATTAAACCACTTGGTTCTGTGAGTATAAGCTGTATTTACAGTACGAATAACCGGCAAAATAAATTTCCCTCATAGCACTGCATGACGTGTCCGTCTTCATTAACCCAGTCGGAGCGGAACAGTAGGAGGTTAAACCCCATTTCGTTTCGTTTTATAGCTTATTTAGTTTGTTTTATTTTGTTTTCAGACATAACGTTACAGTGGCTTATACAGCATTCCAAATCTGGCCACTAGATGTCACTACTGATAATTGTGGGTGTGGCTAATTGAATGATTGACAGTGAGTGACTAGAAATTGACAATTCAATACTTGATGTGTTTCAAACTGTTTGATACAACTTTAAAACAACAAGAATCATCGTTAAACAAGAGTTTACACGAGGGGGTGCGAATACTTCAACCCCTGTTATCATTCTTAGAGTAGGAACACCTCTTTAAGGGGTGGTTCTTACGATGTCATATTTTATCTGGGAGTATAAATACAGGGTTTGGAAAGTTAGCATATTTCTTCATCCAGTATTTGTTGGGATCAAAACTTCAATTTTTTAAGGAATTTTTACTTAAAGGAGTGTTAAGATTATACCTGTGTCTATAATTTATTGGAATTAATCAATCTTTGATCATGCTAATTACTAAATTAATTAATTGGTCTCTAAGTATTTTTTACTTAAAGGAAAGTTACAATTATACCTGTCTCAATAATTAATTGGCATTAATAAGTTTTTGATACTCATTGCTAAATTAATTGGCATCTTAAATATGTTAAATATGCAGATTAATTGAAATATTCCAGCAGTTGTATAAAACACCCTCAATGTGAACCCTTTACTGTAAATATAAACTAATTTAAGAAGTTGGATTTTAAAACCCTTATTTAAGAAAATGTCGTTTTTGGATACAGTAAGTGACCATAATATATTATTATGTTTTTTTTACAATATCCATCCCTGTTGGTCACCAACAATTTTATCATGGTGTCCAATTGAAATTATTTTGTTTTTCCACAAATTAATTGTGTGTCAAGAACTGATGAAATTTAAACCTTTTAGGCAAGCACCTTATTTCCTGTGTAGTTTGATTAATTAAGCTATGATTAGAAACTGGTTTCGTTTAAATGATAAGGGTTTAAATCTTGTGTATTTGATTAGACACTAAAACTGGTTTCGTTTAAATGATAAGGTTCCCAATCTTATGTATTTGATTAGACACTAAAACTGGTTTCGTTTAAATGATAAGGGTTTAAATCTTGTGTATTTGATTAGACACTAAAACTGGTTTCGTTTAAATGATAAGGGTTTAAATCTTGTGTATTTGATTAGACACTAAAACTGGTTTCGTTTAAATGATAAGGGTTTAAATCTTGTGTATTTGATTAGACATTAAGAACAGTTCTGTTTAAATGATCTAGTTCCCAATGTATGTATTTCTACTCCCTGATATAAATATTGATGTGTGTATTTGTTTGTATATTGACCTATTCAATTGTATGTTTGACATAAATAACTTATTCTTACTCCAAGTTTTTTTTTTCTTTTTGTAAAATAGATAGGATTATATAAGTTGAGTAGTAGTATAGTGGTTGTTTCCTTTAGAGCTATTCCATTTTAAAATATCTGGAGGGGTGGGGGTGCGTACAACACTTTTTTTAAATATGAATTACTTTTGCTGAAAGTGTAGAAAAAATGGGTTTTGTGGGTAGAGGGGGGGGGGGGGTCTGTTTGAAAAATGCTCAGTATGTTTTGCATGCATGTTTTGTGAATAAATGTTTATAAACAAAAAATATGCATTTTATGGTTGCCGACCCTCCTGGTAATATTAAATGGAATATTCCTAAGCTGGTTTATATTTTGTGAGAATTCAGCTCCTAACTTTATATTCATTAGGGATGAATCAGGACTCTCATTTCCCTCGTACTGGACAACCAGTAAAACATTGTAAAATAGGGCATTTCAAAGATTTTAACCTTAAAATGCAATTAAATTTAAAACACTTTAAAATGGATTAATAAATGAAACAATGTTCAAAATTGTCATACGCTATGAAAAACTTGCCATGCCAGTCTGAGATACGTGAAGGTGGTCTCAATGGCGATATTTATTTATTAAAAACTGTATTTACTTCAACTCTAACAAAAGTTTGATCTGATCAGATTTTAATAAACAAAGGTCGTCGACTCCCCGACTGAAATATCTTGGGTTTAGGCCTACAAATAAAACCATTATTTCCCAGCCTAGTGAAATATTAGGTACTAGTTTATTAGCACCTTGATATTTTACAAGGTAGACCTAGGAAAACATTATATGTACTAGTTTATTAGCACCTTGACATATTACCTGGCAGGCCTAGAGAAACATTTGACATTTCACCAGGTAGGCCCAGGTAGGGAAACATTAGGTACTAGTTGATAAGCACCTTGACATTTAACCAGGTAGGCCTACAGGTGTAGAGAAATGATAATTTGTAAACCAGGTAAGAAGTCTGACATGATGATGAAATAAATAGTTTAATTGTTATATATAACCACTAATTAAACAACTCGAGCAATAAATGTAGTATTTGTTCATTATATTTTTTTTTATGCAAGCCTTGTCAAGTTGTTATAGATAACTCTTTATCTAATTCTGGACTTTAACTAGATCCTATCTCGTACTCCAATTAATAAACACCTGTCTTATTACACCTGTATGTACCTACAAATACTAGACAACAGGGCCCCCATGCTAATCTTTGTATGTTGTATACTTTACTATACTATTTGCCTTTCATATTATCGACCAGTTACAGTTTTTATTCCTATATGAGTTATTGTGTAGAAGGTAGGGACCCAGGTGCACGACTTTTTCCAGGGGTCTGCAAGGGGGTTATTAAGACTATATATACCGTACTTTAGCTATCGGGAATTTTAGGATATTGACAATCGGCATATATATTTAGATGGCTTGACTTCAATTGTTGGTTATCGCACAATTTTACAATCCCTTGTCGTAGCCACTATATTGTTTCAGAGTGAGTTTTAGATGGATCTAGTTATTGTTCAGAATGGATCTTAAAGCCAAGAGCATCTTTTGTCATTTATATGTTTATATGTAAAATGTTTTTTTTTTGTTTGGACATATATTTAGGCCTATATTTATATATATATATATACATGTATGTGTGTATTATAGGCCCGCATAAAATAAATGTTATTAGCTTTAGTAAATAGTGTTGTTGTGAAGCGCGTTGTAACATAAGGTCTGTCATTGACTCAACAGGCATGGTATCGTTTTCACCGGTTATACGTGACAAGAAGTAGGGTCGTCTGTCTAACCTCGTGGGTTTTCTCCGAGTCCTGCGGTTTCCTCCCACTGCTAAAGACCCCTATGCGCAAGCAAATGAGTGGAATAAAATTGAACCATGTTAGTCCCAAAATGATTTGTTTGTGTCAAATGGATATTACTCTCTCTCTCTCGTCAACTTTAACAATACTGTAGTTTACCAGAGATTCTAAATACCTCAAATGGCTTTCAGTGGTTTTAAGAACAATTATGTGCAGCAGCAATGTAATATGGGTGAATCAGTTTTGCTGGTAGGCTGTCTCTATGGTTACAAACAGCCATGGTGTTCTACTGGTCTCTATGGTTACAGCACAGCCATGATGATTTCCCGATCTCTATGGTTACATCACAGTCATGATGATCTCCTGATCTGTCTGCACCACAGTTCAATTAGACATGAACCTTGGTACAGGGTCAAAGTTCACATATTTTAATAGTGTTTATAATAATTGTATATGATTCTATCAGTAGACAATAGATATTGCTCAATATGTCGTTTACATGTATGGCCTGTTTCATGTAATCCATATATGGTACTGTAAAACATGAAAATATTGCTTTCATGTAATTATTGATCACGATCTGTGGCCATGTTTTAATGAAATAAATGACATAAGACACAGAGGTCAAAGTTCAAATGAAGACCTCTTTCTCAAAATGCTATATATCAATTTAATATTTTAGCTAAAATTTGGAAAATCTGAAGACATCTCACAGTATTCATATCCTGAGGGCCAATGACCAGATCCGCCCCTTTTCCATATAATGAGGACTAGAATATAGCTATTTAAACCTTAAAAATACTGCAGGTTGTCAAAACCACTCAGGTAGCTGGCCTTTTCTGGTTTTCAAAAATATAGAAATCCACCTGTCTAACTCACAAAATTTTTACAAACCATTATATACTATTCAAAAAAAGTAGGGGATATTTGATTTTGGGGGCATAATACTAAAATATGCAAATGACTACGAAAAAAGTCACTATAGAACCTAACAGAAGAAACATTTCCAGTTACATGTGACGCCCAAACGCACCAATAGCTACCGCATGGAATGCAGGTGATGCTTGGGATCATCATGGGGGTCCAACCCAAGATTTGCACGACTCTGACTTTGAATGTTACAGTCATTGTGGCATTGAATTCCAGGGTGGAAACATCAGTTTAATTGTTTTAGTGACCAGAAAACAAATTTTGATATGCGTCGGCTTACCCAAAATGAAAGGTTACGTGCCCTTGGCATGCTACAGATCGGCACAACACAGGCGGTTGTGGCGCGGACGATGAATGTTTCTCAGTCTGTCATAAGCAGGCTATGGTCCAGATACCGTGATACACAATCTGTACAGGACAGACCACGCTCAGGTCGACCAAGGGCGACAACTCAAGCCCAGGATCGATTTATCCGTACCTTGGCCTTGAGAAATCGTGTCATCACAGCAAATCAGATCAGCGCCCGTCTTCAAACAGACACTGGTGTGAGAGTGAGTGGCCAGACGATTCGGAATCGACTGCATAGGGGTCACCTTCGCGCCCGACGTCCTCGCGTGATCCCTTGTTTGAGAGATCATCACATTCAGGCAAGACGTCGTTGGTGTAGGGATCGTCAACACTGGGATAATCGACGCTGGAGCAATTTGATGTTTTCAGATGAGTCAAGGTTCACTGTTGATTTTTTGGACAGACGTAGGAGGGTGTGGCGTCGTCGAAACGAGCGCTTCCAAGACGTTAACGTCATCAGACATGATCGATTTGGGGTTGGTTCTGTTATGGTGTGGGGAGGCATCACTGTTGCTGGAAGAACGGCTTTACATGTTGTTGCAGGGCGTGTTACAGGCCAGTACTACCGGGACAACATCTTGGCAGTCCATGTTGTGCCGTTCGCACGACGTCATGGCCGCCGTTTCATCTTCCAGGATGACAACGCAAGATGTCACAGGGCCAGGATCGTTACAGGTTACCTCCAACAACAGAACATCACCACATTACCTTGGCCAGCACTGAGTCCCGACCTCTCCCCCATCGAGCATGTCTGGGACATGCTTGGACAGAGGTTACGTCAACGTCAACAACGTCCTGCCAATGTCCAAGAACTTGCTGCTGCGTTACAACAGGAATGGGACAATCTGGACCAAAATGACCTTAGACGTCTCATTAGGAGTATGCCACGTCGGATCAATACTTGTTTGGCAAACAGAGGAGGATTTACCCGTTACTGACTTGGTTGTGATGCTGTGGTAACTTTGCTGTTTGACCCCGGGTATCATTTTACCCTTATAATGGTCAGTCTGTGCCTTACTTAGTCTAACGATCATTTGGAATAAATCGATGAATGTGAACTTCATTTCATTTTGTCATTTGTTTCTTCGTCAGTTTCATTAGGTGACTTTAATAACACTTAAAAATCAAATATACCCTACTTTTTTTGAATAGTATATAAAAAGTTCATTACATTTTAAATAGCTGACGTTTTTTTTATAAGCTTTCGGTGTTAATGTGTAGCGTTTAGCTAATTACATATTCCACAAGATAATAAGCAAATTAACTCACTAACTCTAACAATCTTTGTGGTTATTTTTGACTATTCATTAACTAGCTCAACACTGTCATATTATTTTCTAATTAAGTTGATTAATTAATTGATTCAGCTAGCTCAGTTTACATGTTGATGTGTGTAATTATATTGAGTCGTTAGAAGAATGAATTTCAATTGTGTAAATATTTAATAGTTATAATGATACTATGTATTAATTATAGATGTTATCGTGTATCATACCGTGAATTATTATATACATACATTTCTAGCTAACATCCAACACTTCCCCTGTTGATCGATATGTCCGCTAATTGGGATAAAATATAACTCGGGAGGGTACTCGTTTTCAAATTAATACTCAGATGGCAATGACACTAAGGTCCAAGTGTTATAAGGGGATTGGTTGCCAGCCAGGAAGGTTTATAGTAAAATCATGTCAAATCATCAAAGAACTAGAAACCAACAGATCTTCTGACTATATGTAAATTTATGGATTCCAAATTACCAATAGAGTGGCCTGAATTCATTTGGCTCTGCTGATATAATTAAGACCTGTTGATGCCTACACATAAACCTTTGTTGGAATTTGAAATAACAGTGAGACATTGTGTCGCTGTTCGGGCAGAATGTCTCTTATACGGTAGCCCACACTGCATGACATAAACTCATCTTCAATAGCCCAGTCAGTGTAGAAAAGTAGCACGTTAAACCCCATTTCATGAATACGTGAATAAAATGAGGTTTAACGTCCTACCGGGATTATGAAGACAAGTTAGTGATGTATGTAATATAGTAAACATTGTATAGTTTATGATGGTGTATTGTCGATTGATTGATTGATTGATTGATCTGTGTTTATATGTTTTATATAGATTGTGTTAGCTTCAGTATATACCCCCCCCCCTCCTCCAACAATCGTCAACCCACCACCAGCAATGTTTGTATCGTTCTTGTCTATACCATATTGGTTATTAAATATTCATTCAACTTATTCTACCAAATTTTGTTTCGTTTTGTTTTTAATTTTGAATTTGAATCCCTATTCGTGTCGAGATTAGAACTCAGGATTATAGTTTTCACGGGACGCGTTTGAGAGGGTCAGAATAGTGTTGTCTGGTCGTTTGGATGGGGCGAGAATCCAGGTCTACCCATTGATGTGCTTTGGATGGGACGAGAATCAAAGTTTACGCCTACCCATTGGTGTGCATATAAAAATATATCCACGCCAATGTCCCCAATGACCGTATATATAGTATATGGACCAGCAACTGAACATGACGCCATGGCCGCCATCTTTAAATTGTGACATCATATACAAAATCGATGCGCAGTTGCCCAAGGAACAAGCATGTCATGTTTAATTCTGATCGTACTTTGATTGGCGGTTCCTTGGGCTTTTTTCGCAGAGGATCGCCCGAGGAAGAAGAGGAGAAGCGCTTGGGATCCAGTTCCTTGTGCCCAATTCACCTGACTAGCACACCACACTAACCAACGATCGCGCCCTGCCCTCAAGCACACAACACCATACGTAATTGTAGACATGCGTACTGTCAATGGGATGTTTTATGTTGAAATGGTCCCCAAAGAGGGTTTGGTCGTAAGTTAAAAGTGAACAAACTGACAGTAATGCCTCTCTTACGAGAAAGAGAGAGAGGGAAATGGGGTTTAACGACCACTCGACACAAACTAGGTCATTTCGGGACTGACATATGGTTTAATTTTATTTCAATAATTCGCTTGCGCGTAGGGGTCTTTAGCAGTGGGAGGAAACCGGAGGACCCGGAGAAAACCCACGAGGTTGGACAGGCGACCCTACTCCTTGTCACGTACAACCAGGGATTCGAAACCACGCCAGTTGACTCAATGACAGACTTTATGATACAGCGAGCGCACGCTAACCATTCAGCCATCCAGCCCCCCACCCTCTCTTACGAAGTATTACGAACTAAACGCGTTAGAGCCCCCTCCTCCCAATTTGAATATTTCTTTAAGCCATTTACTTAGCGTCATCTACACTATTTCTTAAAGCTTTTATATAAGAATGATAAATAGTCACGAAATACAAGAATATAATAATATTTATATCGTAACACAATAATTTTACATAAAACAGTAGCTAAAATAAATTATTATTTAGTAATGGTAACATATGTAAACATCAAATATGTGCGTATATAAAATATAAAATATGTGCCTATATAAATTAAATCGAAAATTTATTATCAGTTTTAAAATGAAGCATAGAATTTGTGAATTTATTGGCACTGGCGGAACGTTATGTTACAGGCTTTGAAAGAGTTTAAGTACGATTTAAAAACGACCTGGGGCGTGGGCCGATTATTTGGAATGTAACTAATGATTTGGTCCTTGATACATTAAACATACAATGTTTATACTAAATTTACTTGACCTGTTATGACACATAAATATACAATTAACTTAATACTGATTTATCAATATATTATATAAAATGTTATAAAATCTCAAAAAGAACATTCAACATGTCCTTTATTATATAACAAAGTATATTTTTATATATCAAGATTCAATGAGCTAGTATTTGGCTGGATCCAATTGAGGTTCTTTCTTTTCTCTGTTGGGAATAAAGTAATAATGTCCCAGAATGTATAAAGGGACAAGGGGCATAATGTAATTGAGGATTTGGGGGGTATCATCACCATTGGGAAATATCACAAGGTACAGCTAGGACCATGGCCGCAGATCCCGGGGGGATGGGGACGCCCCCTGGATTTTTACTGGGGGGGGGGGGGGGATTTCATATGCCTCGTCCCCCCCCCCCCGAAAAATGCATCGATAAAATTTCAAGTCTTATTTTCAGCCCGGGAAATGTAGCCTATATTTCCGAACATGCCGATGTACAATGCATTTTGAGGCATCCTAATTTTAAAAAATCTTCCGGGGGAGGCACCAAGACCTCCGCTAAATGCGCACGTGGCGTATGCCTTCGCCCGCCGTACTCTGTCAGCGTCTCCCAAAACTTGAGTCCTATTTTCAGGCTGAGGATATTTCCCCTTGGTTCAAAAATGCCCGGTCTTTGATGTAACCCAGATCTGAGAATGATCACTTCATCACCTCAGCAGCTTATGCTCAGAGCTGGCAACTTGAGAAATTATTCATCACATTTTCATCCCGATTTATGTTTGAACTCCTCTATAATTTCATAAAATATGCGGCCATGTCTAGGATATCTGTACCAAAACCTGCAGCATATAAATCAGTAAAGGAGATAACACCATAATCATCATCGTTCTGTTTATCACCATTAGGAAATATCCAGGTTTTTAGGAAATCTTGTCTTAGTTCATGATCCGTATTGTGAGTAAAATACTGGTAGTTATATTGACTATAATCATCATCTCTATCTTTATCTATATCATAACCATCATAATCATCATCATCATCAAAATCATTACAACCATCATCAATATTATCTATGTTGTAATCTTTAGGACGAAGAATATCTTTTAGCAGAAGACAATCCTTTAATTCACGAGGTAATTCTAGATCCTTAACCTTCTCCTTTATTCCCAATCCAAGATTCTGTCTGATGAATCTTCTACACAGGGACTTGAGAGATATATTACTACAGAAACTAATGAATTTTTCCCTGCCTTGTGAATGGCTAGTGTGATCTTCCTCATCAAAATTCAAAGTTGTCATAATTTCTTCCCCTTGGGCACCACTAAGATATAACAGTTTTCTCAGATTATCTCTATCTGAACCACTTAGTTCAGTAAGATCAATTTGATTATAGCTACTTTCAAATGAAGACGTAATGAGAGTCTGAACACAACAGTTTTCAGCAACCAAATATCTAATAAAACGAACAACGCGGCATGGTTCCCAGAAGAAAGGAAAACACAGGGTTGTTTGAATAATCGTGTTACCATCGATACAGGGTAAATTGAGAAGACCAGTATTACCATTAGATAGAAGTAATTTAAAACAAGTCAAATCAAACACACTCTGATAAATATTTAGATATTGTAGAGCAGATCTTCCTGAATAGTCTAACATGGTAACTATGGCACCAGCTTGAAGTAGTTTCCTTGTAAGAACTCTGTCGTTTTTCATTGCTGCCATCATTAAACTAGTTCTACCCCCATTATCTGGAATATTTACATCTATTCCATCAACACCAAGTAAAATATCAATACAAGTCATGTATTTTGGATATATCTGTCTACAATAATTCTTAACAACATCATTTACCTGTCTCTTGTTCAAACCATCTTTAAACATAGTAAATCCAATGATACACAGATGTAGAGCCGTATGACCCTGGTTATTTTGTGTATTGATCTCTAGTCTAGGATGATGTGTCAACAGTTTTAAATATTTACTGTTTAATAAAAAGGCAGCTTTCATAGTAGGTGTGTTGGTTTTAGAACAGGGATGGTTGATAATGATATCTATCTCATTATTTAACAACCAGTTAAACTTGCTTACAGAATAATCATAGTTAACACCAGCTAAAAGATGAAGCATATTTTCTCCTTCAGCTGTAACACCATTAACAATCAACTTACGCCCGATGTAATAACTGAACACCAACAACCTATTACATTTTAAAATATCATGGAATAACTTAACTCCGTTGTTACCTGACATCAGATCTGAACCTGAATCTACTAAAAGTTTAAAGACGGATGTTGAATTGATCATGTGATATTGAACACAATAACTAATTGCTGTATTACCATTAGTATCAGTTAAACTTAGATCAGAATGTGGAAATAACAGTTTTAATATACTGATATCAGTGTGGACTTGTATATGGTACATTAAAGCCGTTCTTCCCAGTTTGTTTTGATGGTTCACATTACAACCAGCATCTAATAACATGTTAATGAATTTACATTTTAATGGAACATAGAGGTCATATCCTGTCTTTAATTTCAATATTATTCTGCGCACCTTACTCAGATTAATACCAACATAGAACAACGGGGTATTACCTTCACAGTCAGGTTGGTTTATATCTAATTCTGTGTTTATTAAAGTATTAACGAGTTGTATATATTTCTCTTCAAATTTAACATAGAAATACCAACGACCTAAAACATAGTGAAGAATGTTGCGTTTAAATCTATCAACATAATGTACATCTACTCCGTGTTTCAACAAATATATTACAACTTCATACAACCCTTGTTCAGCAGCTATAAATATAGGTGTATGTTTATCATCATTCTCCTGGTTGACATCTACACCAAGATCAACTAATTTTATTACACATTGTAATACCAAATCACGTCTATCTGGTTGTTCGTGATAATTATAGCTAGCTAAAAGTTGATGTATCAGGTTGTCTTTATACCTATCAACATAATGTACATCTACTCCATGTTGTAACATATATATCACAACTTCATACAACCCTTCTCTAGCAGCTAGAAATATAGGTGTATGTTTCTTATCATTCACATGGTTGACATCTACACAAAGATCAACTAATTTAACTAGACATTGTATTAACAAATCACGTCTATCTGGTTTCTCATATCTTTCATAGTTAGAAACAAGTATGTGCAACAAGCTATTCTGACAACCATCATCATGATTTACAACATAATGTACATCAACAACCCCGTGTTCTAACAGACAAACCATAACTTTATAAAACCCACTATAAGCAGCTATAGATAAAGCTTCCATCTTATCTTGTAATGATAATCTTTCTATGGCTTCCTGTATATTTCCATCCTTTTCAGCTTGTTGTAGTTCATTGCAGATCCTAAAATATATTGTGTCAGCTTGCTGTTGTTCAATCTTTATCCTAAAATATATTAAAGATGTTGTTTTAGTTTTAAAGATGATATAAATACAATAACAATGTAAAAATTCAACGTATTCTGTCTTATTAATCAAGAATTAATCAATACATCTTTATTATGTAATTGTCTAAATATACATGAATTATTTATACCGTTTAGTTAGAGTGTTAGTAGAATCTGTCTACCAGAGATGATTTAAACACTATACCTTACCCCAGTTAACCCTGATGTTCACCGTATAGACAATAGGTTAACTATACCTTACCCTAGTTAACCCTGATGTTTACCGTATAGACAATAGGTTAACTATACCTTACCCTAGTTAACCCTGATGTTCACCGTATAGACAATAGGTTAACTATACCTTACCCTAGTTAACCCTGATGTTCACCGTATAGACAATAGGTTAACTATACCTTACCCTAGTTAACCCTGATGTTCACCGTATAGACAATAGGCTAGTGTTAAGATATACATAATATACTAACATTTCAAACAGATCCATCTTATTTTTCTGTTGGTTAATATCGAGTGGCCGTTATTATGTCAACTTCACTAAAATACACAAATAAATATAGACTATTAGTTATGTACATATATATAACATACTTGTGTACAGATTCTACAGTATACCAACTAAACATGGGATCAAAAACAAACCATCAACTTTCACTCTCCTATCAACCATCTTGTTTAACTGTTGTCTGGATGAAATATGTTGAATTGTTGGTCCATGTCTATATATTATACATCCAGTCATTTATAATCTCAGAAGCCACCGACATGTTGCATTTTCAGGCCCGTAGCTAGCGGGGGGGGGGGGGTGTGTGTGGGGGGGGGGGGGTGTGCAAGGGGGCAGCTGTCCCTCCCCTTCTCCATTGGAAAAAATCGGTGCCTCCAACGTGCCCATAAAGACGAGTGACTTGGTTTTATGGGCGCCTCGCCAAACACGTTACATATGAATGGTTAGCGCGTGCGCGTTGTATCATAATGTTTGTCATTGAGTCCACTGGTGTGGTTTTGATTTCCCGGTTATACGTGACAAGGTGTAGGATAGCTTGTCCAACCCCGCGGGTTTCCTCCGTTTTCCTCCCACTGCTAAAGACCCCTACACGCAAGCGAATTATTGAAATAAAATAAACCATGTGTTAGTTCCGAAATGACCTAGGAGCATTTTTATTTCACAAAATCGACAGATACATATAAACATAACCCGATTTTTTGTCTTATTATATATATTTAGCATTAATATATCTTAAATTTTTATAGGCTTTTATTCGCACTAGGAATATGTTTGCTAACTTTATTTCGTATCCGGGTGCTGAAATACGGGTGAAAGATTCCGCTGGGTACATTCTACAAGCCTTGATTACAGGGTCAGATCTAAATATTAAGGCCACCTGCAGATTTCGTCAAGGTCACAAGATTTAAAAAGGTGTAGTAAAATTGTTCAGTCTTGGGCTAAAAATCATGTGCACTCTCTTATTATTTTTCCCTTCTTATTATTTTTTCCCTTCTTATTATTTTTCCCTTCTTATTATTTTTTCCCTTCTTATTATTTTTCCCCTTCTTATTATTTTTCCCCTTGCTAAAGTTATTACTTTACCAGGTTGCACATGTATGTGTTGTGACATATTATTATTTTAACCCTTGCTATAGCCTATAAGTTATTACTTTAGATGAGGTGAATATTTATTTAGAATCTAGTGTTGAAGAGTTGTGTTGCTACCTATTGTGTAATTACTGTGTTATTGAGGTGGTGTAACATCTAGTGTCTAGTGGTGTTGAAGAGTTGTGTTGCTGCCTATTGTATTTATATAATTACTGTGTTATTGAGGTGGAGTAACATCTAGTGGTGTTTGGTTATATCTACTTATTATGTGATTAACTTTGCTGGACTGAAGAAAGAGACACCCCATAACCTATTATTGGTCTTCTTTGGCCGTCACAGGTCAATACTGAGTATTTATTTAGAATCTAGTGTTGAAGAGTTGTGTTGCTACCTATTGTGTAATTACTGTGTTATTGAGTAACATCTAGTGTCTAGTGGTGATGAAGGGTTGTGTTGCTGGCTATTGTGTAATTGATGTGTTATTGAGGTGGTGTTGGGTTATATCTACTTATTATGTGATTAACTTTGCTGGACTGAAGAAAGAGACACCCCATAACCTATTATTGACCTTCTTTGGTCATTACACGTGGATACTGGGTATCAGAAAGTGTTGTTATTTTCATACTAGATACAAATCTATATTGTACATCCAGTCATTTATAATCTCAGAAGCCTCCAACATGTTGCATTTTCAGGCCCGTAGCTAGGCGCGGGGGCAGCTGGGCGCCCCATAAAGCCGAGTAACATTGGTTGGGGTGCCCACGACGAGATTGGTGGGGCGCCCAACCAATGTCACTTTGTTTCATGGGCGTCTCGCCAAACATGTGATTATATATGAATAGTTAGCGCGTGCGCGTTGTATCATAATGTCCGTCATGGAGTCAACTGGGGTGGTTTAGATTCCCCTATTGTACGTGACCTAGTTTGTGAAGAGTGGAGGTTAAACCGCATCTCTCTCTCTCTCTCTCATACATAATGACATGATCTGTGGGGTGCCTTATATTGATTGTCGGGCCGCACATAATGCATAATGCCGAGTATTATTGGTTATTATTGGATAAGGCAACCTTCCGGGATGAGACACCACACCAATCATGCTGTTTTGGGCGCCCCATTGATTTAGTCTTGGGCGCCCAAAACAGCATGATTGGTGGGGTGTCTCATTCCGGAGGGGCGCCTATAATTAGCCACGATCGCAAATTCATCCTCAAAATTGAAATTTTCCGTCATTTTCATAGTTCCTCTCCTCAAATCCTATTTTCCAAAATTTTCTGGGGGATCAGATTTAGAAATTGTTCTACTATTTATTTAGGTTATATTTTCCCTAGTTGTCATCCGCTAGTGTATGTGGCAGGATATGCTTCCTATTTGTATAACATCTGATAACACTTCTATATTGAGCTCATATATAGTAGGGCTATGAATGCAAAATTTATTTATTAATGGATTTATTTACAAATAAGCCTATTTGATAAAGCTACATTTAAATAGCATAAAACTGTTTACAGATTGGAGATATCTTTATTAGAAGCCAAGTCTCAAGCAATTTAAAATAGACTGAAAGGTCACAGGGGTCAATGGCACAAAATTCAGGAATTAACAATGGATCAGAAGCACATAATAATGCATAATACCTGGACAAAATATCCGATCTTGCTGAAAATTGGCACAACGCATGCCCAATCGATACTCTAAAGTATGACGGAAAAAAAAACATAGGTCGACCACGATGTCGGCCATTTTGAATAAATTAAGAACAAAAAATGCGTAATATTGTTGAAATCGTAACTATTTATATTCAAATTCCTGTTACATTTACAGAATAATTAACAATTAATACAACATCTAACCAAATAAGAATCATGGTGATGCAAATATGCAAATTAGGTGATGTCAGCCATATTTGAATCCAAGATGGCCACCATTATATAATCTAGTATGGAGTTTATAAGTGTCTATATATGTAAAAAAAATAAGTGGTTTATTCATTAAAAAATCTTAAATCAAACCTTACTAAAAAAAAATTATTGGTCGATATTGGCCATTTTGAAATTCAAGATGGCTGCCACAATTCCAAGATGGCTGCCACCAGCGTCCACAAACTATTTTATCGCAAACCAAAAAAACAAAAAACTGAACAAATGTCATCATCCAACATATCAAACTGAAGCAAATCTAAACAGCAATTCAAAAATAACACTTTTTCACTTCTTAAACCATTACAGTAATAACAGACAAGACAAATATAACTTAGAATTTAAAAAAAAATCAAAAAGTATCACGTTTAAATGTATTTTCTGTGATAAAAAAGTCATGCAATAATGTATTAGCATTTAGGAATCAAAGGGAGGTAATAGGACAGAGTTCACTCCCCTTAGACCACAAATATCATTAATCTGAGAAAATATCTGTAAGATTCTGAATATTTTATACAAAACTGATCATCTTTGGTGGATGCTTAGTGAACATGCTAAGTAACATTATAATCATTTAAATTCCATTTTTTGTCTGTCAAATTAAAATATTTACACTATCCGTCATTCTATTTACTGCATTTTAGTAATGATAGTGACCCTTGTGACATTAAGGATAAAATCAACAGATTTTACAAATCCACTAGCAAACTAATTTTACATATAATTATAAAGTGCAATATTTATATAAAATTGTGCTGTATAAATAGTACTGAATCAAAGCATCACACTAATGATTATTTTACTGATTTGTTCACTTAAGTAATTGCAATATATCCTTTTAGTTTTACTGTTTATTTTGGTGGGGTTTTTACGGCCACAAAATGTTGTTTTACGTTGTAGGTTTTTGTAGCCTTATTCTCAACCCTCCTTCTTTCACAGCTCGTGCTTGCATGGGACCGGCCTCGGCAGATTTAAACAGGACAACAGTTGCAAAGACAACACACACAAGAAACCTATTACAATAACACACGATATAAGGAACAATTATGAAGATAAACACACACGACGATTGCTATGATAGTATTTTTTCATTCCTTTGTCATTAAAATGGATTTTGTCCATCAAAAGGATCATCAGGCAGGATGCAGAATATTTCTGAAAAAAAGACATGAAACAATCATACAAAAGACGGTTAATTGCTTTTCTCTGAGATTCACAAACACTTAAGGTAAGACTGGGAGATTTTGAGAAATTTTCCCGCTCAACAATACTCCCCACATAGGCCTACATGTATGCAGATACATAATAGGCCTACTAAAATATTACTCAGTGTAAGTCTGCTGCTAACGTCTTTACGCGTACTATAAATAGGTAGCCTACCTTTTTAAGTAGGCCAACCTGTAAGTAAATTTACCAGCGTCAACAATTAAACGAGAAAACTGACAGTGACAAGATCAAGACTTCTATAGTCTATAGCTAAAAAAAAAAAAAAAAAAAAAAAAAAAAAAAAATTTTAACATGTCTTTTAATTGTATTGATCAAAATCAAAAGACAGTAGATGATTTAGTCTTCTGTCGTACTGATTTTTTATTTTATATTTTGATTCAAATTTGAATGAAAATTTGAATGTCGTCTAATTAAAATTAATTTAAATTAGACTTTAAAACATTAAAATTTTCATTCAATCAATACTGCTATTTTAAGAAGACCTACCTATAAGTAAACTTACCAGCATCAACTGACAGTGACAGGATCAAGACTTCTATAGCTAAAAAAAAAAAAAAAAAAAAAATATTGAAACATTGCATTGATCAAAATCAAACTAGCTACTAAGATAGGCATACATTACAAAACAATGACAACTGCTGATTGAAGCAGAAGACTGTACCATCCAGACGTTTTTATTTCTGTTTTACTGTAGACAGACATACACGTCATAAACTGGATGAATAGGACTACATCAACTTCTAACGGCTCCTGCATTTCGAATGAGACATGCTGGTTTACCGTTTGTCACCAACAGCCATTGCAAAAACGCAATAGGAACCGTTTTATAAAGTGGAGAAATGAATTTCCAACATCGTTTTGCGATTAAGTTAGATTAAGACGAATTCTACATTTGAAAACTTACATAATGCTCCACAATCTTCTTCTGTGGATACGTCCTTGAAAATCTCGCGAAGATACGTAGCGCGGCCACGCCCCCTGGATTTTGTCTCGAGAATTGAGGACTACCCCTCACTCACATATTAGCTTCGTAGCTATTTATCTATTAATATTTTAGAATAATTTTTTTGGCAGTTTGTAGAAAACATATTCGTCTTCACAAATCCGCGTGCGCGTGTAAAAATTTTCTTTTCTAAATCGGGCGCAAACGGTATAAATAATTTTAGGATTTCCTCTTTTTGATTGGACAGGAAATTTGGTTCTGCGATGCATTATGACGGGCGGATGCGGTCACAATGGGCCATTTATATGACTTGCTAATTCCATTTATATGACTTACTAATTCCATTTATATGACTTACTAATTCCATTTATAAAGCTTTATAATTAATTACTTACTTAGGCACGTGCGAACGCTGAAACCCCTCGAAGCGTGTGACTGAATTGAATATTATTTTCATAGCTTGATAAATGATTTATAAAGTCTTGTAAATAATATGGTAGCTATATAAATCTATTTTTTAAGTCTTATAAATGAATTATCTAACGAATATGACGGGCGGATGCGGTCACAATGGGCCATTTATATGACTTACTAATTCCATTTATATGACTTACTAATTCCATTTATAAAGCTTTATAATTAATTACTTACTTAGGCACGTGTGGACGCTGAAACCCATCGAAATGGGTGACTGAATTGAATATTATTTTCATAGTTTGATAAATAATTATGAAACTACGTAATTATTTATCAAGTCTTATAAATCCATTTATATAACTTAGAAAATAATCGGCAATCTCCGTACTCCTTCGTTGAGTCGGCCAATTGGCCAATCAAATCCCTCGTTACATATAGCGGTGTTTTACCTTTCATGGCGGCTATTGTAAACATAAAATGACGAGAATAAGTTTTATGCATGTTTTAGTTATCCTAGCGTCAATTTACTTTGCTAAGGTCACCGCTCCCCCTCCACTATGACGGGCGGATGCGGTCACAATGGGCCATTTATATGACTTACTAATTCCATTTATATGACTTACTAATTCCATTTATATGACTTACTAATTCCATTTATAAAGCTTTATAATTAATTACTTACTTAGGCACGTGTGGACGCTGAAACCCATCGAAATGGGTGACTGAATTGAATATTATTTTCATAGTTTGATAAATAATTATGAAACTACGTAATTATTTATCAAGTCTTATAAATCCATTTATATAACTTAGAAAATAATCGGCAATCTCCGTACTCCTTCGTTGAGTCGGCCAATTGGCCAATCAAATCCCTCGTTACATATCATATAGCGGTGTTTTACCTTTCATGGCGGCTATTGTAAACATAAAATGACGAGAATAAGTTTTATGCATGTTTTAGTTATCCTAGCGTCAATTTACTTTGCTAAGGTCACCGCTCCCCCTCCACTATGACGGGCGGATGCGGTCACAATGGGCCATTTATATGACTTACTAATTCCATTTATATGACTTACTAATTCCATTTATATGACTTACTAATTCCATTTATAAAGCTTTATAATTAATTACTTACTTAGGCACGTGTGGACGCTGAAACCCATCGAAATGGGTGACTGAATTGAATATTATTTTCATAGTTTGATAAATAATTATGAAACTACGTAATTATTTATCAATTATAAATCCATTTATATAACTTAGAAAATAATCGGCAATCTCCGTACTCCTTCGTTGAGTCGGCCAATTGGCCAATCAAATCCCTCGTTACATATAGCGGTGTTTTACCTTTCATGGCGGCTATTGTAAACATAAAATGACGAGAATAAGTTTTATGCATGTTTTAGTTATCCTAGCGTCAATTTACTTTGCTAAGGTCACCGCTCCCCCTCCACCCACCGGGGTAGTTCTTTTCACAATTTCTTGCGAGTTTGCCGAAATATCGTGTCGGATGTTGTGCGGCACGCGTGGGCCCAAGCCCTTGAAGACAACATACCCTCATCCTGACCATGGTCATCTTCTGCAGGAAGATTAGTGCGTCCGAATTCCATTAAAGGAAAAAATGTACGAATAAAATGATGTAGGCCCTATGACACCGACGCACACAACTCGAAAACCGCAGACGGGAGTGGGAGGGGATTGCCATTCAGTAAGACGACCTGTGATTGGCTGGCCGAAGCATCCTCGGGAATTTCCGGGCAGATGTACGAACTTTCCCGAATATTTAGTTCGTTAGATAATTCATTTATAAGACTTAGAAAATAGATTTATATAGCTACCATATTATTTACAAGACTTTATAAATCATTTATCAAGCTATGAAAATAATATTCAATTCAGTCACACGCTTCGAGGGGTTTCAGCGTTCGAACGTGCCTAAGTAAGTAATTAATTATAAAGCTTTATAAATGGAATTAGTAAGTCATATAAATGGAATTAGTAAGTCATATAAATGGCCCATTGTGACCGCATCCGCCCGTCATATTCAACGGACGATTTCTCGGCAGGTAATTAGCGTACCAAAATATAAATAACACCATTGAAAGGCTAATTCAATTCTGATTCATACCATATAAATCATTATAATTTTAAGTAGAGACATCTGCTTACAAATTAGTGTTTTGTAATACGTCTCCGGATTTTTGACGCCATCGAGGAAAATTATAGCCCTATATAATATATATATAGCTGATAAATTTGTTTGTGTAATATATGATTCAATATCATTATGATTTGACTAATCAAGTTCTAGAGCATGTGGTAAACATACTGCAGTATATCGATATACCTATATATTCTGTTTGACGTCTCTAGAAACTTTTACTATAACAACTCACCTATGTACTTGAACAATCTTTTAGTTGTCTCTTGATGTCTTCCCCTTTCTTAATATGGCGATTGACTCATTTCTTCCTGCTTTCAGTTCATGCAAGGGAGATAAGTCTTTTTTTTTAATGAAAAGTCCTACGGATGCAGACCACTGTTAATTCTGGTCTCTTTGCCCACCTCCAACTTTTCCCCAAATTTTCGTTGGGCTGAATGCTTTTCACTACAGACAGAGGAACAAATGGTCATGTCTTTGCACTAAAATTTATATGAGGTTGACCACCAAAATTTTGAGATACACAAACTTGAAGAAACATACTAAAAACATGTAACTAGTTGCCCTACATATCGCCGTTGCCAACCTGATAACCCCGTTATCCTTCCGCCTCAAAATCATGAATATTTACCAAAACCCGGCAGAAAATGTTAATTCAAACCCTCTTCGTCCATTCTAGACCAAAAAATCAACAAAAATGGGCATGCAAAAGGGGAAAAAAGAGAGAGAAAGAGAGAGAATTGCTATAAATAGACGAACTACAATGGGCTAAGACTAGTAATTATTTCCCCTTATTTCATGATGGTAGTGCGAGTTATAAATAGACAATTTTTCCCCTTAATTTTTTTCTCCCCTCTTCCTGCATTTTTGGGTTGACTTTTTGGTCTAGAATTGGAGAAAAGGGATCAAATTTGCAATTTCATAGCAGTTTTGGGTAATACTGATGATATTACAGCGGAGGGATAGGGGCCGTGTAAAGTGTCTTTCTGCAGAGCAATCATTGTGTCGGAAGTGAGATTTTCACCCCAGTCAACTTCAAATCCCCGTAGCAAAAATTCTAAACTGTCAACCCCCTACAAATTTATGATGAGAATATTGCCAAATGTGGTCCCCATTTTGCCTATAAAGATTGGAACCAACGGAATGTTGAGCAAAAAGCTACAGTCTGTGATGTTACAGCCATTGTCATTGAAGTCAATGGGCAAACAATTACTAATCTGAGACCAAAAGCCCTATGGAGGCAGACGACAGCTGATTGGATAAGTAGATAAGGACAAACCAATCATAATCTACTGAAATTGTAGAAAAATTGAGTTTTGTGGGTAATGTAATGGGGGGGGGGGGGTCTGTTTATAAAATGCTCAGTATGTTTTGCATGCATCTTTTATGAATAAATTTGTACTAACAAATAATATGCATACTATGGTATTATGAGATATGTGAAAATCCTGTGCTTGTCGGGTTAGGGTAACCGGTTCATTATCCGAGTAATTAGCACATTCAACGGTAATTTTGATAATTCGGCAAAAAAAACCCAAAACAATACAAGCTTGCTAGTTATTCATAACAGGTCCAGTAAGCTTCCTTTGTAATAATAAACCACGTGGCGAAGGAAGACATCTCGCTCGGCATGGATTGTGAATCTCGGCCTTCGCCCCCCCCCCCCGTCTTCGTCTCTCGATCCGTACGAATTCTAGGTAGATATTAAAATAATAATTGTATAATACATTTTATGGTTTCACTGACCCGTTGTTAGTTAAATTTAAATATTCATTGAATAATCCCTGGTTTAACACCGGATATCCTGAGAAACAGATATTAATAATATATACTGAGCGCCATGGAAAACGCATTTTATTACTAGGTGGTTTTGTATGTATAATATTATGCAATACTATGAACAATTGTTTCACACAATGCTCCCAAACAGGGTCCAAATCCTTGATATACCATATTTTTACACTATTCGCGTACAAACGTCAGCTTTTTTGTCCGGCAATTTTGTTCCGATTACCACGAAATTCGAACTCAACCTACCCTAGGGTGTAATGGTGATATAATAATATGTTTTTTTTAAAATCGGATAAAAATTATGACCTCTATAGGGTCCACAATCTAAAAACGCGATTTTTCGTTCGTACAATCAGGGGCCATAGTTCAGGAAGTTACGGTCTGATATGCGCGACTATCACTCATTGAGAGTGAGCATGTCAATCCAGGTGTGTGCTGTGAATACACAGGTGAGGTGAGGAGTGAAGCATGATGAGCAGTGTGTGTATAGGAGTGAAGGTGGACTAAAGTTGATACTGATGATTGAATAAAGAATATTATAAATCTATTTAACAGGGTGGAGCTTGGGGTTGTGCATCAACATCAATAGTTGCCGTCCTTAAAGTATAAGGAATAAGTATACCAAGATAATCCATTCAGAATTGTGACTTTCAGGCGCTAATGGCAAAAAAAGTGGGCGTGGCTCTGCCCCTGGAGCATTCACCCAAATCAATAGTTGATGCCCTTAGGCTATAAGGAATACATATGCCAAGTACCAAGCTGATTCATTCAGAATTGCGGCCTGTGAACGCCAAACACAAAAAATTGGGCGTGGCTCTGCCCCTGGGGGTCGGGACATGCAGTTGTCGCCCTTAGGCTATAAGGAATACATATTCCAAGTTCAAAAACGATCCATTAAGAATCGTGGCCTGTAGCCAACACACACAGACACAAAGAAAAAATGGGTATGCCTCTGCCCCTGGAGGTTGGGCAATCACCAAAAAACAAAAGGGGTCATCCTTAGGGTATAAGGAATAGATATGCAAGGTTTCAGAAGGATCTGTTAAAAACTGCAGCCTGTAGGCGAACACACGACACACAAACATTTTTCGTGGCTCTGGCCCAGGGGGTCGGGCATGCACCAAGAATAATAAAAGTCAGGGTACAGGGAATAAGTACCAGCGGCTGCCAGGCAGGATTCCCCACATTTTCGAGAGATGGATAGAGAACAAGCTAAAAAGAAAGTGATTTTTCCTACAATCAAGGGCCATAATTCAGGAAATGACAATTCGATATGCGCAAATATCGAAAGGAACCAAGATCTTTGGGTTAGAAACTTACATTTCAAGTTTCAACAAAATCGGATAAAAATTGTGACCTCTTTCGGGTCCACAAGCTAAAAACTCGATTTTTCGTACAATCAGGGGCCATAATTCAGGAAGTTACGGTCTGATATGCGCGAATATTTACAGGAACCGAGATCTTTGGGTTATAAACTTACATTTCAAGTTTCAACAAAATCGAATACAAATTGTGACCTCTATAGGGTCCACAACCTTGATATACCATATTTTTACGCTATTTGAGAACGAACGGCGGCCATTTTGTCTGTCAGTTTTGGCCGATTTTCACGAAATTCGAAATCAGCCATCCTTAGGGTGTAATGGTGATATTGTAATACATTTTTTTTAAATCGGATACAAATTATAACCTCTATTAGGGTTCACAAGCTAAAAACACGATTTTTCGTACAATCAGGGGCCATAATTCAGGAAGTTACGTTCCGATATGTGCGAATATCGAAAGGAACCGAGATCTTTGGGTAGTAAGCATACATTAAACCAAATCGGATAAAAATTGTGACCTCTACAGTGTTCAAAAGCTAAAAACGTGATTTTTCGTACAATCAGAGGCCATAATCCATGAAGTTACGGTCCGATACATGCCAATATCTACAGGAACCGAGATCTTAGGGTGATAAACCTATATTTCAAGTTTTATTGAAATCGGATAAAAATTGTGACCTGTAGACTGTTCACAAACAATTCTGGACGGACGGAAGGACGTCTGGATGGACGGACAGGGGGCGACGACAATATACGTCCACATGAAAATGTGAAACTTCCAATCAGTAGAAATAGGAAACACAAACCAAATACAGACGGTTTGATGGGATCCATTTTGACTAAGTCAAAATAATGCATTTGATATTCAGATAAGTTGATATAAAATAATTAATAGAATACAAAACGATGTTTTTTTGATATTGTATTCTATTAATTATTTTATATCACATGAAAATGTGGACGTATAATAAAAAAGTTTTCAAGGCGATCGAAAAGAAAACGGGTGTGACACTGTCCCTGGGGGTTGGACATGCACCCCAAACGATAGGGGCGTTCCTTAGGGTACAGAGAATAAATATGCAAAGTTTCAAGATGATATGTTCAGAAATGCGGCCTGTAGACGAAAAACAAATAAAAGAAATGGACGTGGCTCTGCTCCTGGGGTTCAGGCATGCACAATAAACAATAGGGATCATCCTTGTGGCATAAGGAATAAGTATGTAAAGTTTCAAGATGATCACTTAAATATTGTGGCCTGTAGGCGACACACCGACACATACATATACTATTCAAAAAAAGTAGGGGATATTTGATTTTTAAGTGTTATTAAAGTCACCTAATGAAACTGACGAAGAAACAAATGACAAAATGAAATGAAGTTCACATTAATCGATTTATTCCAAATGGTCGTTAGACTAAGTAAGGCACAGATTGACCATTATAAGGGTAAAATGATACCCGGGGTCAAACAGCAAAGTTACCACAGCATCACAACCAAGTCAGTAACGGGTAAATCCTCCTCTGTTTGCCAAACAAGCATTGATCCGACGTGGCATACTCCTAATGAGACGTCTAAGGTCATTTTGGTCCAGATTGTCCCATTCCTGTTGCAACGCAGCAGCAAGTTCTTGGACATTGGCAGGACGTTGTTGACGTTGACGTAACCTCTGTCCAAGCATGTCCCAGACATGCTCGATGGGGAGAGGTCGGGACTCAGTGCTGGCCAAGGTAATGTGGTGATGTTCTGTTGTTGGAGGTAACCTGTAACGATCCTGGCCCTGTGACATCTTGCGTTGTCATCCTGGAAGATGAAACGGCGGCCATGACGTCGTGCGAACGGCACAACATGGACTGCCAAGATGTTGTCCCGGTAGTACTGGCCTGTAACACACCCTGCAACAACATGTAAAGCCGTTCTTCCAGCAACAGTGATGCCTCCCCACACCATAACAGAACCACCACGAAATCGATCATGTCTGATGACGTTAACGTCTTGGAAGCGCTCGTTTCGACGAAGCCACACCCTCCTACGTCTGTCCAAAAAATCAACAGTGAACCTTGACTCATCTGAAAACATCACATTGCTCCAGCGTCGATTATCCCAGTGTTGACGATCCCTACACCAACGACGTCTTGCCTGAATGTGATGATCTCTCAAACAAGGGATCACGCGAGGACGTCGGGCGCGAAGGTGACCCCTATGCAGTCGATTCCGAATCGTCTGGCCACTCACTCTCACACCAGTGTCTGTTTGAAGACGAGCGCTGATCTGATTTGCTGTGATGACACGATTTCTCAAGGCCATGGTACGGATAAATCGATCCTGGGCTTGAGTTGTCCCCCTTGGTCGACCTGAGCGTGGTCTGTCCTGTACAGAGTGTGTATCACGGTATCTGGACCATAGCCTGCTTATGACAGACTGAGAAACATTCATCGTCCGCGCCACAACCGCCTGTGTTGTGCCGATCTGTAGCATGCCAAGGGCACGTAACCTTTCATTTTGGGTAAGCCGACGCATATCAAAATTTGTTTTCTGGTCACTAAAACAATTAAACTGATGTTTCCACCCTGGAATTCAATGCCACAATGACTGTAACATTCAAAGTCAGAGTCGTGCAAATCTTGGGTTGGACCCCCATGATGATCCCAAGCATCACCTGCATTCCATGCGGTAGCTATTGGTGCGTTTGGGCGTCACATGTAACTGGAAATGTTTCTTCTGTTAGGTTCTATAGTGACCTTTTTCGTAGTCATTTGCATATTTTAGTATTATGCCCCCAAAATCAAATATCCCCTACTTTTTTTGAATAGTATACATTCATACACACATACATACACACCCACACAGACAGGGGTGACGACAATATACGTGGACGTATGAAAAAGTATATTTGTATTTATCAAGTTTTAAAGAGCTAGAATGAATTTATTTAATTGGGAACGCTCGGGGTTCTTTCTTTTCTTTGTAACAATAAAATAAAACCAAGTACGAACAATCCAAACCATAAGACAGAATTCGAAGTCCTAAAAAACGTTATAGGCAAAATAGTGTATTCAAGCAAAATAGTGTAATCAGCAAATGGACTTCTCCTCGTGTACAAAATACACGACAAACAGTGGTAACTCTTTAGTTCAACTGCCATGGGTTTATTCTGGGGAAACATGATAAGAAAAGAGTCCAAACTCCTTTGCACCCACATCCTCCTCCTGTTTGAAAATTCCTGTATCCGCCCCTGGTGTATTCTGTTTTATTTTTAACACAGGTGTAGGGCATCCGAAACTCTTCTGTAAGAGCTCAAACCCCTGTCCCCTTCCTTGGGCCTGCCATGAACCATGACACGTGGCTTTCGTGTCTTTGATCATCTTCTATCCAGTAGATTTAGATGCAGAAACCCTGGACCAAACTATCTGTCCAGTTAGCTATGGGCGTTCGTACACGAAGCAGAGTATGTTTACTTTTTCCAAACCATTCCTCCTGTTAGTTATAGGTGTCATACATGAAGCAGAGTATGCCTATTTTTTCCACACACGAAGCAGGGACTGCTTACACTTTCCAAACTATCTCTCCAGTTAGTTAGGGGATGCTTACTCTTCTACAAATTAAATTCTAAAACATTTTTTAAAAATTATTAAGAAAAAAATGAAAATGTTGGAAGTATATTTGGATAAAAAAAAATAGTGCCTATTTAGTGTAAACGGGTACATAAAATAGGGGGGGTGGGGTGGGGTGGGGTGGGGTGGATGGCCGAATGGTTAGCACGTGCGTGCTGTATCATAAGGCCTGTCATTGAGTCAACTGGCGTGGTTTCGAATCCCCGGTTGTACGTGACAAGGAGTAGGATTGCCTGTCCAACCTCGTGGGTTTTCTCCGGGTCCTCCGGTTTCCTCCCACTGCTAAAGACCCCTACGCGCAAGCGAATTATTGAAATAAAATTAAACCATATGTTAGTCCCGAAATGACCTAGTTTGTGTCGAGTGGACGTTAAACCCCATTTTTCTCTCTGTACATAAAATAGTCTGCGGGTGAGTAAAATGAGTAAAACTAGGCACAAATTCTTCCAGGACTAGTTTGTGTTACTATACGTCCTTTGTAATCAACGCATGTGTTATAGACGCCGTATGATGTGACGTCATATGTAGCCCTACACTGCACGCGACCTTTCAAGGTCAGTCATCTTCTGGAGAGTTAAAAGAAGATTGATAACCTACGGATTGTTCACCCCACAAATAATTATTTTAAAGAATCGAAAAAACATATTATTATGAATGATTCTTTTTTTTTTTTTTTTTTGAGAAAATATGAAATACAACGGTTTTAGTGTAAGGTGTATTAAATATGTCCATTTATACTCTGCCGAATATTGTATTATAAAAAAGTGCCAGTGCGACAATGTCAATGGGCCTATTGCCTATTAATTTTAATTATTCTTAAATTTAAATACTTATATCTTTCTTAAAAAATACTAATTATTCAATAGCCATTTTTTTTTTAAATATGACCCCCCCCCCCCCCAACACACACACACATACACACATACACACTCTACAAGAACCTATGCCATCCTCTAAAAATAGGAGATTTTACTATTTTACTATGCTCATTCGACCATATTATTCCTCTCAGCATGGAGAAAGGTGACTTTGGCAGTCACCTTTCTCCATAATATAATCCATAAAATGTATTTTGGCGTGCTTGTTTATCCATAAAACAAAATATCGCCCTCTGGTGTGAGTTACGAAACTTGAGCCGGAAGTCAGCATTGGATTGAACTTGATACACAACTATCGTCAACAATATTATTTTTTAACGAACTGAAGTTCTGCATTTACATGGGATAAATGTCTACATCAGAAAAGCCAGGTTTTTATAGGATCGAACTGAATAAGACAGTATGGGACGTGCCGCAACATTACCAACTTCTAAATCCGATTGGATTAGGAGCTTATGGTCAAGTTTGGTAAAGAAAATTCGTTTAGCTTCTGTTCTAAGAATAGCCAAGAATAGTCAAGGCAAAAGTTTAGGGTTATTTTTTCTCTATGCATGTATGATTACAATCAACTGTTGATTATGTCATGAATGTATTTAAGAATAGCCATGTTGTCAGCATTGATTTTAATGAGTCAAGACGCACTCATAACTTGTCTTTCTAATTCTAATATTTGGAGAAGGAGGTCACAATAACATACATCGAGTAGGCTAGAGTACAAACTACAAGTAACAATGTCAGTGGCCTTCACACATTTTTCCAGCCATGTGATGTCTTAAATTCATATTTAATCCAACGAATACCATTCTCCATGATTTGTGAATCCCATTTTTTATTTTATACTTATACCATTCTTGAATTAATTTCATATTTTGGTTACCGTACCGTAATTAATAATTAATGCTTGAATTATTTATTACCAAAGAAATTTAAGTAGACCTACATTTTATGATGTACAATGTATGTTATTCCTTTATAAAACAAACCCTGTAAATAGCCAAATACAGAGATCTTTAGATACCGGTATCCCTATTTTAGTGTCCTGAATGACTCGATTATGCACCAAGTCATGCATTCAGTGGCTTTAATAGTTTCAATTTGTTTCCCATTTTCAACACACATTTAGTAAGATTACATAATAACATCGTTTCAATTAGTTAAAACTTAAATGGCACTTTGATCTGGATCAGTGTTAGCGATTAATATGTAATTCTGTGAAATCCGTCATCATTTTCATGTCCCGATTTATTTCCTTATTACAATGTACTTCAACCAAAAAAGGTTTGTGTAGTCCATATTCTGAATCTTATGAATTACAACATAATCAGCGGTCCCATCACACGATTTATTTCCTTAATACAATGTACTTCAAACAAAAAAGGTTTTATTTGTCTATATTCTGAATATAAGGAATTACGACATCGGTACGTCACACGATTTGCGTTATATTAGCATTTTATAACCCTGCCTTTAAATTCAGTGGTGAAAGTTCAGGAGTTGAACTCCGTACTGTTAGAAGAATTCTGCATTCCGTCTAAATTGTTGAAGGGCATCATTGTGTAATTAAAAAAAAAACGAGTGCTGAAGGTGGAAAAATTTAAACAGAACGATTAACGGCCTTATTAAAGATACATTAGTTATGAGTTTAATAAAGAGTTGGTTATTCTTGCTATAATAATTAAAAAATAAATGATAAAAAAAGAAAATATTGAAAATTTCATTCAAATTGCTTCATTCTCAGCCAAGTTATCATTGTTTGTAGTTTTGACAAGATGTGTGCACCAGGGCACTGATATAATCGGGACTTAGCCTCACTTTCCCATTTTTAAATTAAATTTTTAAATGGCGAACCGTTTTAATCTAGTTAAAATCTTGAGTATCCGATGCCATCGCGAGTCTTTTATAGTCGTGTTTTGTTAATAAATGTCTAATTAATAGTTTATATAACATTTCAGGCCTAAAGAAAGACCTGCAATGGACAGATTTAACTCTTGTATAATGTATGTTTAAATGTTAGCGTCCAAATCAATATACATGTACATGCAGGCTTATATCCGAAGCCGGTATTTGAAGACCCATACAATAATACTTCCGGTATTGAGTATCAATCCATCATGCTGTGTAAACGGCATATTTTAACGATCCCGCGCGATGTCGTTAGTGACAGATTCCACGGTATCTTACACATGTACATCGCTTTATGAATCAGAATTCAGAACACTGATCCTTTAAAGCGAGAATTTCATATTTTCTAAGAAAGTCAAAACATAATTATTTCTATGTCTTGCTCAATAGGTATCAACTCCCTATTATACGACCATGGACATTATTTCCCACCCTTAAAAATCATTGACACAGGAAATAATAACACAATTACCTCCCTTGTTTTCCAATTTTGTCTATGCATTAGCTACCTTAAAACGTTGGAATTTGAAGTAGAAAATGGATATTTTTCAATCTTAGTGAATTATAGGATTAATAGGATTATTCTTTAACAAGGTAGGACGGTTTATGGATACCATCTATTTTAAGGCTTTATTTTAATAAATTTAAAAATATAACTTAAAAATATGAAATTGTAGCTTTAAATCTTGGGTGGTTGGTTGGCCTAATGGTTTAAAACATGGGTGTTGGATCATAATGTCTGTCATTGAGTCAACTTGTGTGGTTTTCTATCCCAGCTTCTACGTGATGAGTTGGGTCGTCTGTCCAACCTTGTGGCTTTTCTTCAGGTCCTCCTACTAAAAAACCCTACTTCCTAGCGAATTAATGAAATAAAATTGAACCATGTGTTAGTCTTGAAATGGCCTGGTTTGTTACGAATAGATTTTAAACCCTCGTTTCTCTCTTTATCTCACTTAACTGAGTGTTGTTGACAGTTATAACGTTATAAGTACCCGTGTCAGCAAATGTCAACAGTGTTCCTAGCGTAATGAGAGTTACTTCCCTTATTAACAGACGACTTTCCTTTGTTATTGTTTACTTCCTGTTTGACATTTTGACAGTTAAAGGAGTTAAATCACTAATATTTGGCAATCTCTAGCATCTGGTTATTCCAGTCTACATCAGAAGTATTTATTGTGCATGCTCTCCAGATAAGAATATGGTGTCACCGGTTGATGTGACATGTAGAATATGTTCCTTGAGTCTTTTGTTACAAATGGCGCTGAACCGTATTCTGGTACATGTACTACACGATTCGTGTAACAAAGGTTTGTAAAATGTGTAATTTGTCATAAAAAAGGTAAATATTGGATATCAGAAGCACATCTTTTCCCGGTAAGATCACAACATCAATGTTGATTTAAATTGACAAATAATTTGTATTTTCAATGTCGTAGACTGTGGATGATATTGAGTTAAAGACTTAGCTGCCTTAACCATTAAGTGTGTAGTTTTTAAAACGTTAACTACCCCCTATTGTGTAATTAATTTGACGAAAAACGTCATTTTTTGACCTTTTTATTCCTGAATACAAATGATAGTAGTCTGAAACCATATTAAAACTAACGGTAAATAGGGTTGTCTCCCTTCAGTTAGATTTCCTCGACCAGGCGTAATATAACGTCCTACACATGCTGCGATCGTATGTTCGAAGAATAGGTTGGGGGAAAATACCTCCAAGGCGTTATATTACGCCCTACACACAGTGAGTGGCAGATGTCCAGGACGTTATACGTCCTACGCAGTTAACGGTTTAAGGGTGTTG